AAAAAGTTATAAAAATCAGAAATCACTGTTTTTGGTGTGAAAGGGTGGCCCGAAAGGGGGGGTGGCCCGAAAGTAGGGTAGTTGACTTACAGTACGGTCTCCAATAATTCAACGCTCTGAATTTCCGAACCAAAACTATAAGCCGAATATCCAACATCTCGTATTATTAGAAAGAACAGCAAATTGTAATCGCTCACCCATAAACAAACTGCACGATTGCGCGCAGCGAATTTTCGGCTTGGGTTTGGATGGTAAGGTTCCCAATGGTTAAAATTGGGATTATGTAAGAGGGTTGCAGCAATGGTGCAGGATTCAAGTATCTATTATTAGACTTCATCTTTGGGAGTTTTCCGTTGCAAATGTAATGCAATGCACCCAGAGATATCCGGGATGTGTCGTCGGGTAGCTACACTGCAGTTACCCCTCTGTTCTATACTATTTATTATAAGCGAGTGTATGCGAGTGCGACTTGGCAAGCGTTAGAGAAAAGCCAAGTGCCAAGAAAACGCCACTTTTTCTGAGCAGAGGGATGGGTTCTATGCTCTTTTAGGTATACGATGTCTACATGGGGGCATTATCATTTCCCAAGATTCACATATTGCTCGAAATGATGATCATAAAACCATCGGAAAGCTGTTTTCATGGTTATATATATATTCAATTGACAGGAGAAAAGTAAAGACCCATCCGCTGCAATAAAACCTAACGCGTATATTGATTTGATTGAATAGCAAAAGAAGGTAGATCAAAAACAAAGCTAAACATATGAAAATGAATAGCATAACCTAAACTCAGGAGCCTATACACCCAATTCAAGCAACCACATCTCCTTGAACAATATACTGCTTTTCCTTCTTAAAGGCAGCTACGGTCTCATTAGACAGACTGAGCGTATCAGCCACAATCTGCTTTGGCGTTAGACCAACCCATTGAGCAACCGAGATATCTATTCACACAAATTAGCACTTTGTCAAATTTGCCCCCCAGAAACCAACAAACACTCACCCGAAAAATGATCTGCCTGCAAAACCTCAATGAAAATCAAATCATCCTTTCCCACATTCTCAACATAATGCGTCATTCCCTTAGGAATATATCCACAATCACCTGCATGATAATCAAAAGTTCTTGCCAATCCCTGCGCCGCATATATACTAATGCGCGCACTGCCCGCGATAAAGAATGCCCATTCGTCACTCGTAGTATGCCAGTGGATTTCGCGCATGGCGCCTGGGTGCACCGTGACTATTGCGGCGGAAAATTGGGCGGCGAGGGGGAAGGTTTTCGGGTCTAGGATCTTGACGGTTCCGCCGGGGGTTTCGTGGGTATAGGGGGCTTTGGATAGGTGGTAGGAATAGGAGAATTCTTGAGGTACGAGGCCGGCTGAGCCGGTGACGTTTTGTTCGCTTATGTCGTTGGGGGCTTTAGTGCCCGGGAATATAAAGAGTTCCCCGGCGGGGATGTTGGACCAGGCGGTTTTGGGAAGTTGGAAGTTTTTAGAGAGGATTTCAAGCTTCAGTTCGATGCTGGTTAGCTCCTGATTTTTTGGATGTTAGGGGTTTGTCCTACTGGGTTATGCGCGAAGACTTCTGAAGCTAAGAAGGTATTGTCTTCAGAGAAGCTTCCGTCGTCAAACACTAAGAGAAATTCCGTTCCACCTTTCAATCCTTGTAAGGAGTGTGGCACACCTCTGAAGTATGATGTATTAGCAGAGCCATACATTGAGATTGTGACAAAGATCATCCCATCTCAAGCGAGAATAAATTGATTTAGCGAGCACACGAAGACTTGAACCACTCACGGAGGAAAATACCAGGCATCACCCGCACTCAAATCATCAACAAACGTCTGACCATCCTCATTAACCGCCTGTAGCCTTACACTCCCATTAAATATATAAGCCCACTCCGCCGCCTTATGCCAATGTAACTCACGGTACGCACCCTCCTCCAAACGCATATCCACACCTGCCATGTCCGTGGCCGTAGGTATGTTATCTACATTTTGTTGTCTCGACCAGCCTGCATGACCGAGTCCCAGTTTCATATGACTGAGTCCCATGGGCCACTGCGCATTATCCACATTACCGTGATCAGTGCCCGGAGGTGCAAGTTTGTCGGGATTGAGGACGTCGTAAATTTCGATGCGTGGACCTGGATCGGTACCGCCTTTTGTGCCGCGAACTGGTTCAGGATTCTCGACATTGTTGAAGTCAAGATAGGTGCCTATGGTTGCTGAATCGGTTTGGCCTGGTGCAAGGTCATAATCGATGTTGTCAGTATTTTGATTGACGACGATGTTTGAGGGGTGGAAACCAAGAAGAGGATCTCCAGTTGGTGCTGCTAGGATGCTATGTTTGAAGAAAAAGGCGATTAGCAAGATCACATAGCCATTAATATTGATGAAAGCCATCTTTGAAGATCTTCGCTATGAAAGTTGATGGAAGAATTCTGGGAGAAAATGGTGCTACTTCAAAAGTCAGGCTGTACAAAGCGTTTGGCATATACCCTTTTATATCTTCACTTAATCACCCCCCTCCCCATCCCCTCCTGCTCTGGATTCTTCAAACACCCCTCCCTTCTCGTCACTTCATGATTTGAAGCTGGCATGCTGTGATGCACTCTATTTTGGATTAAGGTACATATTCTGTGGATGGTTGATAATTCTTGGCGACATTCTGCGAGTAGCGATAGCATCACATCATTGAGTTCTAACCGTACTCGGCCATATATCGGTGATAGATTGGCAAGATCCGGTAAGTTTTGAGGGGATGAGAGGCGATTTCTCATTATATCACGATGCCCATGCGTTTGAAGCGGGGTAAAGACAAGGTGAAATAGATTTCCCCAAGATCTTAACACTGAATTGTAGAGAGATAGGACCGGATACCACATCTAGGACGCGTTGACATCTCCAAAGATAGAGCTCTTTGCATATGAGAAATGCCAGAACTCTGCACATAATCAAACATTGCATTGCATAAACGTTACACAAAAAGCTATTCTGCAGGTATCCAGCCACTTGGAGGCGACAATGCTCTGGAAATCGACAGCGAGATCGTTATCATCGGCTCTCTATTCTGGATTTACTGTTGCAACACCTGACGGATCCAAATAACATCCATCAATCATCCGGCCATCTACCTGCCGCTTCCAGTGATTTTCAATTCGTGTGACAACTAATCACTATCGTAATCTAATCTAGTCTTTGAAAAACCATTAAGATAGTGGTGTGGGAGCCGGTAGAATTCGACATACCAGTTCAACTACCTACTTACTGGTTGTCTTACCCCAGATCATACTATAAGCGACTGTCACACAAGAACTCCCAACCAATTATTAAATGCCCTGCTTACGTTGCAATGGAATTTTCAAGCTTTCTTGGAAACCAATTTTTGTGCTGCAACCTATAAATAAGCTTTTGACAAGCCATGCATTGGTAATCAGCCAATCTTGGGACTTAATCAGTAATCATCAACTGCCGTCCATATCAGTTTCCAATCCAGCTGCCTGAAAAGGAAAGTACAAATCGGAAGCAAAAAGCGATGACCCTGCTGCATCAATATATATATTACTCCCTTGAAAATTGGTATCCCAAAGATTCTGTGTATCTTAGTTAGCACCTAAAGCGATGAATTTCGTTTCACTTACCCAATCGAGACCAGCCGGATCGTTCAAAATATCTCCTATCATCTCAATATTTGAAGTAGGAAATTTGCTTCCATTTTCTTCGAAATCGCTCGATGGAAAAGAATACATGTTTGAAGCAGGATAATTTGGAGGGTTGCCTTTGTGTAGAAATATCAGCAGAAGGAACTTCTTGGTGTGAATAGGGGTAACATACTAGAGTTAGCTTCGTTTGTTATTTCCTTTGAAACCTTCGTCTGGGTCTTATTTGCGGTGGACCAATGGTCAACCTTGTTCAGCATGGCCTTCAAGACCTTTGAAAACTTGATTGTATCTTCCGAGGAATGCTCGGGGTTATTCCATATTTGGTAAGATTTGAGCAAGGCGTGCGAAATGTCTTCTTTGGTCCATTCAATTGGAAACTCTCGAAAAGCAGTATCCACAGTTTCCTCTTCAGCGGCCATTAACTGTCCAAGATAGAGGCAAAGAAGTGTTGCGGCTAGAAGGAAATCGTAGGTCATCAAAGAAGATGTAATCCATTTCATAGCGTGCAAAGAATGACCCATGGCTGTCTCAATGGTCATATAATTTTGATATTGTAGAATTAGCATCGAAGAATCAACGCACGCTTTGACCGAGTAAGAATGTTTTCGTAATGATTCGGCTTCCGAGAGAAATTTGCGATGAAGAAAACAACGAGCTTTAAGATAACTCATTTCAATTGAGAATTTCCTAACCCTTAACATGATAGGACCGGTATCGAGGCTTTTGATGGATCCGACTCTATAAACTTCCGGGATTCCCTCGCGGGTACCCAAAAGCATCTTTTCAAGCCTCATGACTTCGTCATATTGAATAGGGGTAATGGAATTCGACGCATCAAATATCTTTCCGAACACTATAAGAAGACGATATTTGGAAAGTACGTGGCTCATAGGGGATCCTTCGTCTTCCGATCTGACAGGCGGCAAAGCTACCATACTTTCATATAGATCTTCGTCGAGTAGGTTATTGGGGGCTTTAGTATCATACATCTCTTCGCTTACCATTCGAGGAAGCCCAACTTGACAAGAAGTCTGAATATCCACAATCAATATTCCAGCCCAGATTCGACGTTGCATCTCGCCACGAAAGACTGATATGTTGGGATAATGAGACGCATCCCGATGCATGCCCAATCGCAATCCTGCACGGACAATCATACCGAAAAGCATCCAAGATCCAAAGAGTGCGTCTTTACTTTGAAAATGCTCACTGAGGTAGTAAAGCAAAAGAGTTTCGACAGTATACAATCCAGGCTCTGTATAGTTACTATTCACAAGGCATTGTACCGTTTTCTCGCGATATAATCTGATCCGTTGTTCTGTATCACGTACAGCCATATCCGACAATGCAGGTATTGGAATATCTCCTGTTCTCAATTCAAAGTTTACGGAGAGGCAAATAATTGCAAATAGGTATCCAAGCCAGGAAAAAGATTTTGAGTTGGGATCATCCCAAAACTCGTCATACTACCAAAGGGTCAACTAATGAACCAGATTCTTTTGCTAGAAATGTTCTCACCTCCTTTTTGAAGGTCGGGGTATGAGTGATAACTGCGTGTTTATTAGGAGTCAATGTTATCACCACAGAGTATTTTATCTTACAGGAAGCGTCAATAGCAGTGAAGTAGCGTTCAATCAAATTATCAACCACAGGTTTCGACGGGAGACAAGCGAGAACCGATTCTCTCGACGCCTTTCTATTGTCTCCAAGAAGTAGCACAGGTCCTTTATGTTTATTCTTTCCACTCGCTGTACCTTGTGGCCATTCTTCTGATCCTAAGGAATCTTTCAGGCCAGCTATCTACGGTAAGGTTAATGTCAGATCTTCATCACGGATTCACTCCAAGAGTTCAACGTACATTCTCAAGTATTGCCGCCCAATGAGCCCCGCCGACATAATTCTGCAGCTCATCTTCAACAGATATACGTCCAATAGAATCCGCACTTTCTGAAACGGTAGCATCATCTGGCCATGAAGGTTTGGGGCCCTTAAATATAGATGGTTGATGGTCTGGTGGAACGGTGGGACCGGGTACAAGTGTTTTATCTTTGACTTGACTCATCAAAGCAACGACTAGTTCCTCTAAATGTTGAATACGTTCCTGAACATCTTTTGGCTTATCCTTGACCTTCTGTGCTTTAGATGTCTTCTCACGTGAATTGTGGATATATGTGCAGGATGAAGATAAGTCTCGCTTGGAACAATTGTTGCAAGGGGAGTTGCGATCGCATTTCAATCTGACTGGATTAGTGTAAGTTGGTTATGGTTGATCTCGTTCTCATACTTCCGTGTCCTGCAGAAAGTGCAGGATAATTGTGGCTTGAATCTTTGTCGACTCGCATTGGGTTGAACCCCTTGTTCCCGCGAACTGCTCTTTGCGTTATCTTTGGGGATAGTAGATTGGGATGCCGTGTCCGATAGGTCTAAAGCATTTTTGAGTATAAGGTTGGCCATCGTGCTAAACCTGTAAATCATGGAATGCAAAATGAGAGACTTCAGGACGGAGGGATAGATGCCAATATCTCACGTGAGCAGCAAGGGCTGAATTTCCAACCTATTAAGATGAGGAATCAACGTCGATCCTTGAAAATTCGCCCGGAAATAAGCATTATCTTCCGCCGAACACGTCCGTTGCTCAATTGAGGACTTCAACAATCAGATAGGAGCATACGCAGGGTGTTCTAGAGCTATTTTATCTGTATCCCAATGTTACAAGAAGATGAAGGAAGTTCTATCCTGTTTTGTCCTTCCTTCAGATTTCATCTAGCAATTAAAGCTTTTATTGTCCTGATATCACTTCCCTTACTTCCGTGGCAATGAAATCTGCTCTCGTTTTCACCGTCTCCGATGTATTATTAGCCAAAGCCAGAGTACAAGCATTCGGACTCACACCAGTACTTTTTTCTTCGTTATCGCGAGGGAATTGGATATACCTCCATAGGTTTGTAGCATGACCCGAAAGCTGGGTTCCTAGATGTACCAGTGACTGCATTTGCATTGAAATTGAGATTGCAGCAAATTGAGGAGGTACATATCTAGTAGGTACCAATCCAAAGCGCGGGGGTTATCAAAGCTGCTGTTTGAGATTAGGTGGTTTGCCTCTTTGGGCAATACAAACATACATGCGTTTGAAGACCTTCTCGTAAATATAAGACGCATATGGCAGGAGAGAGGCAGGAGAGAATGAGAAGAATGGATAGGTTATCAAGCTCAAGGATTGATGAACGCGTACTTGATGTTATCCGTTATCGAGACTCCTGGGATTATTCAATACCAGATTGTTCCAAGCCAGTGTTCGAATGTCGTGTAAATGAGTCAATACATGCTGGGTATATATCAATGAGCGATTGCGTCAAGTGGAAGGTGTTATCGATAAAGAAGCCAATGTAATTAGAAGACTCGCCCAATGGATTGTCGTCATTGGTGTGTGGAGATTGGGGAGGTACGATTCTACCATACACAGTATCGACAAATAGACGAAGAATCGCGACTGTCAGAAGGATCCTGGCCGGAGGCTATGGACGATATGAGTCTTGTTTAAGGCGTGCAATTCCTGAACTAGGACTTCGAAAGTGCACGAGCGCATTGTCTTTGAATGTTGTTATTGTGGATAATTCTACTGAAAGGGCTTCGATACATTTGTTTGTCAAAATCCTTTACTCATAGGTCATTCAAGAAGCGTGTTTCGGGCGATAATGTGGGGAAGTGCCGTATCCGGAGAATTCGAAGTCAAAGTGTTTGTAGCTGATATTCTGTCCAATACATTCAGTTCGAGTCGACAATGAAAGGACCTCCTGGATTAGATCAGAAGATGAGGTTGAAGAAGAAAATTTCAACTTTATCGGCGTAGAATTCTACATCAAGCGGAAATTTCTTATTGTCTGTTCGTGAGCCTCGTTTCCTCTTACTTCTAGAGCTAGGTTCGCTGTCTTGGTACTCATTAATGTCCATATTATCGCCTCGAGCTTCAGCTAACGAGATGATTCTCATGATCCGTCGAATTTTGATGTTGGATGATCGGCTTCTTTCAGAACGGACTGTAAATGCATTGTGCCTGGACTTTGGTGCATCTGTAACATAGCTATAGGCCCGGACGTCGGGGGTAACGAAGCTTCTGTGAATCAAACCTATCGCAAACCGTACGTCGTCGGACGTCACCATTCTCAGGGATAGTTGGGATTATGATTTACTGAAGTGGAATTGTGATGGGATGCTGGTGGTTCGAATATATATGATCATATCCACAGATAAGCTTCAGCCACTTCGGCGTCAAGAATTTCGTGTTTGGGGTTCCAATTTCAGACCAAGATCTTATGACTTTACTTTCTTGTGATTAAGAGATGCTCATTTGATGATTTTGGTATTTCGAATATGACCCGCCGAGCTCGGTAGAATGATTCATTGTGTTTGAAGTCAGGTTTGGGATGCTCAGGATTTGCAGCGTATTTTGATTCTCGTTCAGAGGAATAGTCTTGTGTCATTTGAGCCAGGTTTGCATCCACAAATCAAATGCTCTCTTAATTGCCTTGATATACTCATAGTTCAGCCCCAGAATTGAGGTTCCGAGTGGTTCCCACAGGCTTCAACGTTGCATCTAGCGATATATATTCACCATCAACTCGTCGCTCGTCACTTGTATAAAACCCTTCAGTTTCAATTTCACTTACACTTACACCATTTCCTCTACCATACCCACTATACCCACGAACGAATCAAACGTAACCATACCATCATACCAGCACTTCTCTCCATCCCACCATCCCACCATCTAAATCCACACCATCAACGCCAAGATCGTTAGTCTTGGCGCTTGATTCTCATCCTCATTCCATTTACTCGTATGTATTTACACATTCTTTCCTTTCCTTTCCTTTAACACAATATACCAGATCAATGATATCACAATCGTTAACTCAATCTTTAATCATTTTAATCATGATACTTATAAACAGGCGGATGATTCACACAATTACTTCTGTAGGTGAAATAATGTATGCACAAACCGAGAAAATATTTTTTGTGCTAGTGAAAAGATGGAGTAGTTTATTTCTGGCAGAGGAAGATGCGTTGCGAGTGGTTTGGAGGAGGTTTGGAAGTAGGAATTGAAAATGCATATGGCTGTTATGTTATGGGCGTGGTATTTTCTAGGGATGTGTTTGGGTAGAATACATTACATAGGTCGTGGAGGATATTGGACTTGGAGCTGAGGATGCGGTGTGAAGGGAGAAGAGGGAGAGGGTGGGGGGCGATTGGTGGTTTCACGTTTAGATATTCACATTCACATTCATATTCACGTTTTCTGTTCCGTTTTTCTTTTTTAATATCTTGCATTGGGCTATCTATTCCCAAAAACTCCCGTAATTAATCTCACGTATGTTGTCTTATGTCAGCTGAACCTTGTTATACAGTTTCCTCCCTTTCGCCATTAGATGTGCATATGCCTAATGTCTGTGGTGTCCCTGTGATCCTTGCCCATAGGATCCCTGTCCGTAAGGTCCGTTTCCATACATTCCACTTCCGTGAGGGCCATGACTATAATGCGGTGTGCCGAATCCAAGTGGGAGCTGGCCTCCCTGTGATAAAGGGGACAATAATGAACCATTACTCATGCTTACAGAAAGTCTATTCGGCAGGCCCCCTGGTCCATATAGAGTGCTTAACTGAGGTGGTCCACCAAGCATATAAGAACCGCCCGAGTGCGTTCTCTCTCTCTCTCCTATCCACGTGAAGTGCGAATGCACGTATTCAATTGAGACAGGACGTGGCATGTGTCCCAGCCCCGCCATTGCTTTCGCAATGCCTGGGTGTACTTCTCCCGTCGCTGGCAGATTAGGTTCCGGGATCACGGGAGCAACGGTTGGGTCCAATCCGTGTTTTTCGGCATATTCGTGGACTGTGGATTCGATCCAAAGTCGCTGTGAAACGCGGTTATAAATGGGGCCCCACCATCCAGCGTCGAGAGTTCCAAAATAGTAACCACCTTTACCTTCGGCCAAGAGATCATCGGTGCACAAATGATTTCCGCCATTGCAGGCGTATCCATACTTTACTCGCTCCCAGCTGAAGCCAGCAGGGCATGGTCCGGCATGCTGGATAAAATTACGTACCCACTCATCCTGTTTCTTTTTTTCATCGTGAGTCATCGATTGATACCTCACCTGTCTCAAAGCCATATCAACATCATGCTGAGTCTTGAACATGCTCTTTGCATCAGGAGGAGCAGTTGTTGCTGCTGCGTGCACCAGAATTGGTTGTCGGGAGCTTGAGGATGATGGCTGATCTCTGTTCAGTAATGTGTGATTCTGTGGGGCTGGAGTTCTTCCATGAGAAGAGGAAGGCTGTCCATCTCTTTGAAGCATGGTGTGTTGGTGAGAGGGTCTCGATAACGATACTCTCCTTGATGAGTTGTTGTCTCTTTCAAGTGTGGTGTATGGTTTGGGAGTAGTTGAAGTGGATGGTCGACTAGATGATGGAGCTGTGGGGTAGGATGAAGAGGGCCTACCGGAAGCATGATTGTGTTGTGGAGCTTGTGTGCGGGTATCTACTGGGTTATAGACTGTAGCTTTGTTATATATGTCTTTAAAAGACATGATGATGGATATTTGATGTTATCTATTTGGTCTTCTGTGTATGGGAGTCTCTGTGTGGGTTTATTTTTATATGCGTTTTCTTTGGATGAAAGAAGAAAGCAGAACCTTGAGAGGTAGAAGACATTATATAGATGCTAGAACAAGAAAGATGCAGACAAGATAGTTGGTTTAATATGTGAATCTTTTGAGTAAAGAAGGTGGCATGAGTTGTGAAATGCTTTTGAATGGTATCAAAATGCTGTAGATATGGTGTACATAGGATTCAGAATTGCATCCCACTTGGTACATCAATTGTGATTCATCAGGCTTAAATGCCTGTCAATTGAAGCTAGGTACCTGTACATTGTAATGCAATATTCCTATGATTGACAATGAATGTATGGTGGTTGTTGAAAGTGTCTCCTATTTCAACTTATGCTGGCTAGACAAGTCTTCCAGCTCGGCCCGAAGTTAGTCCGAGTACCGACACCACCACTTTCACCAATCAAAGCGCTACACAAGAGTTTTGTTGCATGCCATGTCTGATATGGCTTCGGAGGACATTTGTAGGAGTAGTCTCTCAACTCTGAGAAAAATGAAACATTGAATTCATACACCTCTAATCAAAAATTTATATCAAATCAACCCAGTATTATTATGGATTGATTCTTTCAGCAAAAGAATGATTAGTTCTTAATATGTACCACATATCAATTTTAAAAGATTTGAAATATAAACAAGATTGTTGCCCGAATTTAATAAATGACTGTTTGGATAGTTTCTTACATCTTGGCGAGTTTGATGTTTGGCTTTCTGTCAGGTCCCGGGTAAGTCAAACAAGAGGTAGTATTCAAAAGCTCTGAAAGATAGCTTAGCCGCAAAATTGAAGGCTTGTGTGAATGTTATGAGCATTTCTAATGCCGATTTGGCGTTTGGGTATAAGTTGTAGACCCATTCTTTATTTTGGTTGGGGAAAAGTTTCAATATTATGCTAGAACCTACAAGACTTCATGTATATCTATCCATGAGTATTTGCAGTCCCATGCTCGAGTAGAAATAGGGGTGTATTTTGGCATGGTTCACAGTTTCCTAGACAGTTCTTAATGACCTCGGAAAGAACTACATCTAAAGATATTGTGTAATGATCCTGAGCGGTCGAGATCCTCAGACATCAAAATGTCGAAACTCTGCATATTGAGCTAGACAAGCTTGCATAAACCCAAAGACTTCTAGTTCCTGCAGCATGTCAGACTTGACAGTAACTACAAGAGGGAGAACTTAGGCCAAAATTTGTACATACACCAACACTTCAACAATTGAAATGTTGATGTGCGTCAGTTGAACATCTTCTTGAAATTGACATTGTAGGGCCGACGAACGATTAAAAACATCCAATCATCAAGACCATCAAAGTAACAAGTCCCAGGAGAAGTACAGTACCAAGATTATATCCCGACAAGAGTCCGTTATTCGGAGGTTAATCTAATGAAGATCCTGGGAATGTCCGGCTACTATGATAGATCATTCTTGATAATATCCCAGTATCAGACCGTTCGAGAAGAGTTTTCTCTTATTAATGATTGTATAATCATTCATGTGCACATGATTTTATCATGCCTCTCTCTCTTTTGGTTGTTTTATTGCCATTTTGCTTGATGATCTTGAATGTGTGTTCAACCTTCTTATTTTCCCCTTCATTGTGCTGCATTGCCAAGCACACATCAAGCGAGATAGCACGTGTAAGCTAACCCTAATATTACCTAGTTGTGGGTCGAGTTGAAAGTCAGATAAGCGCCTTCCGGAAATCCCTCGGCATTCCTAACCTTATTCTCTGAATTGAATGGAATTGTTTCACGACGACCATGAGCGAAGGACCATCAGAACCAATTGAAGCTTCCATCACTCCTGATGAGGCTAATAGAATCATTCATTCACATCGTAAAGTTCGATATGGTATGATAAATCAAATCCCCATTCTTGGCTACAGCCTACATGGTGGCAAGTCAAGAATCCTCGTTGGCAACTTGCTAAACAACTCTTAGGAACCGCTTGCTGGCCTTGCAGGCAACGCAAGGTCAAATGTGATAACAAACACCCATGTGAGAATTGTGTGAAGAGGGATCACGCCCTATTATGCTCGTACAATCCTAAAAATCGGGATCTCGGGAAGACGATACCGACGGCTTCAGTAGCTGGGGTTAAAAGGGCCCGAACCCCAGATAGTGCCAAAGAAGACGCCTGGCCAAGAACGACAGGTAAATAAAAATTCATCACAATCTTTGCCAAGAAGACAACAATTCCTTGCAATTCAGGTGTATGAAATTCTGCCATTCATAGTTCCTATTATTGCGGAATCAAGTGTTTCCATATTAGCATGCATCAGATGTTTATGAGTCCGATTGAGCTTCAAAGTTAATATCACTGCAGAAGAAGATGATCCAACCGAATCACGATATCTGGGACAGAATTCAATCGCTGCTTTTTTGAGTGAAGAGGCCCAGATTGGATCATCGCCAGGGGAGGGCGAACACGATGTCATACGGAAAGACATCATGCCTATACTAGGCTTGCAGATATCGACGGCCCCATATCCGTTCATGTCCAAAGAACACATGGATAAAATAAGGCACGACATTGCTATGGCATTACCGTCGGATAAAGATGTCTTAAAGTCAGTAGCACGGAAGTATGAGCAATCGGCACCCCTGCTAACCCACGCATAGATCGTTCCAAATTTACAAACAAATAGTCCAGCCATTTTGGGGTCTTTTGATCGATATTGATGATTTTGAGACGAAGCTGTGCATCTACCTGGAAGATCGGACTAGTTCCGCAAAAAGCAAGGGCCCAAACCAGAAGGGGGTATCATCAGCCTGGCTGGGGATGCTGTTCGCAGTCCTTGCTGTATCATCAAATTACGCTGAAACCACATACCACAAACGAGCAGCAGCCTCACAATCCTTTGGTATGTAAGCTTTATTTTTAAGATGAGAACGGAAGCTAATCTCAAGTACAGTTCAGACATCATTCCATTGTCTAAGGCTATCCAACTTTTTGATTCGTCCATCGTTAGATTCATTGCAGGCACTTTTGATCCTTGGTTTTGTTCTAGCCAATGATATGAAAGCTGAGGCCTCATGGGCACTGATCGGTGTCACTTGTAGACTCGCTCAAGCTTTGGGCCTTCACAGAGGGCCTAATGAGAGCGGTAGATTCTCATCTTCGGCAGTTAACGATTTACCTCGTCGTAAACTATGGTATGCACACCCCTACTGTTGCTTGTTATTGTTGTTATTTATCAGATTTAACAGATTATAGGTGGACAATTGTCTGGCAAGACAGTTTACTCTCACTCTCGTTTGACAGATCTCCGATTGCTGTGATCACAAGATGTAAAGTTCCTTTGAGCCCTGTTGCTCTGACAGAAGGCTTTACCTATACAGAAGCTATGTACCATCTCTGTCAGAGGGTACTTGATTTCGTCAAGAATGATTCGGTTTCTCAGCCCGATTATAATCAAATCATCGCCAATTCCGTCGACGTCGAGAAGATTCGTGATAAGGTTCTCCCAGCCCTCCGCGTTAAAGAAGCATGCAAAACAGTTCAAGATAGATTACAGTACTTTGCCCTTCGCCTTCACACATCCTTCGTCGTCTCAGTGCTATGCCGGCCCGCACTCAAACGTGGTGAAAATGGAATGTCTTCCGACCAAAACGCAATCATGAAAGAAAAATGCAAACAGAACCTCACAGAGACCGTTAGAATGTACTTAAAAATGCATTCCTTAAGCGTTATACCCACACGTTCATGGGCGTTCACTTATCACGGTCTCTCATCCGCAGTTCTTCTCGGAATTTTAGGTCATACTGAAACAGACCCAGAAGTTCGACAACTACAAGGAGATTTAATCAGTGCTCTGTCGGTTACTGCAGCCAAAGAACAGCCATCCCCGATTCCCAAATCAGACAAGGATATCGAACTTAGTGGTCCTCTATCGAGAGCTTTGGCTGCACTCAAGAATATTTATGATCATGGATGGGTGATTGAACAACAACAAATCCAACAACGAGCGGTTATGGACCCTGAAGCTCGGATGATGCAGGAACAAGTTTTCAAATCCACGAGTGAATATGAACAGCAAAATGCTGCCCTGGCTATGGCTTCTATGCAAAATGGGATGGTACCACCGTATGTTTCTCGCCAACTGATGACTTTGCATGAATATGAGTTTTCTCACTAACATGGAACAGTATGGACTATAACCAACAAATGCATATGGGTAATATGGATGACATGCAGCCTGTAGATCAGACATTGTCACCGATGGATTTATTTGATTCGATTTTTTGGGGTAAGTTCTTAATTTCCACTTTCACCTCACCCCTCTCTTCGGAACTCGTCAATTCGATATCTCCCCTTTATCACTACATTCGTCCCCGTTCCTCAACCCTCAACTTTCCCTTCCCTTCCCTTCCCTTCCAACAACAACTCACACTAACATCCCACCTAGAACCCTACCCCAATCATGGCCTCGAATCAGGCTTCGATTATACAGGAGCGCCATTTTACCCACAAGCACCCTTTTAAAAAGGGTACTAATTTTGATTGGCAATCACGGTCCAATATTTCGATAATGACAATGAGGAAGGCCTTAATGAGTGTTTAGTTTACTCGGTCCGAGGAATGTTTCAAGAGAGACCGGGTTTGGAAAATACGGGGTTTGAGGGATACATACCGCTCAAGAAATTGTTTCCAATTCAGCCATTGCAATTTGAAGACGTGGCTGGGAGTATCATTGAATAGTTGGAGTAGGTATGCTTTTGCAAAGGGAAGTTTTGGAGTGGATACAGTGTAATGAATTTAATGAATGGAATTATGGAATTTGATTATTATTGGTGTTGGTGTTGGTGTACTCTTACGACGGGCAATGCAATGCTCGATAATGATAAATGTTGAGTGTGATGACAAGAGAAGAGAAGTATAGGTCTAGGGCGTATATCGATTCGATACTTTAGCATGCACTGGACCATTACAATAGCACAATTGTATATTATCAGGTTTGATCATAAAAGAGAGAATTTTCATGAAGCTAACTCATCTGTCTAACCCTCACTGGATCATCAAAAGTCCTGTGATATCTCAACCCTACTGAATGAATACAATCAATGTAAAAAAGAAAGTTTCCCAATAACTCCTCATAATACCCAAACGCACGACGGCAGCTAAGTCATGATTTCCTCACCCAGCCAGCACATAATGATCCTAGCCAAGAAGCGTACCACGCCCATCCATCCCTCGCATCAATACGATATCCAGGTCCATCACACGGTACCAAATCCCACCTTACACCCCAGTTGTCCTTGACGTGGAGAAGAAGTAGGAATACATGAGCATAGAATTTGCCCTTTATTGCCCTTCCCTCATTTCTCTACCCAGAGCCCTGCCGAAGAATAAACCAATTTAACACAATATCCTTCACTTGATAGCATGAGTGTCCTTGTCCAATGACTCGCCGACCGAAAATAACCAGAAACAAAACCAAAAACAAAAAGTAAGCCGAGAGTACGTGATACTTATACGCCTCTTTATCGAAGAATCATTAGCGATGCAAAATACAAAATCTCATCTTATCTCATGACCAGAGAATGAGAAGTCTATTCTTGCATGGCATCACCGGCATCATCGTCGGTTGTGGTTTGTTTGGGGCTGGAGATGTCTTGACCGAAGAGCTGGCCATTGTTTGCGGTTGTGGTTTGCTTGGGGCTTGAGATATCCTGGCCGAAGAGTTGCCCCTTGTTTGCAGTTGTGGTTTGCTTGGAGCTCGAGATATCTTGGCCGAAGAGCTGGTCATTGTTTGCAGTTGTGAGGTTTTTGGCAGAGGTTTTGGCAAAGAGGGAGCGGGGCTTGGCATTTCTGGAAAGAAGATTATTAGCATTTGTTCCCGTTATTGCTGGTGACTTGGACATTTGAAGATGGGATCGCTTGAGAAACCGTTTATGTGTGAAGGGATAGAGATAAGGTGGGATAACAAAAGGTACTCACTTTCCAACCTGTTTATTACGATAAGCCGACAACTTGGCAGTAGTTGGCGATTGAATGGTATCAGATGGCGAGATGTACTTTTCCTCTTGACCCCTATAAAGCGAACGAATTAGTGAATGTTCATGTATTTCCTTCCTCTTTAATTTGGAGAATGTCAAGTAGTGAAGGCGTAACCAAACAGTGAAGGTAAAACATGTCAACATACTGATTCTGCTGCATTTTATTCTGCAAAACCTGTCGATGATACTCCATACTCTTTGGATCAGTACCAACTGGCACTTTCTTCTCATCGACGTTGTTGACTTGATTCATGGCTGAAATGTTGACGTCTTTGTTGGAGAGAATGCTTGAAGACATTGGATTTGATTTGATTTGGAGTGGAGAGCGTATAGTATCTTTGAATTTGACGAGTATGTATTGTTTTGATGATTGATTGTATGTAGGAGTACTTGTGGATTGGAATTGGATATTGTAGAAGTGATTGTTTTGTGAGGGTTTTAGTACTTGTTTGGTGAAGGAGAGAGAAAATTTATGAGTCGAGCTCTGCTCTGGTATTTACGCTTGTTGTCCCAGCAACAAGAAGCATATTTCTTCCGGTTCTCCATTTCCCCTCCAGGTTGCAAATATGGTAACGTTATCAGTATGATGTATCACTAAGGGTACGGAGAAATGGAAAGCTTTGGAAATCTTGCAATGTTTTGTTGTCATTTTTGATTTGTTTTGATTTGATATTTAGATATTTAGTATCAATTCATGAGCTTATGTATGTATTATATTGTACCTCAATTTAGTTGGTCATGCAAATTCTGTCTCATTTCCTTTATCCCTACTCAAGTAAATCCTACTATCTAGCTTATAACTTAGATTTCTCCCGAACAGTTGGTCCAGGTTCTACACGCTTAACCCGATACTTTGCGAACAGGGCTTCTGTTGTTTCCATCTGCCTATGGATTTTCTGTGTCACCTCAGCTCCCCTCTTATTTTCATTTCTGCCCAATTGTTGTAAATGTACCTCATCCGGTCCATCGGCCAACCTCAAGGTTCTGATATTCGCCCACATTGATGCGAGAGGGGTATCTTGACATACACCAGCTCCTCCAAATGATTGGACGGCACGATCGATGACTGTTAAAGCCATGGTTGGTACGAGAACCTTTGCCTCACCAATCTCCTTAAGTGCACTCTTTGCACCTCCTTCGTCTATTTTAATAGCAGCATTCAACACCACTAGACGAGCTGCATCAATTTCAATTCGTGATCTTGCTACCCACTCAAGGATTACACCATGTTCTTTCAATTGCTTCTTGAAGGGTGTCTTTTTGGGATCATTGATGCGCATAAGCATCCAATCGAGTGCTTTCTCGGCCTGGAAATAATTAGTTTTGAAATGTCTATGTAGATATTGTTAAAACTTACAGCACCAATAGATCTCATGCAGTGATGAATACGTCCAGGACCAAGACGACCTTGAATAATCTCAAATCCACGTCCAGGACCGAGTACCATGTTCTTTGCTGGTACTCTAACATTCTTAAATGTCAAATGTCCATGTCCGTGAGGAGCATCATCAAAACCGTAGACTGACAACATTCTATTGATGGTAATGCCGGGAGCATCTGCTGGTACCAGGATGACCGACTGTTGCTTGTATTGATCCGTGTTATGAGGATCACTCTTGGCCATAACAATATAAACCTTGCATCTTGGATCACCAGCACCACTCGACCACCATTTCTACAACATGTTAGTTCGATTGGCCTCGATCGGACATAAAGACATGACAACTCACCGAACCATTCAGAATCCAATGATCCCCATCTCTCCTCATATCCATCTGAATATTCGTAGCATCCGAACTTGCAATATCCGGTTCCGTCATCAAGAAGGCCGAACGAATCTTCCCAGCTAACAATGGAGCAAGCCATTGCCTCTTCTGTTCTTCATTTCCATATTTCGCCAACACTTCCATATTTCCCGTATCTGGAGCCGCACAGTTCGTAGCTTCAGATGCTAGATGTGATTTACCCAACTGTTCTGCCATTAAACCGTATTCGAGGTTTGTGAAGCCAGCTCCTTCTGTATAATGTCCTTTCGCAAGAAACATGTTCCATAATCCGATGCTTTGGGCCTCCTTCTTCAGGTCTTCGATGACTGAAGGATAGGCATCCCATCTCTGGGTACCTTCGCCGAGTTGAGCGTGGAATATGGGGTCAGCGCTATGGATTGTTAGTGGTGTGGTCTTATGGGTTGAGGTATAATAGGAGATGAGATGACATGGTGGCGAACATACGGTATACATTTCTCTTCGACGAATTTTGTAACGAGATCAAGAGTCTTCTTTGCATGATCGCTCACTCGATTAGCGGCCTAGTGGGGAAATAATTAGTATTTGCGGAGGCGGGACCACTCATGAATTCCAAGGTTCTTACGAGAATAGGGATCTTGTCGGACATGATGGATGGATAGTAAAGGGGGCCTGGAGGGATATGTGTACAAAGTTAAGTTAATAAGACTCTCAAGATGATTTCAGTTGTGATAATGTTTGTGTATTCAACAAAAGCTATTAATTTGCGAGTGAGTGACTGTATGTATTTGAAATGAAGATTAATAAAAACACTGAGCTGTTAATGTCTTAAAGTACCTATCCTTAGGTAGTTGCTGTTACCCCAAACTTCTCCACACACTCGGCTCGGCAGATTGGCCTTAGACCGAGGTGTTATTAATCAATCATATGTGAGATCAATGGTACGAGAAATCGGTCCCATATTGTTAGGGTAGTACGAGGTGATGTTTTTTATTTATTTAATCACTGCCATAACTCCAACCAAAGATGTAAACCCCCACCGTTATTGAGGTATCCTTTCTAAGACTATCCTTTCTATGACCCAAATCCGATATCAGTCAGACCTTTAGTCAGCAAAATAATCCGCCCTTCTCTTGCCCTTTCCACCTGGCTTGTTTCCCTTGAAATGCTTTTTGCTAGTCAATTTCTGAAGATCATTTGGATCGACGTCCTTCTCTAAGGCTACGAGAGTTGCCTGTTTCCTTCCCGACAGCTGTTTTCCACTCGCAGTTCCCTGCTCAGAGTACTTGTGACTGAAAGGCATTCGTAAGTGTGCTGAAGTACCTGATCCTTGGGCAAAGAAAGTACTGTCGAGATTCTTTGATTTCGGCCCTTGTGGCAGTTCCATGATGTCAGAATCTGCAACAGACGTTTGATCATCAGCGGAGGCCGCCATAGACGCCAATGCATGTCGTCTCTTTTCCGGCAGATGGCCTTCGTCATACAATTCCTTGTTGAACTCAAAAATATCAATGTCTATTGGTGGAGGCAGGCAAAACAGCAATTTTCCTTTGACATAATCCTTAAGTATGTGTCTAGCGGCTCTCGACTCATCTGGTTGACCTTGTCCAGTTCTCCTGAAACCTCTTGCCCTGGCGTATGCTGTTAACATCTCTTCAGCTGATGGAATACCAGTTCCTCCTTCTTCCAAAGGTCTGATTACGATTTTCATTCCATATAATGCTTCTAAGAATCCTTGAGGTATGCGATGTGCTACTAAACCAGCTGGCCCCACGAATTCACGAAGTTGATCAATAGGTAGAATACCACTGCATACAAGTTCTGCTTTGGTAGTAGCGAAGTTGGGGAAAACCAAACCAGGACAATCGCAAAGCAAAACTTTGTCACTGAGATGGATAGTTTGGAAATGCTTGGTTTTTCCTGGTGTCGATGATACAGACACTTTCTTGGCGCCGATCAGGGCGTTGATGGTAGAAGATTTACCGACGTTAGGATATCCGACGAGACCAATTTGAGTCTTTCTAGGTTTATCTGACTCGGAATCTATTTTTTGTTAGTTAGCTATAGATCTAGTTGCTTGAAGTGACAACTTTTACCATTAAGATCAGGTGCATGCAGTAAGAAAAGAGCCTCCAACTCATCCACGGTCAAGATCCTGGTGCTTTCGGTCTCAACGATTTCGTCATCAATTTCGTCATCCTCTTCTTGCGCATCCGCTCCTTCATCTTGTTCGTCGCTTTCTGCTTCACTATCCTCCTCATCTTCGTCTTCATCGTCGTCGTCAAGACCAAGTGCTTTCGCCTTCTCTGCTAGTTTCCACGCAGAAGTAGAGGCCTGGGTCTCCTCTTCGGTCTCTTCTGCCATTGCGTCGTTTAATTCCTTTGCCAAAGCTGCTGAGAAGAACTTGTATTTGATACCGGCGGCCTCAAAATAATCAGCCCAATGTTGTCTTTGCCCCAAAGTTAACATATCAGCCTTATTGACCAATAAGAGATTCTCTTTGCGGCTATCGACGTCTTTGACGTATCTCTCCAAATCTTCAGATCGAAACAAGAGTGGATTCCTAGCATCGACAATTTGTACGATAAGATCAGACCTCTCAATAACTCTCCACAACTGCCTCCAAACCTCCAAATTGCGCTCGAATGGTGTCATCAATAAATCGTTGTTTTCTTGAAGTTCAGCCAATCCTCTTCTCCATTCGAGAAGACCATCTCTCTCCATTCTATCCAATTCCTGTGGGGTTGTGGAAGAATCCCATTGAGGTCTTCTGGGAACTGTAAGTCTTTCCTTGTGCGACTTTTGCTTGCCGACTGCCGCCCGTTCTTCCGCGGCCGATAACAGGTATGGATTCTTTTGATCGGTAGTGATGATCTTCACATTGTTCATCTTCTCCGCTGTGAAATCTGTGCCGGCTAATTCTGCAGTTGACAAGAACTCGTCGAGTGCTGCCTGCTCTGTAACCGATCGCATCTTGACCCAACTGGCCTCCTGCTTTTCATTGGTGACATACTATTTTCTATCAGTACCAAACAATTAGATGATATATTTTATACGTACAGTTTCTCCGGTGTCTTTGTGAACTCTCTGAATTCCAGTTGATGTGACCTTCTTGCGATCTGCTCCCTTGCCCTTCCCAAACCTATCATTCATCAAACTGTTACCCAGTCCAACGGTGTTTTTGGATTTTGCGTGAACCATCTTATGTACTTATGTTCTTTCTTGCCTTTGGCAGGTACTGCAAGTGAAAATAAAAAAATTGTAATAGAATCCCCAGTAATATGCAATTTTGAAATTGAATTATAGAATTTTATAAATTTATGATGGAGGGTTGATTATCTCTGATTATCGAGCAAAATGAGGGGCAAATTTCTCGGCCCAGTGACGAAATTTGACCGCCAAAAAAACTGCCCGCACTAAGAAATTTAAATCTTTCCAACAAATGATTCACAATTCTAGACATCTACCTATCTACAGTGCTACACATTCAAATTCATCCGACCACATTATAATAAACATTCTATCACTACTATCAATATGGCTCGAGGAAAGTGGATCGATAAGAAGAATGCGACACATTTTCAACTTGTTCATCGTCCTCAGAACGATCCGTTAATTCACGATGAATCTGCTTCGTCCATGGTCCTAAATCCCACCAATGCCCCCAATTTGAACAAAATCAAAAAACTCGAAGAATTAAACGCTGAGCTTGGTGCAGGTGTCGCACATATCAGAGATAACGAAGGTGAAGCCGCAAACTACGGTGTTTACTACGATGATACCGAATATGATTATATGCAACATATGCGCGTTTTGGGTCGTGGAGGTGGTGAATCAACTTTTGTGGAAGCCACTGGACCAAAGAATAAGAATAAGGGGAAAGGAAAACAAACTTTGGAGGATGCATTGAGAGATGCTAGTCTGGAAGAAAAGGCTGGAGCCGTTCTTGATGATGAGATGTTGCCGTCCAAGAATCTTCGAAAGGTTACCTATCAAGCACAACAGAATGTACCTGATGCTTTAGCCGGTTTCCAACCTGATATGGATCCAAGGTTGAGGGAGGTTTTGGAAGCCTTAGAGGACGAGGCTTATGTAGACGATGATGACGAGATTTTTGGAAAACTGGCACAGGATGGGGAGGAATTGGACGATGAAGAGTTCGACGAAACTTGGGATGATGAAGATGGATGGGAATCCGACGCCACCGCAAAACCTACGCAAGAATACAAGGACGCACCTGTGACAACTCAAGATATTGATAGTGATGAGCGGGAGGATCATGGCGATGGAGATTGGATGGCAAACTTCAGCAAATTCAAAAAGGATCAAAAGTCAATCAAGGCTCAAGTTGCGCAATCACAAGCCGACGTACAATCATCCTTATTTACCACCACTACAAATGGCGGAAGACACAAGAAGAGAAAGGGCGCTTTGACTAATCCTTCCGCTTACTCCATGACATCGTCTTCAGTATTCAGGACAGAAGGCCTTACTACACTTGATCAGCGATTTGAGAAAATTGAGGAACAATACAACGAGGATTTCGATGATATGGCCTCCGTCTCGATGGCCTCGTCTTCGATTTCTACTGTTGAGGGTGATGTTCGTCAAGATTTCGACAGTATTATGGATGAATTCCTGGGTACTCATTCTATGAGCGGTAAGACGAATGTAAAGAAGATGAAATACCAGACTGGTATGGAACAGCTGGACGAGGTTAGAAAGGGTCTCGGCCCGGCACGCTTCACCAGCTTCTCCAATCGCTCCACTCGTACGCAAAAGGCGTGAGCATTCAGTGGAGGTCTCTAAAAGCAAGGAGTTCTGGTTTGGCATTTGGTTCTACATCTGGTTCACATGGTGCTGGGAGTTCAGGCAAATACTTCGAAAAGTATGGAATTCCCCAAGGTCAGGACATCTAAGAATAAAAGCGTATAATGGCGCAAATCGGAGCCTTCATGTAGAGCTTTTCTTGGGCTATCATAAAATGAAAATACACATACATCTACTTGTTGCCTTGGGGTCATTTCTGATCAATGTATTATTACTCGCGCCGTACATGAGGGGGAAAAATACGAGGACGCCATTTCCGATTGGCGGTGTATACTCAATTAATTGGCAGAACTTAAGCTATCGACGTATGGAGTTTAGCGTGATTATATGTAAACCTTATTCGATTTACCTTTTAGCACCCGACACCCATTTACTTCACTTTAGTTAGTCAATTGAAAAGTGTAAATAATTACTAGTAATTCAATCACTGGACGCTTACACCAAAATTTACTCGAACACTCCTCTCCTCGTCCATTCCCACCTCTCCATGATCCATATCACGAACCATGCTGCTCCATAGCAGTAACGCCAGAGGCGCACGAGGAAACTCAAAAAGTTCACGAGGATCAAGAGGTCGCGGACAGACGGGTCGAGGAGCTTCAAAGAACTCCTCTGGTAAGCCCCAACACAATTTCATAACACCACTACGATCTCGAGAACATCGACCGACATACCAATATTTATCTCGGGAAGTCCCTTGGTAGTGGTTAAAATCATTACTAAAATATTCACAAAATTATCATGAAAGAAGCTCATCCAAAATTGACCATTTAGCTACTCCATCTCCGAGCGCGACAACTACGGCGAATCCCTTCGAAAAAGAGCGACTCGAGAATGCTGCGAAGAGGGAACAACGAGGCCAAAACGGAACTACGACCAATAACAGAGGAAGAGAATCATCGCGCGGCGAGTCGCATACCAATAAACAGGTTCGATTCGCGACTTCACCAATCGAGAACTCAGCTGGCTCGTCTGCCAGCGCAACGCCATCAGATATGAAGACTTCTTCTGCCCTGGGGACTGCAACATCTACACTCTCCAATCCCTTCGCATTCACAGGGAACATAAATTCGAAAACATCATCAAAGCTCTTTGGAGGAGCACCCACCGGACCCAGCGCCAAAACTACCTCGCCATCACCTTTTGCTCCCTCGTCTAGCTCTAATCCTCCAAATACAAATAATTTCGGCCTTGCAACTGCAGCTCCATCGACGGCTGTAAACCCATTTGCCTCTTCAAATACTATTCGCACTGCTTCACCTTCGTCGAATTTTGGTACCCCATCAGGTGTCTCGACAACTCCTTTATCTGCTCTAGTCAATTCTCAAAAGCCAGGTATCCTGAAAGCAACTAAAGGCGCGTCTTCGAAACAAGTCTCATTCGAGGAGAAACCCGAAAAGCCTTTCCAGCAAAATGCATCGAAAGAGCCATTTCAATCAAGCAATGGGTTCACGGAGAAAAAGAATAAAGCGTCCATTCAGTCAAAGGCAAGCTTCAAGAATACCACATCAACATCCTTGGAAATGGCCTCGTTCGGCTCGAGCAGTGAGCTAGCCAACAATATCAACACTCTTTTACGAAAAGAAAAAATTTCACCACCACGATGTGCCGCGAATAATCCTGGCGACCCACGCGAGAAGACGGCTGTAATTACCTATCTAGATGAACTCAAGAAGTATCGAACACGCGTCCGCGCATCCCTTATCCAAGGCGGCTTCATCGATGACCCGTCTAAACCCAAAAAGCTTAGCGAGGCTATTGACTTCAAAGGGACATGTGATCAAATGTGCCCGGAAGAAGAAATCATAAGAAGGATCATCGAAGATGATGTCCAGCGTTCAGAAAAGGAGATGGTCCCCGATGGATCTATGCGCCCTTCACCTCAGATGATGATCAAGAAGTTGGCCAGATCCGCTGCTGGAGAAGATGCACCACTGCCTCAAGATGTTCGATCACCCGCTGCACTCAGACGAACACTTGACTATCTCATCGACACAGTTTTAGGAGAGGATGATAATCTAGCAGCTCAGCATGAATTTCTCTGGGATCGAACGCGAGCAATACGTCGAGATTTCGTATTTCAATCGTCAATGAGTCCACCAGAGTTGACCGATCAAGTTTACTGCCTCGAAAAGATTACTCGGTTTCATGTGACTGCGCTACATCAGATGTCAAAGCCTGATGTCGCACCAGAGAACTTTGTGGAACAGCAAGAGGTTGAACAACTCAGCAAGTCTCTCCTTTCGCTCATCCACGCCTATGAAGATTGCAATCTTCAAAATATATCTTGCGAGAACGAAGCGGAATTTAGGGCATATTATGTACTGCTCAATAGTAGCAATCCTGGAATTTTGGAGACTGTACAAAATTGGGGGTGGAAGTTTTGGGGAGAGTCAGAGCAAATTAAGATTGCCGTCGGTTTAGTTGAATGTCTACAGAACACCTGGAGCCCTCGTGGTCCATTACAACCATTCTCGGTACTGAACGTCGCCCAAAATGCCTTCTCCCGCTTCTTCACAATATTGAAAGGCCGAAATGTGTCATATACCATGGCTTGCTTCGCTGAGATGCACTTCAATGAAGTTCGAAAAAATGCTTTGAAAACAATATTATCGGCCTATCAGCGACAGCGCGACCAACCAAAGGATTGGAGTATTGGCAAACTGAACCAATATTTGCACTTCGACGACCCATGGGATATAGTTGACTTTGGTGAATCATATGGTCTTCGATTCGACGAGGTGGATGACGATTACTGCTTATCATTAGCACTAGATAATCAAGTCGTTGAACCCTTTCCTCCCATCAAGCAACCTCATTCTAGGGAGATTGTCGAGCGAAAATGTACTGGTTATACTCTGACACAGGTGATCGATACGACTGTATACGAAGGAGTATCAGAAATTACGAATCAAGGTGAAGATTCAAGTTCTGACGATGGATTGTTCGTGAAGGACAGCACTGGAGGGGTGAAATCATTACCTTCAGCAGGCACCATTGCTGAACCGCCCAAAGCACCTGAACTTTCCATTGCTCAGACAACACAGCAAGCCTTTTCAACCTCCCCCGCTACGCCATTATTTGGCTTTTCGTCTGCAAGCGAGACGAATACCGCTACACCTTTTCTGGCAGAGAAGCCAAAGGATGAAACTGCTCCTTCTGCTGCACCCACTCCATTCACCCCACTTGCCCCCTTTAAAGTCACATCAGCGAGTGCCCTACCCTCACCTAGGACTACAGAACCACCAAGGTCAACTTGGCCATCCAATAATGCAGCATCTCCGAATCTACCCCAAACGACTCCTACAGCACCTCCAAAATTCAGTTGGCCATCGGACAACGCAGTGTCTTCGAACTTGCCACAAACAACTTCTACAGAAATCAAAACATTCATTCCTCAAGCACCAGTTCCGCAATTTACTCGACCCAAACTCAATGATTGGAGTTCTAGTTCCAAGCCTATGCCTCAGTCCGTCTTTTCTGAGCCAGGAGGGCAGTCATCCGTGCCCGAATCCACTAAGGCCAGTACATTTACTCCAACGCCACAACCTGACCTCAGCAACTTATTCAAACCTGTCGTCAAAGTAGCCCCACAGCCGACTATCCAAGCACTTGCACCTCACGTCTCTCCATTAGACAACTTTGCCAAATGGATTGCCCTTGGGGAAGATGGAATCATGGAACAATTCATGACATATACAGTCCAGAATTTGGTGGAAGAGACGATGGAAATTTTTGTGAGAGATGTGGCTGCAAAAGCAAGAAAAGAGGCCGAGCTTATCGACGAAGAAGAGAAGAAATTGGCACGAAAGGAAGCCGATGATTTCCGAAGTAACGCTCTAGCTGTGAAATATTGTAACATGTGGCGGGCTAATGCCCATCATCTTTGGGTACGTCGACAGGGGAGCAAAGCTCGAAGAGCTCGGATAGAATACGCTGAAAGCATGAAAGCTTCCAGGGCAGCATTCTCGGCTAGTGTTGTTGAGGATTTCAGAGTTTCGACTTCAAAGGGTAGAAAGCGGGTAAGCAGCCCTTTTAAGGATCGACGATTAAGTTTAGGAAGTCTCTTGGAGGAAACTGGGGTGCTTGCGGGTGTCCACAACCCAAAGGACAAGATACGAGAAATTGTGCATAACGGACAGGCCGAACATATCAACAAACGATTGAAGTCTTCCGTATCTTCTATCGCGTCGGATTCGACTTCAAATACACATAGACGCAATCAGTCGGACCATTCTTTGCAACGTTCCCTACTCTCAGATCCTTCGTTCTTAAACGGGGGATCTCGGATACATCTTATGCCCAGTTATCGAGCTGCAGATGAGACCCGGCCACAGATCAGTGGCGTACAAACCGACTACTTTCGATTGAAAGCTAGAGGCATCACCACTCTTCCTAATGGGACACCTCTCGCTACCTCTGTGGCAAAGGATCCTCTACGTCTAAAGCAATCTTTCGATGGTAGTAGTAAGCCTATTAGATCTAGAAGATCATCGATATTGCCAAAAGAGCAACCGATCCCAAGAAGTAGCCCTGCTAGAGTACCTGCTCAGCAATTGCTTATGCCTACACCGACTGATGACGAAGAAATTCAACGCTTGAAAGAGCGAGCTAGAGCGGTTATGGCAGCTGATTCTGGGAAAAAGTTACAAAAGCGTGGGTTGGATGACGATGAAGATTTGTTTGAGAGAGCAAAGAGAATTAGGGACAGGATGGATGAAGATTCCGAGTGGCTAAGGCGAGAAGTTGATAGGTATTCGGAAAGCAGAAGTGGATCATGGTCATAGATGTGTTCATAGCATTTTAGGGGCGTTCTCTCAGCAAGGTGGTTCTTGTAATGATATTTGAGAGGAATGGAGTTTGGTAGCTATACTTGGTATCTATGGGCGTTACAAGGATTGTATAGGATGTGATTAATGATACCTTGGTACCTTTTTGGCATTAATAGAATGTCACACAAAAAGAGGTTGGTTGGATGAGATGAAGGAGAATAAAATCGGATTTTTCTCTTTCTGAATAACATGCTTATTTCTACGAATTTATTGTGACATGCAACATGCAGAATTGACAATCCAAATTACAGTATTAGAATTGTTGGTACAAACTACGAGTATAATAAGCAACAAATGCCTTTGTTTTTGCTCCAATTAGTCAATAACTAGGTAGTAATACCAGCAGCTCAAGCTCTCACTCTCAGTTCCCACCTGAATGTTTTATTTCGTGCACGTGATGATTGAAGCTTTACCTTGTCGGACTTAGCTCCCTCCACCAAAATTTCTCATCGGTAAATTTTCTAGAGCTTGAAATCTTCGAGGAAAATTGAAAAATAATCAACCACCTCGACAGCGACCACACAACCTCGGATATTGTAGATTCGTCAATTACCCTTATCCAAGATGGCGCTCGTATCGACAAAGAAAGACCAAGAGGTTGATTATACAATCAAGCCTGAAGCCTTAACTCCAGCCATTGACACCAGCAACTGGCCATTATTGTTGAAAAACTATAACAACTGTATGTTTGAAGGTATTCAGGCAATTGGGAATATCTACTGACATTGTTTAGTACTTGTTCGCACTGGACACTTCACCCCAATTCCCAATGGCTGCACACCGCTGAAGAGAGACCTCAAGTCCTACATCAGCTCTGGTGTTATTAACCTCGATAAACCTTCCAACCCTTCCAGTCACGAAGTTGTAGCTTGGGTTAAGCGCATGTTGAGGTAATTATCATACATTCACTTTTTCGCAGTATAGTTGCGACAAAAGCTAACCTTTACAAATTTTAGAGTTGAGAAGACTGGTCACAGTGGTACTCTCGATCCAAAGGTTACCGGATGTTTGATCGTCTGCATTGACCGCGCAACAAGACTTGTCAAATCACAACAAGGAGCAGGAAAGGAGTATGTGTGTGTTATCAGATTACACGACAAACTTCCAGGTGGAGAACCACAATTTGCGCGAGCCTTAGAAACCTTAACTGGTGCTCTCTTCCAACGTCCTCCTCTTATATCTGCCGTCAAACGTCAACTCCGTATTCGAACAATCCACGAGAGCAAATTGTACGAATTTGATAACGACAGACATTTGGCTGTATTCTGGGTCAGCTGTGAAGCTGGTACATATATCCGTACTCTTTGTGTCCATCTTGGATTATTGTTGGGTGTTGGCGCACACATGCAAGAGTTGAGAAGAGTAAGAAGTGGTGCCATGGATGAGACCAAAGATATGGTCACTCTTCATGATGTTTTGGATGCACAATGGATGCAGGACAACGCACGCGACGAAGCATACTTGAGAAAGGTTATTCAGCCATTGGAGACCCTTCTTACTACATACAAGAGAATTGTGGTCAAGGATAGCGCCGTCAATGCTGTCTGCTATGGTGCCAAGTTGATGATTCCTGGATTGTTGAGATACGGTATGTCTTCCCTTTTTTTTTACCCAACCCCGCGATGATTAGACACGAGTTTCATGCACCACTCATATAGCCTTCGGGTCGTTGATGAGGAACAAACCACTTTTGAGAATGAGCACTGGGATACAATTACAAATTTTCGAGATTTTGATTTAGGAAGGCTTGCGCTAATCAATACCACAGAGGCCGATATTGAGGTTCACGAAGAGGTCATCCTCATGACCACCAAGGGAGAAGCCATTGCCCTTGGTATCGCCCAGATGTCCACCGTTGAACTTTCCTCATGCGATCACGGTGTTGTTGCCAAGGTCAAGCGTTGCATCATGGAACGTGATCTCTACCCACGCAGATGGGGAATGGGACCAGTAGCAATCGAGAAGAAGAAGATGAAGGCTGATGGTAAACTCGATAAATACGGAAGACCAAACGAAGCCACCCCTGCCAAGTGGAACACCGATTACAAGGATTTCACCGCTCCTCCTGGGGATGGAACTGTTGCTATTGCATCTCACCCAAAACTTGAAGAGACTTCAGTTGCTGCTCCTCCAGCCCTTGCACCAATCGATGGAAACGCTGCCAATGATGATGAAGATAAGAGCGACAAGAAGAGAAAGAGACATGACGGAGAGTCAGCAGAAGAAAAGGCCGAGAGAAAGCGCAAGAAGAAGGAGAAGAAGTCCAAGAGGGAATCAAAGAAAGGTGCCGCGGGCAGTTCTGATAGCGAGTAAATCCGAAAAGTAATATTTTCGCATTGCTCATTATCATGATTAGATCTCGGAGTTAGAGTTCCTCTTTTCCTTGTTCTCAATTTTCTTTACGTTCTTACGGTGGGGATGAGAATTGGCGTTGACAAATGTTTCTGATTCTATGTATGCAATGAACGCAGCATGGCTTTTGTATCATACTTGCAGGGTTTGTTTGCAGGCAGGGTAGTTCAAAAGAAATTCGATAGGAAAACTACATAAGTTTAAATGAAATGTATAATCCAATTGTGTATGTTAGATTTTGGTGATATGGTGATATGGTGATGTGGTAATAGGGATTTACTGTATAGATGTATCACGAGACTTCCGAGTATTCATATCCGTGATGCCCTTGTCACGAAAAGCAATACCTACAGTATGAGTTGCACCTGGACTTTTACAATTTCACTAGTACTCGTATAACTCTAACACGTCTTCGAAATCCGTTAATCACCAGACCTTTTAATTCCATTCACCCCCCAAACCTAAGCCTTAAAAGCACTAACAATACTAATAACATCCTCATCAGCAACCAAATGACTCAACCCCACCCTTTGCGGAACATGTCTCGCACTCGCTCCCCAAACCATTGCATACTTGAACGTATCCTTCAACGTCCTATGAATCTGATCACACACATCCTCAATCTTACTCCCACTCCTCACAATCAAAGCCTCTGAGAAATCTGGATCCACTCCCTTTCTCTTGGTATAAATCCTAAAAAGTTTTAATTCGTCCCAACAGCGATCTACCACATCACGTATGCCGAGATCCATTTCGCAAGACATCACGCATGTGTTTGGTTCCCGAGCAAGTGTGTCGAGGAAATCGAGAGACACGCTGTCGATTTTGTTGTAGACGTATAGACATTTGATGTATTTGCGATGGTCTTTCATGACGACGTCGATGAAGTCGTCGACGGTGCAGTTTTCGTCTCGGATGAGTACTTCACAGTTGAGAATTTTGTAGTCTCGGAGGATGTTGTAGATCATTTTTTGATCGAGGTGTTTGGGGGGTGTCGAGAAAGCGATTTTCATGCCGCCGGCGGCTTTGGGTTTGAGGTAGATGTTTCTGGGGATGTTAGCTTGTGATTTTGATATGGTACCAATTTCTTTGGTCTATCTGGACAACAAGGTGAAAGTCAAACATACGGTGGTTCCCTATTCAACCTAATCCCCACGGCCTCCAATTCCGCCTCCAACAACGCTCTCTGCTCCGCCTTCTTCGTAGCATCCAAAATCATCAAAATCAAATCACTCGTCTTCGCCGCACTAATCACCTGTCTTCCTCTTCCCTTTCCCTCCGCCGCCCCCTCAATAATACCCGGCAAATCGAGAATCTGAATCTCCGCTCCTCCATACTCCAACACACCAGGAATAGCCGTAAGCGTGGTAAATGAATAGGCCGCCACGACAGACTTTGTCTTGGTGATCTTGGAGAGGAACGTAGATTTTCCAACAGATGGGAACCCCACTAGGGCAATTCGCGCATCTCCGGATTTGGAAACGTCGAAGCCGGTGCCGCCTGCACCTCCAGCTCCAGGACCGGGCTCGAGTAGTTGAGCGCGGTAACGGGCGAGTTTTCTATGAGGTGGTGGGTTAGTAAAGCGAACCACCCAGTAAACGAGCCACTCAGTGAACGATATCACCAGAGAAAATGAAACGAACCCTTTAAGAAGACCAAGATGATATTCTTTGATACATCATATCAGCCACGATCACGTGTTATCAATTCCCTCCACTCCGTATGTTACATACCCGTCGCCTTATTTTCTATTTAAACAAGATCATTAGTATATCTTCTCATCGTTTTTCATCGCATCATCCATCTCCCACCACAAAACAAACACTACAACACACCCGACCACCTCATCCTCATCCCCTAGTACAAACAAGCAACTTACTCTGCGTCCTCCTCATCTCATCCTCAATCCTTTATATGCACACCATTAGCCATCTATTCCTCTTCCATCTTCCATTCTCATTTCCATTTCCATTTCGTCAACCTCAATTCCCGCTTCATCAACCCATTCCCTATCTCACAACCCATCCATATCCATCTCCCACCTCACCTCACACCCCCCACAAACAAACCCCAAAAAGAAAAACTCACTCCTTAATCTTCTCCGTAATATTAACCATCTTGATCTCGACTCAAGTTTGCGCTCCACAAACAAATTCAATCCAATCCAGTACAATATAAAATAATATGATATGAGCGTGCCTTTTTTGCGCTCCGTCAAAGAAAGAAAGAATAAATAAAACCTGTGATTTTTCGACGTTTGCTTATTTGGGCTATGAAAAAAGGCGGTCGTGCCTGGCAGATTAGCTTTTTGGGGGCGTTATGTAAGGTTACCCCACCATTTATTTATGTGTGCCCCTCCTTGAAGATAAACGAATATATGATCACATAGAAATACAGAAGGTAAATGTCTTTCATTCGGGTCCTTGATTCGCATAACTTAAGTTTCTTTCTTCATCAATCTACTCGAGTATTCATCTATCAATCAATTTTAACTACCTATCGGTATCAATAAAGTGGAATCTCCCCCTCTCCTTCCATTCCCTTTCCTTTTCTCCACCAACACCTACGCCAACCGCAATCTCAATTCTTCATTTTTATTAGTATACTTACCATCGCTCCTCTGAACTTGGAATTTTAGTTATAAATCCTAGCCAAAGAATAGGAAATAATTGCAAAAGCATCGCTCAGCTACGCTATACCATCAAGCAATCAACCAATCTATAACCTCCTCTGCGTCTGCAACCTTCTTCCTACCCTCCCCCTCTCCCTCCCATCATCTCTTTCCACATCCCTCTCCACACCTCTCTCCACATCCATCCAGACCCCCTGTTCCAACAACCCCCATCTAGGAATCCATCTCAACCAACCCCACCAAGACCAACCCCCCACACCCACCGCCGCCGCGACAAAATTAGCTACGACAGAGCCCTCATTTATCTCTCTAGCATGCTAATCCGTAGCAAACTAAAGTAATGATCTAGGCGTCGACTTCTTCGGTGCGACAGTCGATATTGAGTCGGAGGTTTGGGCTGGCAATGTTGGATCATACATTCTTCCTCTAATCCACTCATCAAGTTGATCATCGTTCATCCCACGAATAGCAGGTTCGCGATCAAAATTGAATTTTTGAGCGGCGCGGATAACTTGACGAGCAACGATGACGCTTACTTTGCGGATGCGGGTGAGTTCGGGGTAGAGGCAACCGGAGGAGATTTCTGAAGGGGTGAGGGAGGTGCTGAGGGCTTCAGCTGAGGCGTAGATCTGTGGGTTTGTTGGTTAGATATTGTGGAGGTTGATGGAGGGTAAGGAATGAGGAGATGGGTTGACTTACCATTTCTTGATTGATGCATGAAGTTTTGCAAAGAATTGATCCGAGTCCAATACCAGGGAATACATACATATTGCTAAGATCTCATTAGTATCCATATTTCACAGAGCGGTTCAAGTGACTACTTACTTTCCTTGCCCAGCAGAGTATGTTTTCCCATCTTGAACATAATCGGGGAATGGACTTCCACTAGCAAACAAAGCTCGACAATCCGTCGATTTCATAGCTTCCTCGAATGTACATTCAGCTTGACTGGAAGGATTTGACAATGGGAATATAATTGGGTGCTTGTTCAATTCGGCCATTTTTTTGACAATGGACTCGTCGAAAATTCCTCGAATAGTGCATAATCCCATTAAGATTGTAGGCTTGACATATTCGACCACTTCCGAGAGAGTTTTGAATTGTTTTCCCTCGTTGTCATCACGAGAAAAGTAGACCTTGTGCTCGGCCAACTTATCACCTCTATCATTTGTGATAAGACCCTAGAATCGTCAGCTTTTGGCTCATGTAATGTAATGTAAAAGAAATAAATACCTTGGTGTCCACAAACCAAAAGCAACGACGTGCTTCATCCTCAGTTAATCCCTCCTTTCGAAAGAATTCTACAATTTGTTGAGCAACACCCACACCAGCACTGCCTGCACCCATAAAAACAGCTCTTTGATCTTTGATAGGAATACCGGTTCGACGTAAAGCATTAATGATGCCTGCCAAAATAACCGCACCAGTACCCTGAATATCATCATTGAAGCAAGGATACTTGTTCTGATACTTTGCGAGAGCTGGGAATGGATTTTTGAAATCCTCATATTGGACGATAATCCTACTCATGAATTAGTAAAAAGTTCTTCTCGTCCAAAACATCTTCGAATACCATACCCAGGCCAAGTCTTGTTCAATGCTACCATCAACTCCTCCATGAACTCAGCTTCCTTTTCAGTCGAAATTCTCTTCATACGATTTCCCATATACAATGGATCGTTAAGAAATGTCTCATTATTAGTTCCGAGATCCAAAGTAATTGGCAAGGTCTTGGAAGGATGAATACCAGCACAACCAGTATATAATGCTAATTTTCCAACTGGAATACCCATCCCATTGACACCCAAATCACCCAAACCAAGAATGCGAGAACCATCCGTAACAACCGTCATCTCAACATCGGGTTGACGCCAATTACCAAGGACCTCTGCTAAGTTGCCTCGATCATGGTAGGAGAGATATAAACCTATTTTTGTCAATTTATTTCATCGGATTTTTAATTACACGATTACGTACCTTCAGGCTGTTGATAAATCTCCGACCATCTCAAACAAGCTTCTCCAACCGTCGGTGTATAAATCAAAGGCGTAATATCCTAAATACCACCGTTGTCAACCCCAATTCCATCCAATTGACACATCCTTCACTCCCGGACATTAAGGGAAAACAAACCGTCAAATTCTCCTGAACCAATCGATAAAATAGATGCACATTATTATTCCTCAAATTACTGAGGTACATGTACTTCTCAATCGGAGTCTTCTTTGCGTTCAATTGCTTGAGACCTACATTTCATCATGTCAGCTTCTACGCCTTGGATAACACAAACCACACACCGTCGAATAGCAAACTTACATCTTTGAATCTGCAGAGCATAGCTTTCCACACTAGGAGGAACAAGACCCAGTGTTTTTTTCTGTCTTCTCTCTTCTAATGAATCTGAGGTATCGGGTTGTATACTATGTCCATCATTAGTAAGTAAATCTTCATTTTCATATTCCTCTTCACCACATCCCAAATTCTTCCCTCTTCCCTCCCCCCTGAAAAACAAAAAGACAAAAAAGGTAAAAGAAAAAAGACGTGACTCACAGTTGACGAAAAGTAGACATATTGACTTGCGGAACAACTTGTATAGGTATAGATATAGAAGAATAATCAACCTGTTTCTCAGGTAATAAAGTCGTAGTCGTAGTCTTAGTCGTAGTATTAGAAGAATCAATATTTGTTTTTTTATAGGATCTAGGAATATTCGAAAAGGTTGTTGTCTCTTCCGACGCAATTGCAATTTCGTCCACTTCTGCTGGTTTGGCTGCAGCTCCAGAAGTCGATTGATATCTATTCAAGGGGAAGGGGCAGAGCCCGGATCCACGGCTAAAGCTCTGTACACCAACCCTGGAAAGTCGTATCCCTCGGTACATTCTCTTCGCTGTTTACTGTTTACCAATGGAGACAAATTGGTTGGTGATTTCCAATTTAGAGGATATAATCAGGTGTTTTTGTTGATTTTTGTTAGGATAGAGTGAGAAAAGTGATATAGGAATTATAGGAAAGTCGAAATTTTCAATTTTGGGTAAGGAAAAAAGGATATGGGTCATAAGGAATTGGGGTTGGTTTTGATTGAGTGGGTCAAAGTCGTGTATATACGGGTTGGGAAGAGAAGTATAAACACTTCCTCACTCGCAAAGTTAAATTCAGCCCATCCTTTATCGGAAGGTTGAGGAAAGAACGATATATATAAAGCCTCCAATATCGAATGTTTTGTGATTTCTCTTTTGAATATAATACACCATGTTCCCAATTATCCAATCAAATTCCCAGACAACACTACAACTTCCTCACCGGATTCCCCAGCTTTTGATTTCATGAGGGGAAGTCCGGGGTGGATCATGTGATCTCAACAGAACTCTTCCGAATATCAAGAGAGGCGCACGGCAGTGTCATATAAGCAAGCAAGCCGTGTCTCAGACTCTCAGAGCCCAAAGGAAGAATCTCCTTTCCCCATCTTGATATTCAATTGCTTCTCTGTTAAGGTTCCCGTGTCCGAGCTTTTCCTGCATCTACGGCATGTCCGAAGTCGGAGCTAACCAGGTATATTCAAAATGATGCTTGACTGCGGATCAGCCCATCAACCCATAGGTATATCAGCCGGAATATATTCAGATGCTTCTGCTGCAGTGACGTGCATACCGTTCATCTGCAATGTGTTGTCCTCGACATGTGAAACAAGGTCCATTTGCTGATTAAGTGTGTTGCGCCATTCGACGAACTCATCAGAAAGAATCCCTCCATATCCATTTACTTCTTCAACCTTGAATACTTCAATGGCCATGGATTTCTCCTTTCTTCGAATCTTCCATACACCATCACCAACAATAGTGACCTTTAAAACTACTGCTGTTAGTCAAGTCATTCATGAGTGAACAAAGATTCGCACTTACATTCGAGAAATCGATCTGCGAAATTAATACACATATCTCCATCCCATGAATTATTTCCTCTTTTCTTTACCATCCCAGGTATCTGTGCCGTGTTGATTCTCTCGATATTTTGGAGAATCCCTTCAGGACTTCGTTGTCCCACTATAATGTGAGGGACTCCCAGCAAGAATGATTGAAGCCAGAATTTCAAAAGCTTCTTCTCAAAGTTTTGTTCATCTCCTCTATGTCTAGGAGTCACGGTGGTTTTTAGCTCAACCCATTCCGTGGACTTCCCGTCTTCAAATTTTGACCCCTTGTATACTGATAGATATTATTAGATATGGACAATTGAACAACAAGCTGTGAACATACTGCCATCGACTTCTCCACCAATGACCAAAGAATTGCTTCCAATTTTTGTTTTTACAACAGAGCAATACTGGGCATGATTATTAACAACTTCCTTGTCTCGATTTTCGATATAATCTCGAGAAGTTTCTGGCCAAGGAGCGGGCATTAGGCATAAGGTTTCGAATTTATATCCTATCTTTGGTCAATGAAAGCTGTATGAATTCATCCCAGACACCCAAAACTTACCCCAGAAGCTCATCGCATCTCCCGAAGGTCTTCCCGGTCGAGGTTGCTGTCGTGCATCCTGTTTAGCTCTACTCGTCACTTTATACTGGTGATCCTCCTCGACAAAGCTATAAACATTAGCTCAATACTCACAAAATAATAGCTTATCATCAAGCATACACAGTCCCCTTCATCTCTGTTAGTTCCAAGAATCTTGAATCCACTCCTATTCCTCAACTTACCTCGAAACACGTAGCATTCATCTGAAATCCATCTCTAGAATCGAACAAACTCGCTATGATCTATGCCCCTCCTCATCAGCATTACTCTCACTCACTCACTCCTCAAAAACAAACGAACCTTAGTCATCATCCCCCTCCAAGTAACAACATTCGCCTCCGTCTTAACATTCATCACCTTCTCCCTCTCCATCAACGCTCTCAACAACGATTCCAAGTGCTCATCCTTCGAATCATCATGTTTTCGAAACGTCTCAAATCCCTGATTCAAGTCCGTACCAATATCCGGTGGATAATACCATCGTATCGAGGAGTCATTTAAATGAAACTTGTGCTCATCATCGTAGGAAAAATGTGCAATTTCCTATACTCTATATAAGTTTGAACTATACATAGTGATCAGATAAGGAATATTATACCTGTGGTCTGGTAATCGCAGAGTTTCCTGCATCACGACTTCTCTCAAATTGAGTAAGAGGGAGTGTGTTAAATTCATGTATATGAGGAGGATAAGGATTCCTATTGACACTCATCCTGAAAAATTATTCATAAAATTACTATAATTGTATGATATGATATGTTATTAATATTGAAGAAGTTTACAAAATGGAAGAACTGAGAATCGTGACTATCGTGACTTTTGGAATTGAATGGTGTTTATGAATAAAGAAGAAGTCCAGACGCCACACTACTGTAGCATTAGACGACCTTCTCCGATTAGTTGGAATAACCACTACTCATGTACCCCACTAAAACTTACTGTACAATATCTTCAGCCTTACAGTTGGACGGACAATACAACTTTGTAAACATACCTAGTACCTACCTACTTCCATTATGATATTCGCTACATGAAAATTTGATCAAAACAATACAACAATTGCATACATTGTATTGCTCTCTTGGATATACATATACCTTATACCTTAAAATTATTCCTTTAACTATCTCTTTATCTCTCTCTACCTATATACAAACCCACATTACGGTACATCTCACCTCAAACCAAATCAAAACTTGCCGCCTACCTACCTACCTACAAACATAAACACCTACCCTCACATCCACCCAGCATGCCAGAACGCCGCCACCCTTCCAATCCCTCCAATACCAATCACAACGCCCCCATCCGCCCCTCAGTTCGACGCAATCTCTTCTCCTCTCACCTCCGAACCTCACGCACCGCAACCTCATCCATCACCACGCCCACCACCGCCACAATCGCAACCATCACTCCTGCGCATCCTATCCCTTCTCTCCCTCGCCGCCCGACCACCTCTTCAACTAGCACATCCGCCGAAACACTCCGTCTAGACCACGCGCAAACATTTCCCTCGACTTCTAACGATCGGAACAATTCAAATTCAAATGCGAACTCAAGCTCCTTCCCCCAAAATACCTATGGGAGTAGAAGCGGAAGTGCCCTCTCTTTAGACGGCACAACGGATATAGTAGTGCGGGATAAAAATGGCGATTTCGATATTGCAAACATGATGCTTGGAGGGGGAATGGATAATGGAGGAGAATTATTGTTTGGAGGAGATGACGAGGATGTGATTGGACTTGGTGAGGGAGCTGAGGAGGAGAGTGAGTTATTTCTATTTTCTATCTTGGGTTGAGTTGTCGTTGCGAGGGGGGCGGACAAAAAGAGAAAATGGGTGAGAAAAGAAGTATATGGATAGATATGCTAACACAATATCTCAAAATAGAAGAACGACAGCGTCTTAACGATTCAATCAAACATCATCAGCGCGATCGCAACCGAGCACCAAGTGAGCCCGCCGGTCAGTACAATATCCTATCATCTTCATTCCATCCATTTTATTTTTCTATTTATCACCAGCCCCATGATCAATAATCATACACATGTATCACAATGCACTGTCAAAAGTTAAACAAACGTAATACTAACTGGCTATTCAATATCTAGAACTATTAGAAGCAGTACGCAGCAGTCTCCGCGCCAAGACCGCCGCGCTCACAGATGACAATTGGATATTTGAAGCGGAGAATGAAGGGATTATTCGATAGTCAGGGTTCTCGAGTGGAGTTTTATATTGTGTTTTTTTGTTATATGGCATGCGTATTTGAGCAGAAGATGGAGCAACAGACTGGGCTGCACACGTACTCTGGATATATTACCTAGGAAAACAACGGAATTAGGATACACGGATTTGGTCTGGGACGGCGCATAGGATGGGTGGATGGGAAAGTTGCGATACCCAGGTGTGAGTTTCATCCTACAAATTGTGGGTGATCCTAGGAGTACCGGTGTTGAAATTGGTATCAATTCAGTTTGCAGAGTTTATACAGTACAATAGCATGTTTATAACCCCATTACCTCTTCAAGAATGACCTGACCCTCTTCAATCTAAGCCCTCTGCCATCGGTGCCTCTCCATTCTGCCCAATCCTCTTAGCACCCTGTTTCTGTTGTCCTCCACCCCCCATCCCACCGCCAAACATACTCCCCATCATATCCATCAACGGATTTCCCTGTCTCGGCCTCTGAATCCCAAAATACATCTCCGCAATCCCAACAAGTGCTTCCTCCCACATCTCTCCCGCCCCCTCCTTCATCTGCCCCGCATATTTCTTCGTGAGCTGTTTGAAATCCAACGAATTCCCCTTTTGCACCGCTACCAACAATAGTCCTAGAAAATTAAGAAGCGGGAGACTAGGATATATTTTAATATCCTCGATTCCCGAACCTCCAAGTTCCTGAACCGTTAAACCTTTATTTTCCTCCTGCAACCGCGAAGTGAAAATCCCCAACGATTTCCGCGCATCCCGTACATTGCCCACCAATAAATAAGGCAATACAGCCCTCGACGCATATAGTGCCGCCGTATGACTATCATCCTCAACATACCACTCAAACTCCATTTTCGCTAGCACCTCTGCGGAATCTTTCGTCCCGAGAACCAAATGTCGTTCCGCATCATACGCTTCCCCCTCGTCCGCATACAAAGTTCCAACCACATGATGCAACTCCGGGTCTCCAGCCGGAAACACCGAGTTTTTGCTTGACCATGCAATTACCTCGCCCACAAATCTCTTTCTCGATGGTTCCTCGGGGTGAAACGCGCGCAGCAGAGTGAGTAGACGCCCTTTGGATACGCTGTCGCATGTTAATGCGGAGAGATTGTATACTTCGAGTAAAAATAAGGCTAGGTCGCCGCCGGAACCGCCTTGGGCGGCGCGGAGGAGGGAGAGGGATACGTTGTAGAGGATGTCGGTTGCCGCGGGGTAGTTTTGGGCTTTGATGTAGCGGGAGGCGACGACGCGGGTTTGTTGGTGCGCTTCGTAGTAGGTACCTTCTGCTGTTCTGGACTGAGTGTTAGAGGGGGGAAGTGAGAGAGAGGGGAGAGTGAGATGCGCACTTTTCTTGCAAACGCGCAATAATCTTATCGATCTTTGCGGACATTGTGAGAGCGATTATAGTACTTCAGTACCTGCAATTGATCTTGTGAAGTTTATGCTTATGGTATCCGATTGAATTATTGCGCAGTGCGATTTGATTTGTGGTGCGGTGGTTACTTTGAGAAGCTTTGGGTGTGGTGGGATGAGAGTTTCGAAGCTCGGAAGTTTAGCTGTGACGTGGTGGCGCGGCCGCGGGGAATTTTATTTAGTGAGCTCAACCGTGACGAAAACTATAGTTACAGTGATTACTCGCAGAAATGAAAGTTAGGAGTAGACATTTTGATATTATATGACATCTTTGTAATACACGAGGCTTCCCATTCGTATGTGCGACCAAAAGCTTACTAAGTGATATGATTAGCTCATACTACTCGTATATACAAGTGGTACAAAATTCAAGGCTGTCCCTAAATAGCCTATGCAGAGACAACGAGATGACAGTCAAGCAGTGCTCCTGGAAGACAAGACAAAACGAAACAAACTTGTTTGTGATCCTATGGCTTGACTATGGTTGACCTTAGGCAATGGTGGCTAGTATAGACACCGGCCACAGACAAGTCCATCTCGGCATTTCTCATATAAAATTCAAGCATCATGGCTTGTAATAGACTCGAACATTCGCAAGCAAGTTATGTTACGCGAAACTAAATTCGATATGGTGATATTGATCTTCTTTGCATCTCCCTCAAAGGTCTAGAACCCCAGAAGTCTGACGGTTAGAAGGATGTAGAGAACTCTATGAGTTTCCTTTTTTGAAGAGGGACAAACAAGCTTCGAAAAGGCATTCAGTCTATGGTGCAGATATTGCTTTTGCAATAGATGTGGAGATCTATCATCTAAAACTCCAAATTCGATGAACTGGGTGGAATATTGTCAAGAGATCCACAGAGCATCGTCGCAGGATATCCTGCCCTGATTACGGCTATATCCGAGTCAAGCCTACGCATGATCAACTATTCTTCAATGCCAATCCGGCTTGCTTCCCTATGGAAGATATCTTGATAAATTTTAAGACAGCGGAGCGTCATCCCGTGTGGGGTCCCCAGAAAATAGTTATATATATCCGGCCCGAAGCCTCCGATTATCCCTTGACTGAAGAGTCTTATATTAAATTCAACCATTGACCTATCTTACGAAGATAGTTGCTGACGATCTGCAAATTTAACACGATATTGAAGGGTTGTCCGGGCACAAGGATGTTCAAGGGACCTCATTCTACCAAGATACTACCAAATCATGGATGATTCCGGCAATATGGGAGTCGTTTCCATTAGTTCTTATCCATATTTATGTATATAGGCCGAGTGGTTCTGAAGATAACTTAAGCCAGCTCTAGTTATTCTTTTGCATCACAATTGTTTATATCCAGAGCAAAAGTTGTCATAATGTTTCTAAAAGCCCTCATCGCCACGGTTGGAGTCTTTACAACTTCAGTAAACGCTACTATATACTATGCAGGGGTAGCTGAAAGTGGTGGAGAGTTTGGAGTTTGGAGTGCGTGTTTCTACCATCCTTTCCATCTTTCAGAGTCAATAATAGCTAAAATTATGTGAGGGGATTTGAGTTGAATAGAAACTAACATAAAGATAGGTGCCACAGGTACTGTAGGAACAGGATTACCAGGGACGTTTGGCCGGGAATATTCATTCATTGACAAATCTGCAATTGATATTTATGTGGATCAGAACAAGGTAAGTTCAAAGACAAGGCCGATGTCCACGAGATCACCACGAGAAGAGATTGAGGTGAATTAAAAGTACCTACTGACAGCTTTGTAGGTCAACCTGTTCCGTGTAGCATTCCTAATGGAACGTATGTGCCCTCTCGCTACCGGCTTAGGCTCTAAATTCAATGAGACTGTATGTTTGTCAACAAATCCTCCTTCATCGTTAACCGAGCTAATATCTAGAGCAGCATTTCTCCTATTATGAGGATGCCATAAACTATATCACCCGCACCAAATCATCCTATGCTATACTAGATCCACATAACTACATGCGCTACAATGATCCATCTTCTCAGCCATTTTCTGGATCTGTGATAGGTGACACCACTGATCCAAAAGCTGCGACCACGGCACAATTTGGAGCATTTTGGGGAGAGTTAGCAAAGAGATTTAAAAACAACCAGAATGTTATCTTTGCATTAATGAACGAAGTCAGTCATATCCTCACCTTATTATTTTCAAAGTACAAGGAAGAAGGGAATCAAGACTGATGAAAGTATTAGCCCCACGATATGACCACAAGCTTGGTAGTAGCAAACAATCAAGCTGCTATTACCGCGATTCGCAAGGCAGGGGCTAAAAATTTGTAAGTAGTACAACTATTATCTCAAGAATTGAGATCACAGCTAATGAAAGCAGAATCTTAGCACCAGGAAACGCATGGACAGGAGGACATTCCTGGACCGAAGGCCCCGACCCCTCCAGCGCCCAAATGCAAAACCTACGCGACCCCATCAATAATACCGCAATCGATATCCACGAATACCTCGATGTCGATTTCTCTGGCGGGCATTCTGTCTGCGCATCCCCAGCCCCAGAACTTCTCGCTCCTCTTACCACTTGGCTTCAAACTCACAATCTCAAAGCTATGATCACTGAATTTGGAGGCGCTAACGGCACAGAATGCGCTCCATATATCAAAGGAATGATTGATTATATGGCGCAGAACGACGAGTACATAGGATGGACGGCTTGGGCTGCTGGACCGTTTTGGGGTACTAATTCGCCGTGTTGTACTGATTCGTCGCTGTGGGGTAGTCTGGAACCGGGAAGTGTTGCTTCTGATGGAAGTCCTGGGTGAGTTTATTGGTCTTTTATCTTTAGTTTTTTGGGTGAAGTGTGATATTCTAATTGATGATAGATTGTATACGACAGTTTGGTTAAAAACTATTCAACCATTGTTGCCGAAGACATTGCAGCGGTGGGGTCCAGCGACTGTGCATGGAAATTAGGAGATGGTTGAAGTTTCGGGATTGCATTAGTACACTCACTGCACCGTGCAATATTTGAGTGACGACTCAGGGGAAGCCACTCGTCGTTGGTCCACTGACATGAGCTCTTTGCGCACGATCAGTAAGCCGATAGACTTATTCCAGATCTCCGGTCTTCAATATCCTACTAAACATCCAAACCTTTCCTCATATCTACTCGAGTATCTACATAGACATACATTAAGAATTTGACATACCTCGGGTATTTGCTTTACAATATACCAACAGCATATATTTATCATCTTATCGAGATATTTGTCCATTTACGAATTTTGTTTCTGCCATTTCTAGCCTGCTTTTGCTACCGCTTCTCGTGAATTCCGACAATCAGAGCTAAGTAGCCCTGCCAATTGCGAAACCAAGTGGAAGGTTACCAACAGATCACTCCTGGGGTACAGCCGCTGCACTGCAAGATTCACTGCAACTTCACCTGCAAGATGACATCGTCGGCCCAAAACAGGGTCGCATCCCTGTACACTACAATATATACATCCATGATATTAGCAAGCCTTTATGTATATTGTTGTATTCTTTTCTATTATCGATCGCAAATCTTTCCAGACCGGTATAAGTGACCGTCTCTCTCTATCTTCTGAATAGAAACCGTGGTTCCCTTATCAATCTTGGACTTTCTAAACCTGTGATCCTTTCACAATTCCACCAATTCTTCAATTTATGGAGTAACAAATAAAAATTGAGAAACATATCTTCAAAATGGCTCAGCAAGGCCCGTCACAGCCTTCACCAGCGTCTTCGACAACAAACAACCCAATAGTAGCAGTTGGCAGGAAAGTAAAGTCGGTTTTGAGCACACAAGAACGTCCTACCATTCGAATTTACCGCGACTCTTCATCGACTCCAGACCCACGAAATGTGCCCGTAACTAGAGATTTTTCGGAGAAACCTACATCTACCTCGTTACCTTATGGAAGTACACAGCAAAGTCGCACAGGAAATTCTGAGCAATCTGCCACTCAAGCAGCATCCCAACCTCTTCCATCTCAAGGAAATGCATTTACAAATCGTTTCAGATCATTATTCTGTCGTCATGAACACTCTACCGAACCCGATTCGTATGATCATGAATACGATCCTGATATGGTGGATTTGTTAGATGTAGTAGGCATGTGTGACCGGACCAGGTTTTAAGCCAATGAACTAATCCCTGGCAGATCCCGAAATATCTACCCTCTCCACCCTTACCAATGTTCAAAACTCCCTTTTCGTGCCTCAAATGGGAAGGATTATCAATCGTCAGCCTACATACAGACTTTCGGATCGCCCTGGAGAAGTACGCACCATTGATAAGATCAAAGCAAAGTTGAAGAGTTTACGAAGTCCAGAAAATCGATCGGATGATGATACATGGAAGCAGCCGAACTTGGAATATGCTGTTTTACCTGATGGAGAAAGACTCGGTGGTTGGTCACCTGCGGAAGTAGAAGAACTAGATGACCTTGTTAGGCATCAACTTCATTCTCGACGAGCAAAATTCAAACGTTCAATGAAAGGTTTTGGACAGTATGTTCGAAGACGTAAGTTAACCATTTCATCTATATTTGGGACTTCAGTTGACCATAATTTCGCAGCTCTCGGGTTGTTCATTACGGTCTACACAACCTTAATCACCCTATTTGGTGCAGCCTGGGTCCTCTTCCTCATCGGTTGGATATCATTAGGTTCTCAAAAGGCTTACATAGTGAACGTTGTCGATAACGTCCTCGTAGCTCTCTTCGCAATTATCGGTGATGGTCTAGCCCCTTTCCGCGCAGTCGATACCTATCATATGGCCTACATAGCACACTACCACCGCAAAACTTGGAAACGTCGTGAAAAGCTCGGTCTCCCAGAACTATGGGATCACAATGATCTTCCCGAACAACGCAAGGAAGAAATCGCTCCACCCCCTCAACTCGATCTCGAGAGTCTATGCGCCCGCCGAATGCCCAAAAGTCTCGCACGCAGAATCGCTCCACGGATACCAAAGAAATATGCCGATAGAATGCTCTCTCGCAATCAAACAGAAGTAGAACCAACTTATGAATACACTGTCCTCACCCCAGAAGAACAAACCATTCTCGAATTCCACGAGCGAAAATTCTCTAAAAGCCATACCTTCTACAAACTTCATGAAACAGAAACCCACTACGCGTTCCCTCTCAAACTACTTTTCACCGTCGTCTTATTGCTTGATCTACATTCTTGTCTTCAAATCACCTTGGGAGCATGTACATGGGGAATACCCTATGAACATCGACCGTTCGCCCTCACAACCGTAATTTTATGCTGCAGTATAACCTGCAACATCATGGGCGGAGTCCTAATATCCATGGGCGACAAACGCACGCGCAAACACGAAGTGATTGAGAAAATGATGAAACAAGAACTCACATCCGAAGCCATCGAATCCATAAACACAAGGAGAGTTACAGAAGCGGAAGAAAGAGGGGAAATCGATCCGGAAATTCGGAAAAAGAGAGAGGAAGAAAGGAACAGGGAGGAAAATGAAGAGATCAAGAAGAGTTGGAAGAGCGTACCGAGTTTGCCGAAGAAATTGTTGGGGAAGGGCGAGGATCATAGACAGCCGAGTTTACCGGTGGAGGCGAGGAGTTCGAGTTCGAGTATGCATGTGGATTCGTCGAAGAGATTGGGTGCGGGTTCGGGTTCTTCGGGAGATAAGATGGCGAGTAGGAGTGTTAGCGCGACGTTGAAATCTGTGCAGGAAAATCCTACGGTAGCTCAGCCGACGTATCCGCAACCGGCAGTGGTGAAGCAGGAGGGGGTGACACCGCCGAAAAAAGGGGTGGGACAGAGGGTTTTGGCGGGGTTTAGAAAGGCGGATTTGGATAGGAGCTAACTTTAAACGGTATTTCCGATTTCGCTCAAAGAAAGTGGCATGTCTAGAAAGAAGAAAGAGGGGAATCAGAGGATTAGAAAAGGATCGCATCTAACGAAGAGAAGACAAGAAACATAAATATTTCATACACTACGAAATTAGCGAGGCGTTCTATGGAAGATTGGAATGGGTGGATACCCAGGGTACACTTTAGGGAATGAGATAGTGCGAAATAGTAACGATTGTAATGTAATGAATGTAAGTGATCCAATCCTGCATGCGGTATACCGTGATCCAAACTATGCGTTTCTCACACTCGAACACTAGTCTCAATATCAAGCGATTCCTTATACATACATTGCGAGGCTCGTTTTGAAAGCTACACTATCTTTTGACAACGATGTCGACCATGAGTGAACTTCCTCCGAACATTAAGATAAGTTTTCACAGTGGAGTCTTGATATTGCCACATAATGCATATACCATACAGACTGATTTCTGTTCTGAAATTCATCTCTATTAGGTCCTTGATCATCTACTCCTTCTCAGATTTTCCAAATCTAATACCACATCCGCCAATAGTTCCGCAAACTCATCTATCTCCTTTTTATCGTCCATTTTACTCACTATGGTCTCCAACTGCTCCGCAAGTTTGTCCAGAACCTTTTGTTCATCCGCGTAACGCTTCTGCATCCCCTCTCCTGCTTTTGATAATAAAGCTGTGGATAATTGCAGCATGGCAATATGTAGCTCAATGATTATTGAGGGCGACGTAGAGGCAGGAAGATTCATGGTAGATGTAGTTGAGATTGCGCTTAACCATTCCTGTTTGATATATGATGTTGATTCCTCATCGATGACTGAAAGAAGAACGCGTACAATTTGAAGACCTCTTGCGGATTCTGCGATCATGAGAGAATGGCTGTCGACGGTTGAGGTATCGGTGGTTTTGCCGAGGATACTCGCGAGGTCTTCGGAGACGACTTGCCATCCATCTTGATTCAAGAAAGCTTCTACGCCATCCTCGGTAGTCATGATACCCTCAAGTGCCAGTAATATGGGAAATCTGAAGTCAGGTTCGTCCTTGTTACTTATTTTGTACAGTTCGATGAACATATCCATCATACCAGCACTTTCTTTTCGCAAATTTTCGTTCTCGTCCTCGCGGATCCATATGGCCAATCCTCTGATACTAGCGAGGATTAGAGGGTCCGTAGTAACATTATCTTCAATAGAATCCCATGTTAGAGTAAGTCTTGTTCCTTCTGATGTAGCAGTTGTTCCAGCTCGCGCGGAGGGATGGAGTCCAGAAGCACCGGCAACAGATGCATCCCATCTATCTCGTAGATACTCGATTGATAAAGACATTGTCTCGGCAACATCCTTGCGTAATTTCAACATCAAATCCGGGGGCATGGCGAAAGAACTGGAATTTTCGTCATCGAGACTTCGGACAAGATACCCTATGAAACTTGAGATGACATCGAATGCGGCTGCCAATCGTTGTGAAATATTTGAATAATCACTATTATTCAATTTGGCCAATAGTGTTGGAAAAGAGGATCGCAAGTCAATCAATAAAAGATTCACGAATAAATAAGAAAACGGCTTGCTGTTCCTTGGCAATTTGTCCAAGGTATTGGAAGTATCATCTTTAAATAACAACGACGGACAAGTCGCAGGGTATGCTTGGAGTAGTGCCGCTGCTGCCTGAGTATATGCTACTCTACCAACAAGCGTAGGTCTCCTATTGATCAAGGCGCGAAGTAAGATAGTTATAGGTTGAAGCCATTTCGGACTGCGTGGAAGTGCCTAAGATACATCATTAAGACCGGTAGTTAGGAGGGGGCGAAGTGGGATGGTATGATGCATACCTCCGAAGACAACTTTGGAATAAAGCTTGCAATGAATGATAAAAATGTGACAGCGTCAGTTCCTTTGAATACCACAAGCAGATTTGGGATCACTTTGTTGATACTTCTATGAACTGCTTGTACCTCGGTATTGATTGTAGATCCATTTGCCCAAGTATAATTCAGGATATCCAGGACAAGAGGATATTGTGGCGCTATTTCTATCAACGGGGAAAGATCCTCGATCTTTAAAAATTCTAGGGAGCCATCTACTTGACTGACTATAGTCAACAGCGTTTGAAGAATGAGCTGTGTAGTTTCAGGGGAGCTGGCTGGTATTAACACGTGATTTAAAGATAACTAGTTGGATGCTTACCTTTGGACAAGTGCCTTGACTAGTGTTCCTGTCCTTCCAGTGAGCTGTGATTCCCTTCTTATATTTTCTGGTAATAGTATAGAGAATGTGTGTATTACAGCTACTGCGAGATCTACCATATCCTTCGCTTGGCTTTTGTCAACTTTTCCACTAAGTTGAGATCTTAGGAGTCGATCCAAGAACTTTGGAGATATGGATTCCCAAAGTATTTGTAGGCGTTCTGGATTTTTGACGAGCTGTTGTTCGTTGTCAAGAACGGATTTAAGAAGAGCAAGTCCTACGAACCTAGAAGTATCGTCTTTTGCCTTTAGGAGGTCTTTCATTTTTTCGAAGGTTTCACCAGGGTTGGTGAGACCTGTTGGCTCAGCATTTGAGCCACCAGAATTTTGTGATTCCGCCATATTGAATCCAAAGTATATCTTAAATTATTCTTAACTTCGACATTGAAATCCGAAGAATTTGATAATTTAGAAAGAGCAAACAAACCAGGATTAGGTATTGATAGTTTAGCCGGAGATCGGCGAAATATTAATCCGAAGGATGAGAGCTCACAAAGCATGAATTCAATAGCAAAGCTATAACGACTGTATGACTACCGCGAAAGATGCACAGATATTTATCGAATGTATAAGCATGGCGAGTTCATCTGCGGATTATTTCGCAACTCGGCGATACCCCAATTCATCGTCGAGTCGCAGTCCACCACATCACCCTTCAGCTGAAGATGATAGCGATGACGATGATCTCCAAGCTGTACTTGCAGACGATCCACTTCACGACGAAGATGATCCGAACAGATTGTCTTTTAAGCGCAAGCAGAAACAACCTGCGAGCTCGAATTTCCTATCTGCTTTTGCGAGACCTGGTAGCGGACCTCAGTCGCGACATAATACACCATCGCCCAAAGGTAGCATCCCAAGCCCAGGGAATGGTCGAGCATACCCGTCAAATATACCAGTAGGAAGTAGTCAACAACAAAGTTCTACGCCTAAGGATGGAGCGCCATTGGATTGGTACGTTGAAGGGCCAGGTCGACGGGTTGGATATGAGGATATGACAGCTATTGATTGGATCTTCGAATACACAAAAGAACGACAAAGGCTACGGATATTGTACTCTAGCGCAACAGGATTGATTGGATATGTGCAACAGCTTTTGGATGCAAGTCAGATATGGATAGTCCTTATTCTGACGGGATTGGCGGCGGGCGCATTTGCAGCTGGGATAGATATCGTCACGGATTTCCTGGCAGATTTAAAGACAGGCTATTGTCGAGCTGGAGAAGATGGAGGTCATTTCTACCTAAACAAATTCTTTTGCTGCTTCGGCTATGACAGTGTCGCGCAGTGTCGCGATTGGGTGCCGTGGAGTGTTGCGTCAAATATTGGTTCTGTGGGTGGGAAATGGTTCATAGAGTATTTCTTTTTTATATTATTCTCAGTACGTTCAGCCCATGTACCATCTCAGGTGTAATTGCTGATGTGTGATAGTTATCTTTTGCTTTTATTTCCAGTGTTTTGGTGCAGGAATATGCTCTATATGCGAAGCATAGTGGTATCCCTGAGATCAAAACTATATTGGGAGGCTTTGTAATTCGACGTTTCATGGGGATCTGGACATTGGTCATAAAATCCATTGGACTGGTAAGCTTCGTTCAATATATATATCTCCAATTATATACTGACCTGAGTAGTGTCTATCGGTCGCATCTGGGATGTGGCTTGGCAAAGAAGGTCCGCTTGTACATGTAGCATGTTGCTGTGCCAATGTGTTCATGAAATTGTTTGTTAACATCAATGGCAACGAAGGTATGTGCGATTCTAGTGAAAAGGGGCTCGATTGGTGTCTAATTGTATTTTCAGCCAGAAAACGTGAGGTACTCTCGGCTGCTGCCGCTGCTGGTATATCAGTCGCCTTTGGATCTCCAATTGGTGGTGTGCTCTTCAGTCTAGAGGTAGGTTTTGGCGAATCTTTTCACGTTCATTAACTAATGGAGCCTAGCAACTCTCATATTACTTTCCTGATAAAACCATGTGGCAAAGTTTTGTCTGTGCCATGACAGCTGCCGTAACTTTACAAGCATTCGATCCTTTTAGAAGTGGAAAGCTTGTTTTATATCAGGTTACTTATAGCACCGGTTGGCATGGATTTGAGATGATTCCATATGCTTTTCTGGGTGTTTTAGGTGTAAGTCTTCTATAGCGGAAGTCCTGGCTGCATGATCTAACATCAATCAGGGTATCTACGGTGGCCTCTTCATTAAAGTCAATACAAGTATTTTTCAATGGAAGAAGACTGCTACTTGGCTTCCAGGTCCAATAACACAGGTCATGATTGTTGCCACTTTGACCGCTCTAATCAACTATCCAAATCTTTACATGCGAGCTCAATCGTCTGAGCTAGTTTTCTCCTTGTTTGCCGAGTGTTCAAAGCTTACCGATGACCAATTCGGATTATGCAAAACAGGAGCTGCTACTATTGGAACAATATTTTTATTACTATTTGCAGCTGTACTTGGTTTCTTCTTATCATCAATGACATTTGGGTTACAAGTCCCAGCAGGAATCATATTACCTTCAATGGCAGTCGGAGCGCTCTTTGGTCGCGCCGTAGGTATTCTTGTGGAAATATGGGTTCACAATTTCCCAAACTTTTTCGCATTCTCATCTTGCGAGCCAGACTTTCCATGTGTTACTCCTGGTACATATGCGATCATTGGAGCTGCTGCTGCTTTAGGTGGTGTAACCAGAATGACGGTTTCGATCGTTGTTATCATGTTCGAGCTTACCGGAGCTCTAACATATGTTTTACCCATCATGATTGCTGTCATGATCAGCAAATGGGTGGGTGATGCTTTCGGAAAGCGTGGCATATACGAAAGTTGGATCCATCTGAATGAATATCCATTCTTGGATAATAGTGATGAGACACCAATACCTGATGTATCCGTTCGACAAATTATGACTCGGATTGAAGATCTTGTTGTGCTCACCGCTACCGGTCATACAATTGAATCTTTGAACAACGTTTTGGCAAATCATCCATATCGTGGCTTTCCTGTGATCTCAGATCCTAGGGAAGCTATACTGCTAGGATATATATCTCGAGCAGAACTTCAATATAACCTCAAAATATCCACACAACCACCTCGATCACTCCCATCCGAAACAGAAGCATTCTTCTCACATCAACCATTTGCAGATCCACGAACAACACTTGATCTTCGACCATGGATGGATCAGACACCTATTACTTTACCTTCACGTTCAAACCTTCTTCTCACCGCCAACTATTTTCAGAAACTGGGTGTTCGTTATGTTCTCTTCTGCGATCGAGGTATATTGCAAGGACTTTTAACAAAGAAAGACGTATGGTACGTGTTGAATGGCGCAGAAGAGACCAGGAGGACGAATGGACATGATGATATGGGTATGGAGACGGAACTAGAAGGAAGAGGAGAAAATAGAGGGTTATTGCATGGTGATGAAGATGATTTGGTACCACTCACACCTGCTCGTGATGATGCACCAATGTTATGATAGAATGATACTTTATAGATTTTTGTTCCCTAGTAAAAAAGTACTGTGGCGTTTGAATGTGTAGAAGAATTCGTGATTGGCCTTATCATATTTTGATCCCATACCTATCTACTAAACTGATGTGATGGATGGGCTTTCCACAAGGTCAATATTGGGCTGTGCTGCATTGTTACACTGCTTATGGGGGGTAGCTTCCACATAATCATGTTATCTATGCTTCATTCAATTCACCGAGCAGGAATCGAATAATCATAACCATTTGAAGTCTTCTAGATAGAACATGAGCAATTCGTACGACTCTGTCTTATGAAATTGTTTTAAATAGACAACGAAGCAAATCTTTATTATTTGATTATGCCAATATAAATACTGGAGTCTTTCGCAACGATCGGCTGAGAAACAAAGCCTAAACCCCACTATTAGCTCGGCATCTTCAAGCGTATTGACCCCTCTCCATATATTGAAGCCGTGAGCATCCGACGGTGTACGAAAACTCTCAAATGTACTGTAAGGAGTACAACTCGAATGTGAGGTCTTGCATACCGGTAACTATGCTTTTCATACGATTAATATTTCCGGATAGCTCGTATCGTACATCAGCCTCCATATGCTCATATATACTTGTATTGCATCACATATCAGAGTTGACCCCAATGTAAGGTACGATATTAGCATAGCCTACCTCCACGAAACATGTGGCAAGCATAGTAAGCATGGCAAAGGCAAGAAAAACGCCTATGAGGCTATGAGTAAGAGAATGCCAAGCCGCAATGGTTCCTTGAGAAAGATATGAATGGCCCAATTAATTCACTTATTACAGTAAGTGACAAGGCTATGTATGAATCCCTGCGTGCGTCATCAACAGCAATATTTATCACCCCACCATACTTTTAAGCTACACAACCCATCCCTCTATTACTTGTTTATTACCCAAACATCCGCAGCGACCCTTTTACAAAACCTTTCATAATCTACTTAAACACCTCACGAATCCTTCTCTTCTACGAATATTTTCTAAAAACAACTCAAAAGACACTTAAAACTTACTTCAAAAGAATGGGGGTAAGCTTTTAAGTCTTTTAAATTAATATATAAAATCAAAATGTACGGAAGACCAAATACTAATACGTATCCGGGGGGACAGCTAGCTTCAAAGATGGCAGCTGCACAGCAGTCTCAAATGGGAGGAGCACCTCAAGCTGGTGGTCAACCACCATATGTATGTTTGTTTTACTTGCATGTTCCTGTTGTCTATTTGAAAGTGAGTGTTTGCTGACAATAAATGAAGCCAACTGGTGGTCAACCTCAATATGGTCAAGGTCAGCAAGGTCAGATTTCCTCACCTGTGCATCCATCCCCATCCCCCCATCCGCAATATCCTTCGCATGGTCATTCGTCACCGTCGCCTTATGGTCAAACTCCGCCATCTCCATATGGTGGTCAGCCTTCACCATCTTATGGACAAGCTCCGCCATCTCCACATCATCAGTCATATGGGCACCCTCCACCTCCTCCACCTCCACCTCCACAACAACAACAACATCAATATAATCAGTATAATCCATCTTATGGTCAGCCTCCACCCCCTCAACAACAATATCAACAACATGGGCAACAAGGGCAATACGGGCAATCTCAGCCGCCACCACAACAATATCAATCGAATCAGTCATATCAACAATACCCACCGAACCCACGAGACCAGCCTCCTACACCGACGCAATCATATGCTCCTTCGCAGTATGGACAAGATGCTGGAAACCCACTAACACAGTCTCAAATAGGTCAGCAATATCAAGCCTACCCGGGCCAGCAAGGAGGTGCTCCACCTCGTTCCGGCCCCTTGGGCTATGCACCGGGTGGAAGCTCGATCCCACCACAAGCGGTTAAACAATCTCTTATGCAGACTATACAGGAAAAGAACTTGGGCAACATGTTCAGAAATCCTCAAATCCTTGACCAGATCTGTGCCATTGCTCCTCAGAAAATCGATCAACTATGCCAAACCTGGAATGTTCCTAAGGAATTGGGCGCCGATATTGTAAAGCTTGCGCTATTCGATATCATCCTTTTCGTTGGTGAGTTTATAGAATTCTCTAGGTGCTACATATACTAACCCTATGAAGATGACAGTGGTTCCATGATTTTCCAGGAGAATGGTTCCCGTATTGATGATATGAAGCTCGTATTAGGAAGAGCTGCTTATGCCGGATCCTTATTCGACGCCGACGGAATCGAAGTACGCTTCATCAACAGTGACGTACAAGGCAACAACATCCGTTCTGAGGCAGAAGTCGAGGCTTTAGTCAAACGCGTCAATTTCAAGGGATTGACACCTTTGGGCCAACAACTCAAGAACAAGGTTGTGGAGCCACTGATCATGAACAAGGCGAGAGCCAATGCGCTTCAAAAGCCAGTCTTGGTGATCGTTATTACCGATGGACAGCCAGATAACCAAGATGAAGTTTTCCAAGTCGTCAAGAACTCCTCAGCCGAGCTCGCACGTACTCAATATGGAAAACAAGCTATTTCCTATCAATTCGCACAAGTCGGTAATGACAAGCAGGCTACGGAATTTTTGAAGAAGCTTGATGATGATAGGAGCATCGGAGATTTGATTGATTGTACATCAAACTTCGAAGCCGAACAAGATGAAATGGCCCGAACCAACCCAGGAACCGAATTGACTCCCGATTTGTGGTTGTTGAAGCTTTTGGTTGGTGCCGTTGATGCTTCCTATGATACCAAGGATGAAACTGGAAGCCGTCCTCAACCACCCCCAGGTCAATATGGACAACCGCAACAAGGATCTCAACAACCTGGCGGGTATGCGCCACCACCTGGTCCACCGGGTCAGCAATATGGTGGATATCCTCCTCAACAACAGGGTCAATATCCTCCACAACAACAACAAGGTCAATATCCTCCTCAACAACCTCCTCAACAACCTCCTCAACAACAGCAACAACAAGGCCAATATGGTGCTCCTCCTCCAGGTGGTTCTTATCCTGGTCAACAACAATACAGACCAGGTGGAGCTCCACCTGCTCCTCCAGTAAGACATCCTCTTCAATCTTTGAACCGAAACGTACTAACAAACATCTAGCGTTACTAATTTGCGCGCATAATATTGGGCATTAATGTCTCGAGGAAGTTTGCAGGGAAATTGTAATGGAGAAATAACATGAAAATATTTATTAGGTAACAGGAATGAAATTATGATCTTCTGGAACTCTAGGGGCTTTTCAAATGACACGTTGGTTTTAGTAGGAAGTTATCGTTGGTTTACAAATTGCGTCTTGAGCTTCTCCATAGTGATGTGATATATGACAAGTCTATTCGGAGTTGTGAGCCTTTGGAATATGTTAAAAGTCAAGGTTTTGTGTCTAAGAATCTTATATATCTTGTATGAATTCAACCTCTCAAATAAATGCAGCATCTCGAATAGATTCAAACGATTTGTTTTTGCATACGAAATAGCAGATTTGCAAGGTTTAGGTTTATACCGAAATCGGATTTAAAAAATGCAGCAGACCATGGTTTGGGGGGTAGCAATGGCTAAATTGGTACGACATAAGTACGTGATCTGGGACAGCATGCCACAGCGACATGATAATCCACTTGGAAGAGAATCTCTGTATGAGTAAAGACATGTACTGTATTAATGGTATCTTCGATGCAGCTCGCAACTTTATGCAAAATCAAACTTCCCTTCATATTTCTTCGTCACGACATTGTGCATGTATGTCCTATAACAAGATATCTTTATCTATCTTCTCGACTCTCATCTTCCTCATTTTACGGAGATCAGGAGATTTTTCAATCCCCAACCTGCGACGCAACTCATCCATAGGCGTCCCCAACTCCTCTTCCCAGTAGACATTTATCAGAGGTTTAGCGTGTACCCCATTCTTACAAGCCCAGGGTAGATACGTATTAAAAAAGCGACTTCTTTCTTCAGGCTTCAGCTTCATCACCGCAACCAAACTCAAGCCCGTCATTGGTAATCCCGTATTTAGAAACTCGAAGGCTTTCAAGGCAACTTCTCCTTCGACAAAGGCGGCGGGGAGTCCGGTTAGTATGTGCCCACAATCATGGCCTTCGCGGTACCGTTGCATTACATATGCGAGTTCTTCGTCGTCGATGTATTTGACATCATCTCGCATGTCTAGCGTCATCTTGTGTTGATCCAGATAGTCGACCCAGCTGCGCGCAAATGTGTTTGCGGGATAACTCCTTAAATGGTCGATGGGTACGGTCTTTGAATTGATTCGAGGTCGATCTCGAAGTATACGACGTCCGGTTTCATCGGCTAACATGACATCGCGTAGATTTTTGATAAAGGGACCAGCGGTCATCTCGGCGACGGTTCCGACCATATCTACGGCATTGAAATTAGTTGCGAAGGGAAAAGATTGGGAGTTAGGTTAGGTTGTTGAATAGTATAATACCTCCGCGTCTGGGATTCCATAGGGAGATCAGGGCAGAGCCAATGCCAAGAGCAAGTTTCTCAGGGATTTTGAGAGGAACATGGCCTTCGTATTTGGGGGGCGGTCTGTTCAGTACAGAGAAATTACTGGAACTGTTTGATAGTAAGGGAATAGCATTGCGAAAGTGTGTTCTTGAGCTAGTTGGACCGATAATTGAACATCGCTTTGGAATAGATCGTAACATAGCTATCAAGTAACGCACAGCCAATTTGTGGGTTATCTAACCTTATATTTCTTTAGTGATAAGCTCGCTTCGGATCGGGTAAACTTTAGTGCGTTGACATGGCGGGGGCGGGGAAAGCTCATAAATATTATTTTATTGAAAAATCAAGATCTAACCCTTTCATTTTCATACCATACTCATACTACTTATCCCACTATTCGGAATCGATATCATATATATGCCAAGCAAGAAAGTACCCAAGCCTGTCCACCAGTACTCCTTCCTATTATCAGAAAGCACGTACTTGCTCGCTCTAAGAAAACCGCTGCTTCTTCCAATTTGCCCAATTCCCGGCTGATATCACATTGAGAGAAGTCAATGATCATAGACAAAAAGCCGGTGACGACATCCTTACAAAGTTGTACGGGCTCTCGAACATTCTCCCAGAGGTTGTAAGCCTCGTCATAATGATGCATAAGATACGAGGTTAAAGCTCGTCCGATACAAGTTTGTATATAGTTCATTTCGGAAGCCCAGCTAGCACCTCTTTCCTGTTTGCTCAGTTCATATTCCGTTTTCAGCAAATCAAAAATGCCTTCAGCCTCCCTTAGCTTTTGTACATTTTCATGGGTAAATGGAACACCATCAGCTCTTTTTACCATAGCCCTGCAAACTAGTGTCTCTGCAAGTGAGAGTTGCAAAGACTTAAATGTCATCGAAGTTCGTCTTCTTGCAGCATGCTTATCCAAGGACTCCAAGTGTCGGACATGTTGACGAGCAGTCGATTCGGCTTGTCCTAGGTAACGACGTTCGCAAAGCACCCCTACAAGATGACCAACGACATTGCAGCCAGTTTCATCTGATTGGAAATGAGGCGACGATATCACATTATAAAAGATATTGCTCGCCATATCAAACCTGGCTAGCCAACGATAGATCTTACCTTTCAAGAAATCCATATGATATCTTTCGACCTCTTCTATCTCTGTTGGACGATTGAAGTAGAACTCAAATTTTGCCGTTTCTTGTAACGAATTAGGTAGATTACAATTTCTCATTATGAGATCTTGCGAATTGGACCGTAGATGTCGCCCATAGAGAGCGTTTGTTCTCGGATCTATGGGTGGGAGCTCTTCGCAAAGGCTTTGAATAGATAAGTTTGGTATTCTTCGTGAAATTTCTCGCTCTCGTTGTCCTTTGAGCATCTCGAGGTACCTTGTTCCACTTCCAAACTGTGGATTGTGGGATAGTATAAAACCCACTGAGTTGAGAGCATAAATCTTCCAATCATTTTTAGCTTTATATGAAGATAGCAGAAGCGTTAATGTTATGCCATAGCCGATTGTTGGATGATGAAAGATCTTGTCGACAAAGCCACGACAATGAAAGAAGGCATGGTGGACTTGTGGTAGCAAACTCCTTGGTAAATCTCCAAACCTGTTGATCATGGATCAGTATATTTATCACAAATTTATCACCGAAATGCGTACAGCACATCTTCATGTCTCCCGGGAATGGCATGACAAACAATGACCAAACACAACCATTCAAGATGCTCTTGTTCTTGATCGCATGTTACTCTTTCTACACATCCTCGAACCGTTTGCTTAATTTTGAAACTTCTCTCGCCAAACGTTCCATGTCCTGATTCTATGAGCCCAGCGGATTCCAGGCATTGAAGACTACTGTCGAAGCAACCTTCATTGGAAAGGATATCCATCAGGGGATCGGATACATGAAAGATCATAAGCTCGATTGCACCATCGGCTCCCCAGGATTCTCGTGGCATGCGTAGTCGACAAAATCAGATCTCGGATATACTGTCTGCGTCCAAAATGCACAATAGGGCCAAAAGTTTGGCGGCTAGTGGTGAGTTTTGTTCAACCAGCCGAAGCATTTCATCATCCGAAGATCTCGGTACAGAAATCTGCGCACCACCAAGCAATTGAGCCTTGCGCGTAGAAGAAGAGGATATAAGTGATTTTTTGAGCATGCTAGTTCGTGATTCGCCCGTCCATGGGAAGTCTTGAACTGCTTGGGGCATATGCTACACTGTAAGAGTTTATCGGCGTATGGTGCATGTGCAACGTCTACCCATGCCAAGATATGTGCGTTGACTTTTCCCTTGCTTGTCCGTTTGAATTTGCAGGCAGGACATTGAAAAGCCTTCATCGCGAGAAGTTTTCTAAATAAATTAGAATGCGAGGGAACGAACTGGGGTAATTTACAGGAAAGGAATGCGGGGGAATTGTTAGAATGTTATTCCTTATCCTAGTTCGTTCACTCGCATAGTACCTCATTCGTTGCCTAAAACGCCATATTCCATACCCTAGTTCGTTTCCTCGCATAGTTATATCAAAGTGCAACGATAACATTCCTTTTTCTTAAAACATCATATTTTCAAGACAATTGTTAGAAGCAAACGATGTCCACTGGAGACTAGCGCAATCTAATGGGCTTTGTGCGTATTGGATCAGCCTCACATCACCCACATGCAATGCTACTCTATGTGAAGAGGAATCATCGGTTTGAAAACCACGGTATGCTATGTTTGCTCATGCTAGAATCGACCGTAGCCGTTTCGATTACGTGGCAATCGCTCACCACAGCATCTACCTCTTATTGATAAATGTCTGCTTGAAATTCACACAAATTCTACTTCGGATGATACAGTCCTCACAAGAAGCATACATTAAAAAGACCTTATACATCCTTACTTTAAAACGGCGATGAGTTCTGGAGATCCTCTACATCATCCCTTCCAAGCAACAACAAGAGAATCGGAACAATCAATGAAAAGTGTTCAAGACTTCCTTCGCTGTAAGGTTTACGGGAGAAATATAACTAACAATGTCCGAAGATGAAACTCGATCGTGGCTGCATAAGTGGTTCTCAGTTGAAATACTGTAGAAACCGTGTAGTATGGCTAGACGCGGATGGCGAATCCTTCAAGGTTTCAACCCCAGGTATGTAAAGCCCAGTCCAATCTAGTGGCACAAAGTAACCTGACGACATCAGACTCGGATGAAATCATGAAACTTCAGGACATGCCCATACAACAAGAGGGCTTAGAACCACAGAGCTCAGAAATATTAATAGAGGAAGACAGGCCGATGAAGCAGGTCTTGGGGAAGCGCAAGTATACCGGTGCTGAAGAAGCAGCTCGGTTGAGCCTTGGATATTCTAAGAAGTGCGTCGCTTGTGAAGAACAGATCAGTGGATTGGCATTCCGTTGTGAGTGTGTAAAGAGCGGGAGATCTTAGCTCCTGACCTATGTTGAATGTGGCATGCAAGTCTAATTAATACAAAGCTACAGTGTCTATGGAAACATTGTCACACAGCATAACTGTCAACAAGACAACATACTGGAAGCTAAGTAAATTATATTAATGCTATTAATTATCTCCAAACATCACACAGTGCAAACACCGAAAGAGAAAGACCGAAAAGGAAACTGGCTATACATAGAAACCAAAGAAACAACCAAAGAAACCAAACATCGAATAGATACATCCCCTCGACTTTCCCCCTCGCATCCTCCGAACCATTACCCTTCATCTTCCCCTAAAACAAGTCAAACACTTCTTCTCTCCCTCTCATGACTATGACTATGACCCGAGAAACCCCAAATGCTACTACTCTTCCTCAACATATTCGAATGTTGTCTCTTCCCCTCTTCTGCCTTCATAAATTCAAAACTCGCTGGTCTCTTCCAAACCCCAACCCCATCATCCTTCTCACCTTTCTCGCCCTTCTTGACAGGCCACTTATCAATACTAATTACCCCCTTCACCGTCTCTTTCCACGTCTGTTCATTCTCAAGCTCCTGTTCTATCTGATGCCACAGATCAACATATACATTTACATCCTTATCCCACGATCCTTTTCTCCAATAAACTCTATTCAGTAACTCCAACTGCGCCATCGCAATACCGCATACTTCATATCTGGGTAATTCATCACCGGCATCGGAGACGATACTACGAAGTATATCTTCATGAATGCGCATGGCTTTTGTGAGATTAGGAGTAGGAGATGAGGTGTAGAATGCAGATAGCAAGTTTTGCATTTCGAGGGTTGTGGGATCGAGAGGTCCCCAGACCCGACGGACGTTGTAGCACATGTCTTCGAGGAGATTGATGGCTTGCTCTTGATGGTTGCTCGAGAATTGCGTTTCGAAGAGGAGACGGCCGATATGCACAATGGTGGAGGAGGACCAGGAGGGTTGTGAGTGACGGGAGTTCCACAATTGAGCGAGGAGCCACTGTGATTTATTTATTAGCATACGGACAGAGATTTGATGGGGATGATGCTTACCTCCAGTGCTTCTAGATCTTGAATTTCTCCAAGCAAGGCACATGCACTGTTCAGCTGTTCAATTGGTAAATCGACAATCTGGAGTTTACCGGTGCGGAATCGTTGGATGATTTGTTTGATGATAGATCCAGATAAAGCCACCGAAGAGGCACGAAGTTGAGCATCACTGATGGGCTTAGTTTTGTTACCAGTCAAAACAAGTGCTAGACGTAGACCCATATCTATTTTGGCTAAAGTATCATAGCCCCCGTAGAACTTTTGGAATCGATCAACATATTCAGCAAGTTCTTGCGCCTCTGCAAACTTTCCTTTGCTCATGTAAACACTTATTGCATCGAGACCTGCTCGTAATATGTAAATTTCAGCTTCGCCCTCATTGAGGTTGACAAGAACGATGTGTAGAAATTCGCGAAGAATGTGGCTACCCAGGTTCTTCTTTACTCCCAAGTTAGCTGAGAATTATTCCAAGACTGATTTATCGGCAATCTCTAGTCCAGCATCATCCTCTACATCTCCCAAGAATGTGAGAAGCCTGGAAGCATAGGAGAGGACTGTTGCGAAAAACATCTTCTGCGTGATCGATCGTTGATACATTTGGTACAAGAAGACCTCCATGAATAGATCGGCCATGATCGAAGAGTAGAGTTCCTTTCTTCCGGTGACAGTTGACTCAAAAGCAATCAAGAAGACCCAAGTATAGCTCTCGAGCTTGATTTTGGGGCCAAATTTCAGATCGGAGTGGGCGAAGACTGCTTGTGAACGAAGTTGCTTAATCAATCTCAATGCTTCAGATTCTAACCCTGCGTTCTTGTAAAGTGTTGCAAATGTCACAGCTGAGTCCGATAAAATTTGGGAATTCTTCTCGGTCTTGAGAACTTCCAAGATCGAAGCTTGAAGGGTTTGTTGGGCCTCGGAGATCGCTTCCGCCTTGTCTTGCTTTGCTAACGCTTTGGTTAAATGGCCAAGCCATAGCAGCGTATCACGATGTGCGTATCCTTTCTCCGTTTGAAACCTGCTGAACTCTTGCTTGTACAAGGTAATAGCTTTCGTCGACGTGTAGAGCTTGGAGATGGAGTAGAGATGTGGTAGACGCTTCTTGGCAGCAAGTACGGCCGTTAGAGTCGTCTCAGTAATCTTCCCCTTTGGAGCTTCATGAGCCTTAGACTCTGCGTCCTCATACATGTATATAGCCTCTTCACGATACTGCTCACTATCCTCGTCAAGCTCGGCAAGTTGAAGTGTGGCCTTGATCGTGACCTCGTGATGAACACCGTAGAAGGTCACACATGCTTTGCGGAAGTCAACAGCTAGCTCACGCAAAAGATCGTGGTGCGTCTCTGACGCTTGTCTGATGACGCGGGCATATCGTTGATACAAGTCTTCTGCAAAATCTGGCTTGATGTCATGTTCTTTCCCATGCTTTACGAGCATTTGCCAAAGAGAGCTGCATATCTTTTGAGCAGGCACATACTGGCGTTGTTGTTCATAAATAACGCATAGTGCTAAAGCTGCTTGTATCGAATTTTTGTGACAGACTTCTGTATTTTCTTTGCCCAAGTTGATATGTATGGTGCGATAGGCAGTTTCTGCTTCCGTGATATTGTAGATTTGTATGCTTAAGTCACCAAGCAAATACAAAGTCTTGATCGTCCATGTATGTGTCTTGCCATGTCTCTTTTCGATTTCATGGTAAAGATCTCGGTAAATAATGATTAGTTTTGCAGTCATAGAATGTGACTCGTATAAGTCAATCAGGGTTTTGGATATAGATTCCAAGAGCTCGTCTGGAGTAGTTGGAGTGGCCATGACAGCGTAAAATGTCTTTCGGTAAGTAATTTCTGCCAATTCGAACTGGCGCAACTTGAAGTATGCGAAGGCGAGACGATTGAGCAACTCCAAGATATCTGCAGTGAAATTGGATGGTAGGGGCACATTGACGTTATCTCCTGAGAATGATGGCCAGATTCGAAGCAGAGTTGAATTTGTCACCTGAATCACCTCAGACCATCGTTGCTCTGAGTAGTATGTAGCACATAACGATGTAGCTTGGCTTATCGTGGCGGTATCAATAGTCTTGGTAGTCTTGTTGACAATAGTTCTTTCGAACACCTCACGAACCGTTGTGACATCCCAAGTCGTTTCTTCTGTCTTCGTCTCGGTTATCTGTGTCAGACTGTTGGAGACAGATTTGGCTTCCGTTGATTCTTGCCTGCCGGTCCTAACATAGTATTCCCAGAGATTACCAAACACAAGACGAGCTGCTGCTACCGACCCGATGCTTTGCAACTGCTCACCAACCGTCTTCGTGTGCTTGATCAAGGTGGTAGATTGAATGTCACTATGTTCGAGGTCGATATGAATACCTCGGAGTATACTTTCGGCCTCAGCTGTCCTCTGTTCTCGTCTCAAAAACTCAACATAACGGAGAGCGACTTCAATTTTCTTTTCTTGAATAGAGACGTCATAAGTATGTGTCAAAGTTGTCAAGCTTTGCCACAAATTGATCAGTACTTCCTCGGTTTTGACGACATTTTTCTCTTGTTCAAACTTCTCAATCATAGCCCATGACAATTCAACACGTCTTGAATCTGCTGCATTCGTTCTTCGAAGACTGACCTCATATTCCTGCTGTAGGGTACTGGTCCTCGTCTCAACTTTGGTAATTTCAGTTGAGGTCCTTGAAACTATCTCCAATGATTTAATTGTCTGTGAAGCCGAATGTCCATAAATAGCGACATTCAACTCATAGATATACCTTTGCCATTCGAAAAGCTTGATTGTTTCCCCGATAGTAATATAAATCTCAACGAAAGTCTGCGCATATGTGATCGTTTCTTCGTGGGTGGAATTGGTGGATCTTTGCACATTGATGACATACTCAAGAAGCTCAATTTTGCGCGTAACAAAATCAGTCTTACTGGTAAACGTAACTGAAGATGTTATTTCAATGTATTGCTGGGCACATTTGAAGGCAATTGATGGAATATGGAGTACTTCTGCGAGCTTCCATGCATCGTAATAATACTCGACGTTTGATGAACTATTGATGTGCCCCAACCGCGCAACATTAAGGAGGGTCTGAAGTACAGACTCCGAAGTCTCACCAAGGACAGATTTGCGTATCGAAAGAGCCAGCTGCAGTCCGGCCAGGGAGTCTTGAAGTGGATATTGATTTTCCCAGCAGGATCCTTCTATCAATGACAACAGTATAGAGTCAGAAAAGCAGGTTTTGAAACCAGACGTAACCTTGTGCTGTGTTCCTTCATTCATGGGAGATACAGCGAAGTGCATTATCCAATACCTGGAGGCATATTGGATGAAATCATGCTTTTTGAATAGCTCGTCCAAGTTCTCTTCAGGCATGGTGCCAAGCGTCAATTGAGCTGAGCGTGAGGTAAGAGTGGCCTTTATATAGGCCAATGATCTGAGTGTTAAGTCGTAATGGGCTTCTTTGACGTGAAACGGAAAGGCTCCAGTATTCTTGAAATCGACGACTAACGTTGACCTATGCAGTATGTTCTGCTTCACAATATCATGAGAGAATCGGACAAAACCGTCATTCATGTTAATCAACGGTCCAACGGAAGTGGAAATGATATCCTCAACGCGAGTTGCTCTAGGAACATGCTGACAAGATGCAGTATCGATTTCCAATAGTTGTTTGACCTCACCGATTAGCAAAGGTCTCTCGCTTGCCAAGAGCCAGGCAAGCACAGATTTTGTGTCTCGGTCCTTGAGGTCAATTGAGGATAGAGTGATGTCAAGTAATTGTCCTAAGTCTTTGGGAAGACTATCCAGACGCTTGATTGTGGACTCTGGTGTCGGTTCTTTCTTGAGGATTGCAATTGCATTTTGAGTCCATACGAATGAACCGTTGGCGGCTTGGACAAGCTTTGATGTGATTAAAGAGAAATCCTTGTGGCCCAGATTCATTGGTGATGATAACAGCGACTCGATAAAGTATTGTACATCTTGAGTTGTATGTTGAGCGGTAATGGAGAACTGAGAACAGTCTCCGGAGATCGGTTTGGTGAGTGGCCGAGAGAAAATAATGCATTTGGTGTTTTGGTGTTTGGAAGCAACAGCCCGCAATCTCTCGAGTAGGACAAATCCATTACTCTCGCCACCATAAACTTGGTCAAATCCATCAATAACAATAGTTTGACCACGATCAGTTCGAAGACTTTGGCCTAAAGCAGCCCATAGCGAGTCCTCTACTTTGGTGTTCGAAGTTCCTTGGATATGCAACTCATATGCGTGAAACAATTCCTTGTATTCTCACGGCCTCCACGGAATCATCTGTTGATTGTCAGTCATTAATTCAGGCCTGATTTTAGCTCCCGCTTACCTCCAGGCTCAGCTAGACGTTCGAGTCTCGTTGACCAAATTTTATCCACAAAACGATCGCTGTGCAAGAAAAATTCATCGATGCTTTTGCCAAACAATTCGTCGAAGGTGCGAATACTGAAAACTGGATCTATGCGCCCAATTAGCTTCATTATCGTTTTATATAATTAGGAACAGCTCACCATGTTGTCGTCTGGTGTAATATATCGTGACTTCAGTCACAAGTTTCAGTAGATCTGCGTAACAGGCCACCAAAATAGTTTGTAGCTCTTCGATTGTATGTAGCAGTTCATGATGACGGACAAGGAAGCCAAGTGTAATGCTACAATTGTAAAGCACGCCAAATATCTTTTCGAGGACAGGAACAAATTTCGGATCCATCTGTAAAGAAACGGTCAGTGATTGGCTTTTCATATGTGAAGAACATCAAGACAAACCTCCAGTAATATTTTACAGCTTGCGTATATAATCTTCGTCACCTGCTCACTCTGCGTTGTGAACGAAGCGACCTCCTCACTGTACGTAGAAACCTGACCAGTAAAGAATTCTGCCCATTTCAATATCTTATCCCAACGACTGCCATGATGTGGCATCTGCGACAACCGAATGGTAGCGACAAAGTCGAAGAAGCCCTCTACAGATTTGCAGCTCTGAAGAAACTTCTCGGAGCTTTGTCCGAGCTCGGATCGGTACATTTTGATGATCTTTTGGGCTGTATCAAGAAGTAGAGGTGTTTGGAAGTAATCACTTCCGTTCATACTGCGTTGGTCGAAGCTTGGTGATGGCATTATGTCATGATAGCCATTAGTCTTTTGAAGATGATGACCATTGGATAATTGACGATGTTTGAGGGGGGATGTGGCCCCGTTGTGTATCGCTGATGGAGCCATGTTGGCGGGTTTCGGTCTTGAGAAAGTAGATAGACTTGAAATACTTTTCTCGTTGTTTTTGACTGGAAAAACATATCTTTATGGACCGAGGTTGAAGATAATCTTGACGTAAACTGGGATTTCTAGACCAATGGAAGTTCTTATTCAATTCGCATTCCAATGTTCTCATGCGAAGTAAGGTGGCGCCTCAAAATCGAAACTGTCTCACGGGTAGAAAGAATTATGGCGTGTGCATTCCACTTATGAAGATCAATGACGCCCAAGGGAAAAGTAAAGTTTGAAAGGCACTATATGTAGGTGATGGTATCAGGGCTCCCAAATTTAATGCCCCTTATAATCTTGGAACCGCCGAATCTCTATGATATCTAAACATTCTCTTATATCCCAGCAATTCAGAAAGCATTCTTGAGAACGCAAACTGAACAAAAGCAGAGTACCTTGGCAAGACCCTAGGGGCAAATGTGATAGGTTTTCTGTTTGTGATTGGCGAGCCTGTTGGCAATAGAGCTCCATGCCACTTCAGCTTCCAAAAGATACGTCTAAAATGTGACTGTCTCTACACGGCGAGATCATAATACTGGGGTAAACAGAAGGAAGAGCCCATGGAATACTAGCAGCAGCTCATAAACGGAATTCCGATATTCCCGATGATAATATCCGGTAGAATGAACACCAGTGAGAATAGAGATACAAGGCTGAGCATCCCCAATTCTTGGTCGAATTGAGATATACTGTAGTATCAACTTCGACTATTGAAAACATGCAATACGCGCAAGGTAGCAACGGTAGTTATTATCAAGTTACAGTGATCGATCGACCGTCAGCCAGCCACCCGTCTGCAAGGTAGATTTGTGGCGTTCCGAAAGCATCGAAAGTCTGTTATTAACTCGTATATTGCATCAATGAGATTCCAATTGAAAGCACTCCCAGTATAATATATTGTACTACGGAACTATCCGAATGGACAATGATGTTGTGAATTGGGCTGATTGGTTTTCTTTCAATTGGCTTCATATGGCTTCATATGAGTCGTTTGAAAGAGAAAGCGTTGCTCCTGGTTGTAATGACCGAGTCATCTACTCAGTAGTTACTTGAGCTTCATATAATGCCATTGCAACGTGTGTGTGCCGTCAGGAAAGTGGGGGGTATGAAAGAAGAAAGGGACCAAGTGAGTAAAAATTTGAGACTAGAATTAATATACCCCTGCTACTATACCAAAGGTAGCTAAAGCTTCGGCCTGCCTGCTAAATCTATCTAATCACATTGAAGATTAGTGGCATATTATTTTTATCTTATCAATCGGACACGCCTAAAATAATATGAATCATATTTGTACAGGCGCAGCTTCACATGGAAGCCATGCAAAGTGATCTATCTGCATAACTTCGGCATTAAACATCCGGTTCACAGTGCCCTTTTCAGACTATGGATTGGACACTGAATGGGTCGCTTCGGGTGAGTGTATGAATCATTATGGTTATCTTTGATTTGTAAGTTTTGGGACTAGGAGTAGTCAAGGATAGATAGACCCTGGACAGAAAACATGACCTCCATTGCTTTCTACGTTATAAGCGACCTAATCTACTCTCCGAATTTAAGAAAGACCTAATTGGTTCTCGTCTGTTGATCATCTGCAGACACTTAACGTCTAACGCCTATTCGTCTGATCTTGAGCCCATTGCATCACCTTCGGCTTTATCCATCCACTTATTCAGCTCTACAAAGATATTCGATGACTATCATGTGGTCAAATAAACAGCAAAATCATTCTAGACTTGCCAACCACTCATACCGTAGCGAGATTGAGAAGCGACGTTATTCCAACCAAGATACGCCAATTCTCATCCTCCTCTCTTTCCATACACCCCACCTACCCCAAAATCATATTCTTCCCCGCCCCCACCGGCAATCTGCACCTCAGCATAACCCCAGGTCTTACCCTCCCATCTATCCCTCCATTCCAATCCGGCTGATATGGCAACTGATTAATATTCCAATAAAGATACCCATCAAACCCAACATTTGCACTATCGGGCCAGACGATCCGCGGATCTCTTACAAAGGGTACTACTTGAGATATTGTGCTGTTCCAGATGTAGATTGCGTTTGAGGAGGGCATCAGCATGTAGATATTACCGAGCGAATCTGCAGCGAAGCCATTGGCGTTACCGCCGCGTTGGCCGAGGTTGTGTACGTTATCCATTGCGAGTTTGGGGGCGAGAGCGTTGGTAGAGGGATTGGTGAGGAGGTAGGAGGTGGGGATGCTGTAGAGAGTGTTGGAGGTTAGGGGGGAGTAGTAGAGGATCTGATTAGTTTATTAGCAATAATCCACACGCAGGAAAGTATACAAAAGCAGTGAAAGAATCCTCATACATCACCCCACAACCCCAACTCCAACCCATCCAAACCCTCCTGCTGAAATCCCACACCCATTCCTGTCTCTCTCAAATAGAATGGTATCCCATTATAACTAGGCACATCTTCCTGCACTTTTAAAACACTCTTATGTTGACTTAACATCCTCCAGCTCTCTCCAGTGCCCAAATCCAATATGATAAATCCATTTCTTCCCTCATTACTCGAATCAACTAAATACGCAACCCCGCCTCCAAATTCTGTAATATTACTTCGCTGATCAAATCTCAAGTCATTCAGATAAGAATCTGGAAAATGGACATTGGAAGGAAACGTATACGTGCGTATAATCGAATCATTAGACAAATTAATCGCGACGAGTTTTGGTCCACCAGGCACTGCATATGGCATACTGGGAGCCTGACTCTCATTGATTGTAGGACGACCAGTATCCAGAACCCAAAGGGTATCATCCGGCGTGACGAACAGTGCTTGAACCGAAATAAAATAATCTTGCAGGGAAGATCCAAATTGTATGCCATTTGATTCGCTGTAGAGGCCTCCTGGCGGAGTATTGAGTTGTAGGGATGGGTATGCTGCTTCGGCGGTTTGATTCACCACTTCGCCAAGTGTGTAGGCATATGTACCGCGTGTATAGCAGGTGAAGACTCGACCGGTTTTGGAGATGGCAAGGCCGATAGGCCATTGATCGTAGAAGTAGTGGAATTCCTCGACGGGAGGTCCATAGCTACCGGTGTCGTATCGTAGATTGTGGGGCCCGGCATAGTCAAATGTCCCATTCAAAGTAGCATAACCGGGACTAGTAGTGCTTTGGGCAGTGCCACCGCTCAGTAGGCTTACTGCAGTGAGAATCGTAGAGAGTTTCATCGTGCTGAAGCAGTCATAGAATATTAAAGTTACGGAATGAAGTCCTTGTTGTCCCACCAAGATTTCTCAGTCGAAAGAGATCAAGCATATTTGCAATTCATGATTCAGTACACTTGTAGGGAACAATAACTCTTCCGATACAGGAGTAGCTTGGCGGATTTCTCAACATGGCGAGCAAATAGTCCATCCGACGTCGGTTTGGTACATCGATGGAGCAAGCTATCGCTCCAATGATCTCTCGAAATTATGACGTATGGAGACGGGACCTATGGAGGAATTAGCCGATTAGTGTGAATTTCCCCTCATTGCAACTAGCATGATGGTGGGGCAAAGTTGAGATACGGTAATATTGATCATCTACCCCAAGGAATGAAAACGAGCGCATTCATGATATGTGACTGCGTTGAGATATCAAAAACAGAGACATTGTAGGAAAGATAGCATGCAAACAGATAGATTGTGATAATTTATTAAATTCTGCCTCAACCTACAACGGCAGCTAGCCCTGTATACATCCCATCGCTTGTCCAAGAACTAAACTCCAAAACATCCTGTACTCCAACTCAAAATATTCAATAAGATCAAGCCCACATACATTTTGCCGAGTCCAAATAGCTATTTCTAACACCATAGAGACTACTTAGATCATCGGCATAAGTCTCATTGTGGTACTTCTGCTTCAACAATGCGGATTCATGTCTCTTCAACATCACATTCCACGAGAATAATGAATGTCCTACACCGGCAAAATATTCTCCTCGCAAAACGACAAGGTAGTCGATCAAAGCTCTCTGGTCCCATCTAAGATGAGAGAGCTCTTCTCGCTCATGATCCTTCAAGAGATCCTCTTTGTGCGTAACCTCAATACCCTGACTCTTGGCTTCACTCGCGAACTTGTGAGTAGAATCAATATCACCAGAGGCAGCATAGATGAGTGGGTTTTTCATTGATTTAGCCAGTGCAATATATGCTTCGGCCTGACCATCGTAGTGCGTGAATGGAGCAGGAGTAGTATGTCGCTTATCAATTTCTTCCGGTTCGGTTTTCAAATGTACGCCCAAGAATGAAGGGGTGACAATTATTGAGCTGACATTGAGCGATACGTCATACCAGCTTGAAATCTGGCGTAAGGTCGATGTTGCGAGTCGACGGACATCGGGTCGAAATTTCATGATCTGTCCGAACTCATGAGCGAAGATATGGCCATCGGCATGGGTTGGGTATTTGAGATTTGATTGTTCGAGATCAACCACAATTGGTATCGATTGTGGCGTAGGTGACATATACTTCTCGGTCCAAACATTTAACTTTTCCTGCCATTCCTCTGGATGTTCCAATCCACTTGTTGGCCGGTTGAGAAATAAGCTCTCAGGCAAAAGCCCGCGTCTTCTCCCATTCACCGTTTGTTCCATATGATCGATGACATTCAATTCAGGACATGACATCTTCAACGATCTCTTGAAATGGTGCGCATCAAACATGTAATCCATCCCCTTCCAACCAAGCCCATGTCGTTTTCCCATATGTGATTCCCCCTCTTCTTCGTTCGGCATCATATTCAATTCATGGATATCTTCCCTCAGCTTAATATTTGGCATAACCAAGCTACCACCTGCACCAATCGCATATCGCACACAATTCAGTATCGAATTTCGCACATGTCCAACTCCTCCTACGTTGCTATCACATGTAAATATGATGCTCGAGTTCCATGTTTGCGTAGCACAAACTGCTTTCATAACCTCGGAATTGACGTGCGGGAAATCGAATACATCTTGCTGGTCTAAAGTAGGAGGGGGTATATTTTTTTGCGGGTTATCGGAATTGGCATTCCAGATAATATATGTAGGTATAACACGAGGGCGATCGAAAGCAAACCAAAGCCAGGCCAGTCCTAGAGCAAAGCCTGCTAAGGCGGCATATTTGCGATTGACACCAGTTGGAAGCTGCATTTTTCTCGCAGATTGTATAGCGAAATTCGAGTAAGAAAATGAAAGGAAAACATCTCGGAGGTCGACATTTTGTATAAGTCTGAAGATGTGCTTTGATCTTGGTGGCTCGGGGTGACTGTGCGAAGTGTGTTTTAAGAAAGCATGTTTGGACTGGGTGATGACCAATCACGAGTAGGCCCGCTCTAGTTTGAAACGTCAATTAGACGTCGAGACCGCGCTGATGAGTGTAAATTTCTTTTTTGCTTACATTGTCTGAGTTTCAGAATGATCAGGCTATGTACCAGTGGCAGCATCTAACTATTCGATAGAGTGTGTGAAGTTTGTGGGTTGCCAAGGGAATTGATCATAGCTCCCGGTGAGGGATGGGTTCATTTGTGGAAAAACTGCTGGTAAGTTTTGACTCTTCGACTGCTCGCTTTATCTTGGATGAAGTAATATCAATGAACCGCGAAGTGTTGCCATACATAAATAACATATATTGTTTGGTATATTTGAACCTCAATGTATATACCTCCTGGGTCCTTGGGCCTTTTTGTGTATACAAACCCATATTCCATATATCGTCAACGCCATCTAGCTCTCAAAATCTAAATTATAGTATCACAGGAATCAGACCGTGACGATTATGTACTCTTGCATCAAAGCTCTTCATCTTCTACCCCATGGATATCGTCGTTAGTATTATCATCCTTCTTTACACTGACAGACAAAGTTAGAATCCCAGCAGCAGCGTATGCAATTCCAGCGACCAGAAATCCTCCTCCGCTCCACAACCCTCCCTTCTTTAAACCCTCACTAAACGCTCCTGCAACTAAGGGGCTACTAATCATTCCGCCAATCGTGTCCATAACTGCGAGAATACCGTACAATCGACTGACTTGTGTGGGGTGCACTAAGTCGGTGAGGAGAGATCGAATGGCTGGAAACAAACCTAATCCAAGAGAAAACAGTACCGTTGCTACGCTTGTTAGTTATCATATTCGACAATTTTGAGTTTCAAATTTGGCTTGTGACTCAAAGCAATAGAATAGTAACAACTTACACATAACAAACAGGCCTCGAGCGGCAGATAGAGCAAGTCCGAATGACCCCAGGGTCATAAACATAGCAGAACCTCGACTAACCAATAAGTCCTTAACAGCGGCTTGCAAGTGAAACCTCGATAAGATAGCGTAAATAGCAGGAAGAACGAATACCAATTGAGCGAAATTCGTGATCGAGGCAAGAGGTATGAGGAAACTTGCCTATGTAATAACGTTAGTTTTCGAAAGTCATAGCAACAGGTAGTACATACATCAACAAGTGTCCAATTAAGTCTTTTCGAAGCAAGCTGAAGAAGAAATTGGGTCATATTTCCATGTAAAGATTGGACAAAGAATGTAACGGAGAGTGCGAGCAATTTTGAATTTGTGAAGACAAACCGAGATTCCTCGAACTTCTCCAGAAGCATTCTCCAATTCTTCTTTGAGAAGATCAGAGCTCCTTCATCATCAGTGGAGCTATCCCCGTCTTCCGCTGCTTCTGCTCGTGCCGGACCAGCGTTTGTCGAAGAAACAATCTGATGTTCCCTGAGATGCAAAGTTTCCGGAAGAACCAAAATCAGGGAGGCTCCTAAGAGCATGAACAAAACCGCTAACATCATGGGAACTCGTAGATTCGAGATGTTTGTCAGCCACCAAGCTAAAGGCACACCAGCTAAGGTGGCTGTCAGAGAAGCTGCTGTAATTTGGAAGAAAACTGTAGCTCTGTATGACTTTCATTAGTATGGAATTTTCCATAGAAGAAAGGATGATCGGATCAATGGTACCTTTTCTCTTCGGCCACCACATCCGCAATGATCGTGTAAAACATAGTTCTCGCAACCGCAGTACCACCTCCGAGAAAAAGAAATATGTTTGCGGACCAGATCCATCGTATATCAAAAAATGAGTCAAAATAGCCTATGTGACGTATAATCCATCATTAGTATCGTGGGACCTAACTGAACAACCAAGCCCCGTTCATTTCAGCCGCCATGCTCTAATCCCTTCTTCTTTTCTTAACTCTTCAAGATTCCAAAAAGAGGACTCACAAATAACCTGAATCCAAACCAAACTAAAAGTAATCCCCATCAAACTCGTAAACAGCACCGCTTTCCTCCCCACTTTATCCGCCAACACCCCAAACGGCACCGACATAATCAATCCCGGAATACAACTCAAAGTTTGATCCCAGCCCTTCAACAGCGCCAACTTCCCTTGAATAACATCATTCTTACAATGACTTTCGGGAATTGAAAGCGGAGGTGCTGCGGTAAACTTAGAGAGAGGAGCTGATGAATAATACGCTCGACATATTACATCTTCAAGAGTACGAGCCAACGGTGCTTGAATTAAATAATCGCCTATCTCAACAACCAATACTGAAAGAATACAGATGATAGAAACGCGAATCGCTATATTTTGGCGCCCGAGTAGTGCATCATGATCATGATCATGATCCGTAGTGGAGCGAACCGATCGGGTAGATATTTGGCGCAGTAAAGGGGTTGACTCTTCGGAACTCGGCTCGGAAGACATATTATATTGTAGGACTAATTACACGTATGAAAATGCTCCGATAATTGAAGCCACGAAGGCTTGGGAGCACAAGGCCGGATACAATATATATAGGTATTGCATTGCAAACATGACATCGGAGTTCGGTGTAACATACCAACAATTCCCGCCCCTTTATCTTACCATACTAATATCCCGAATTGTGGGTACGTGTCGATAAGCACCTTAATCTATACCGACCTGCTTATTTGATGTTCCAGGTATGAATGGGGCGTATCAGAGCATTGGGATTTGACAGCCGTCAACCGTTGGAAGACAAGAAACTGTTTTCATCAATCGTACATGTCACGGAACTGCTAATGAACACATTGGAGGCGCAATTGCATAAAATCTTAGGGAGAAATAAATGTCTTTGAACAGCGATGCTCAAACCATTCAAGCATCGGAGAGCTTTAGAATTTCACAAATTTCCCCCAAGGAAAGCAAAGGATCCCTTTCAGTGCTTTTCAGTGACTACTTATCACTTACAAGCACCCCTTTCAAAATATCACTTCGCTTCATATATCATTCACATAGCTAGTCATCTTCAAGTTGGGTCACATATGCGAACCTTCTATCAACAACTCCTAGATATGGTACGATAATAACTATCGAGCATCTTGCAAATTCCAGCCAATTTTAACAACCTGATTACATGGGTATCTGTGTATCTACTCAACAACCCATCCCTTTCCTCTAACCTTCTTCTGCACTACTTTCCTAGCCGGTAACGGCCATCCTAAACCACCTGACCCTTCCGCCCTCAAATAAGGCACCACCCAACACTCTCTCATTTCTCCATCCTCTCCTTCCTTGCCATTCTTTCCCGCCTTCTTTTCCTTAACAAGCACCTCCTTAATTGGCTTCCCATAGTCCAACAAACTAGTTCCCTTCGCCAATCCCGCCAATTGCCCCCCGCTAATATCAGTCAAACTATGCATTCTAGTTTTCTGTCTCTTTCTCGATCCATCCGCATTAACATCTTCAGCCGGTTTCTGTAAATAGGAGTAGATGATGTATTCGGGACATTCATGTGGAGAAAGGCGAGAGAGAGGAGAGGCGGGGTGGATATATACTGCCTTATCTTGTTCTTGTTCTTCGTCGTCGTTTTTGTTGGATGTGCGGAGATGAGAGGGGAAGAGCGTCAGGTAAGGGACATCGATTGCTCTCTTCGGTTTTCTGTATGCCTCGGGTTGTGTTGGGGATAGATCCGCTCGGATGGCTACATGATCGATGAATCCTGCCGCAACCATTTGTTTGAGGGCTTTAACTTGTAAAGCAGATGGCGGCGCCAATTTCTCTTCGTATTTCAATGCTGCAAATGCCGGAATATTGCTACGCAAGAGATCCGTGATTTGACGACGCAATTGCAAGATTTCCTTGAGGGTCTTATAGCGCACATAGTGGGATGCACACCAGGACTCTGTAGGTGCGTGGGCAAATTCTCCGACGGCTTGAAGGAGCTTAATGGCATCGGATCTATCGTCAAGGAAACAAAACGATTGGTGAACTTTGTTGAATTGACGGCGGAGATTGGCGCGGGCGTCTTGCTCGATCTTCTCAGCAGTGGTAAGGTAGGCCTCTTCATCTTCGCGTGGAGTAAGAGCGGGAATGACTTGGTTTTCAGGGATGAAAATATCGGCAGCGGAGAGGCCTGCTACAAGGGCGATGGTATATGGGAGACAATCGTGTAAATGACCGACCAAAAGTATACGAGCAAATCGTGGTGAAAGTGGGAAAATAGACATGGTGGAACCAGTTGGGGTGATTTGACCAGATGGCGAAAGTGCCGAGAGGTACGTAAGAAGTTTCTCGGAACTCGCAAGACTTTGTCGATCTGGTGGAGTCGGGAATGGGAAATTGACGACGTGTTGCAGATTCATTGATTTAAGTTGTAATACCACACCTTCGATGGGCATTCGTAATATCTCTGGCTCTGCAAACTCCTCAAAATCTCGCTCATAAACGGCGGATGAATACAATCGATAACAATGTCCAGGGCCAGTACGTCCAGCACGACCTGCACGTTGGCTTGCACTGGCTTTACTTATCCATCCGACTTCGAAACTTTGTACACCAGTCGTCTTGTCGTATTTACGTTCTTTTGATCTGCCACAATCGAACACATATTGAATGCCGGGTATCGTGAGAGACGTTTCGGCAACATTGGTAGCCAGTACAATCAAACGTGAACCATCGGGCGGAGGCTCAAAAACTCTCAATTGTTCTTTCGTGGATAGCAATGAATATAAGGGTAATATGTGCATCTTTGAAGGTCCAGTATCCGCTTCTTCTCCGATATCAAAATCTTCATCATCATTAAACGTAACTTCGTCATCATCATCGACATAATCATCAGTGGCCGTGTCCATAGTTTCACCGAATTCAATATCTTCGGCTTCGATAGGTGCATCTTTCCCTGATATGCGAACTTGTGGTCCTGTTGTGGTAGAGCCTATATTAAATGCTTCTTTTAATTTCTTGCTGAGATGTGTGATTTCATTCTGACCAGTCAAGAATACCAAGATTCCTCCAGGTGGAAGTTTGCGATGACCTTTGCTAATCTTTCTGAATGCTTCTTCAACATAATCATGGTGTGTCTTTCGTGCAAAATGAGAAGTGACTGGATATTGTCTACCCTCTGCTTGTAGTACCGGTGGTGGAGTAGAAAATAATGTTTTGTTCTCCGTGAAATCTGTGATTCGCAGAGTAGCAGACATGATGATAAGTTTCAATGGTTTGACAGACGAGTCTTCTAAAGCCATTTCCTCTCTCAGTCTCACCACTCGACTCAGCATGCCGATTAAGATATCGGTGTTCACGCTTCTCTCGTGAGCTTCATCAATAACGACGGCGGAGTACTTTCGCAGAGCAATATCCTGTGCTACTTCTCTCAAGAGTACACCGTCCGTCATAAATTTGATAGCAGTGTCTGAACTTACTGTTCCCTCGAATCGAATCTGGTAGGCAACCCGCTTACCATGATCAGCGAGCTCATCCCCTACACGTTTTGCCATACTAACAGCTGCAACTCTTCGAGGTTGTGTAACACCAATCATTCCGGGGTTGGGTGAGTCTTTAGCACCATACCCAGCTTCGTATAAAAATTGAGGTACTTGAGTAGTTTTTCCAGAACCAGTAGCACCATACACAACCACTAGATTGTTATTATGAATTGCTTCCATGATCTTTTGTTCTTCAGCTACGACTGGAAGTTTAAGTCTGACATCTTGGATATGTGAAGGCCTTTCTACAGAAACACTAAACGCCTTCCGTGATAGATTGGTAGTAGGTTGTAGTTCCATTGGTAAAGGATCTTGCTCCATAGGTCGAGGTTCGAAGCCTTCTATTTTTGGTGTTTCTGTCGCATTTGGAATATTTGTCGTTGGCTCATAGCCATAAGCTTCATTTACTTGTTGAGTTGCCCATGCTTTGAATGCAGATGAGCGTTCCTGTTTTTTTGAGGTCTTATCGTCTTCGTCTCCCTCACTACTCTCTTCGCTATCTTCTTCATCGCTGTCATCTGACGACCCTTCTTCGATGTCATTTCCAAGCTTCGATTGAAGAGCCTCCTCCTTACTTTCTCCGAAAAGGGACATGACAGTCTTTAGTAATTGGGCATGTTCTGGGTCGCTTGCCTCATCGCTTGCCTCATCGCTGTCTTCATTGCTGTCTTCGTCTGATGGTTCTTCCTCACTGCTGTCTTCTGACTCGTCCCCAACCATTGATTTGAGAGCTCCCTCCTTACTTTCGGCGAAAATACCCGTAAGACGTTTCAGTAACTCGGCTTTTTTTGGGTCGCTCGTCTCATCCGGTGTACTCGAATCGTTGGAATCTTCATCTGTCTTCATCTCATCATCACTATCTTCGACTTCTGAACCTGAAGAAAATCCGTCCCAGGCTGATTCTGTGGCGGGGGCTTGCGGCTTCAATGATATTTTCGATTGAACACCTCCTCGCCTTTGTCGCTTTTGTATCACTGGCTTTCCGTCATCGTCCACCTCAAGTGGTCTCTTCAAACCTGTGCCTGCTCCAAATTGTAGTGTTTGCGCGGGTGTCTTTGAAGCTGGGGTCGAAGCCGGCGTGGTCGCTGTCGTATTACCTTGGAGAAGCCCGCCTTCTTTCTTATGTTTGATTTCGTCGTCTTCCTCTTCGCTACTCTCACTCTCACTCTCCATCTCTCTAACCGTCCTCTTTTCGAAGAGTAGCTCCTCTCCATTTCCATCAATATCAACTCCCCTCTCCCTTTCCTTCAGCGCTCTCGCCAATCTTTCTCTCCTCGTCAATGCGCCCTGACCCAATTTCTTACTGCTCTCATATAATCCTCCCTCCTCTTTGCTCTTCGATAATTTCTCAATCAATATCCTATTCTCATCCTTCCTCAACTTCGTCTCAATGTATTTCTCTAACCTCTTTGCTTTCTTTCCACTGATCTTAGTTTCTCCAGCTAATTCCTTTTTTAATTTCTGCTTCTTTTCTTCGTGTGCGGATTTCGAGGAGGGAATGATTTCTGTCGCATTAGAATCAATGGGGTTCTCAGAATCGTTGGTCTTATTTCTCGCAAGCACTTTATGCTTTCGCAGTCGGGGTGTGAATATGGGAGGCATCTTTGGTATTCTTCAATCCACGGATCGAATGTAGACGATTTGATGTGGTGATTCCACTTTTTGACTTTTGCGATTCTGATCGGGAACTTTTTTTTCTGCCGGATTGTTCACCGTCTTTCGAATCAGTCTTCAATCAACGAAATGCGGGGCTGCCCCAAGCTTACCTAGTAGTTACCAGGACGACCTGACAATACAAATAGCTCACTAGACGACAACTCAAAGTATTAATTGTCACGGGGTACGGAGTGGAAAACGTAGAATCTCAGGAATCGAATAGTTGAAATTGTAGTAAACTATGAAGAGAAGAGGTTCAAGCTGAAAAATGAAGTTGCTTAAGTGCCCCCCTTAGCCCTTAGCCTAGCCTAGCTGCCTCAGGCAGCACACCTGATATATATCATCTTATAGACTTATATTATACGAACGTAATTATTATAATCCATTATATAAGTCTAATGTTTTATATTTATCGATATCTCTACTATACACTCGACTTTTCTTAATATATTAATAATAGATATTCTAGATAGACTATATCTAATTGTGACCAAAAGGGTATAAACAGGACTCCGATTGTATACTTAGAATCTACAAGTGAAGAGCTATATAGAGTACTAAAAGGAGGACTATATATTACAGATATTGGGAGCTCTAATGGCTAGGTCCAAAGGAGTGAAAGAAAGACTAGAGATATGTATTGTACGATGCCTAGATCTAGAGCTATAGAGCTAGGGCTCTAAGCTGTGAAAGGAAGATCCAAGAGAACCCGTCTTATCATACTATGAACCAGTGGACGGAAGAGAGCCATCTATTCTGTTATATAAAGTCGAAAATAATATCTAAAATTAATAGATCTATTTGTTTTCTAACTTTAAATTCAAAAATAAATAATAGTAGAATTTAGTATTATTTTGATAATTTAATATTATTTGTACTTCAAATCAAGAGTACTTCAATACTCGAGTGTATTTCAATGTTCTATCTAAAAGAGTAGATGATATCGACGTCATGGAGTTGACACTAGCGGCCGCTAGCTTTCCTTCTGCTTTTCGGTTCGTTCCGTCATTTTTGTTATCTTTACTCAATTCCTACTTGCCAGTTAAGTTCTTCCTACAGTTCCATCAACAACTATTTGTAACCTTCACATACGGTAGATCTTTCAATTCTCGAGACTTAAGTCGAATCGAAGCGTTGGGTTTTGCACTATTCTACTACTTTTATAAGCGGCAGATCTTCCAATTCTCAAGATCTAAGTAGAACTGAGTCGTCGACCTTTGCATTGTTCTACCACTTCTCATATATACTCACCATCATCCACGGTCATCCTGTTGCTTCGCAACCATGGCATCACAAGATCCCCCCCTCGACGAAATACAATGGAGAGATCCACAATGGCTCGCGGCCAATGGAGGTATTCATGAAAATACCATCCTTCACTACTTTGCGCAGTCGCCATTCTTTGATCGAACATCAAATAATAGCATCGTGACAACACAAGCTACTTTTAATAATAATTTGTGGTACCTCCTGGGAACCCGTGGCGCGTTTGAGGGACGACTCAAAACTATGTCTGGATTGGAGTTTATAATTGCGCAAGAACCTGCAGCGATGGGGCCGGGTACTGGTACTGGAGTATGGGTAATTAGAAAACAAACAAGAAGAAAGAGAGCTCCAGAGGATGACGAAATTATAATCCATTCATCGTATTTTGTGGTGGGAGAGAACATTTATATGGCTCCTACTGTTGCGGATGTGCTAGGCAGTAGAATGGTATATTTACTTTCTCTTCAATCTAATATTACTTTCCCTAATAGCAATGCAGTTATCAATCTTTACCTCCCTCACCAATGCTATTTCGAAAGTCTCCGAATTACCTAATTTCTCTCCCTCTCTCGGCCATACATACATGCCACCAGTCCCTCCACGAACAAAAGCTGTTACCTCCACTTTCTCTCAAACCGAAGAAAACACACCAATGCCCGATTCTCTAGCGACCGAAGCCAAAAATCCTTCCGTCAGCACCTCCACCAACGTTCTGGCACATCATCTTCTTGAAGAAACCCTCAATATCACACTCAAATACGGCGATGAATATATGGACGAAAATCCTATCACCGGAACCCCAGGCGATTTCCATTTCAGTACAACAGGTCGAAAGGAAAAGGAAAGGCTTATGGTACCACCAACATCGAAACCAGCAGGCTTTGGTCTAAGTGGTAAACCTGCGGCTCCTACACCATTAAAAACAGATCTGGGAATTCAAAAGAAAGGAAGTAAGGGGGAGAAGAGTCCTAGAACTCCGGGAACAGGCAAACCAAAAAGAAGAAAAAGTAAAGTGATGAATGGTGGGGTGAGTCCTACATAGGATGGATAAAGGTTTCAAGTGCAGAATCTGTTGTACAGTACATAGCTTGCATGTAATAATTTCAAGGCGTTGCAGAGGATATACCAGTACCGGACGGACTTAGTACAGCCGGCAAAATATATACTATAATGACAATACAAATAATAAATCATCACATATACATATCTAGCTCTCCTAAATACCTCAAAAGCAAAACACAACTGCAACCCCCATGTAACCTCACAACCAAACTAAAATCTAGATGTGCAACAAATAGTTTCATCCCCATCTAATCAATGCAAGTTATTTAATCCGCGAAGACAAGTCGAGTTTAGTTTAGTTTATAGTAGTGATCGGAAAGGCCCTAGAGGAAGAAGGATGTCCGATGCTTACAAGTGTGAATTTGTGAGGCACAATTACCATTTACCCTGTCTAGTTGGGTTTTTTTTAGTATGTAGAAGTTAGTTTTGTGTTATGATGGGTGGGATCATGGGAGATGATGTTTATGCCGTATTGCCGTGGTGGCTATGGATGGTGCTAGTAATACGGTGGTGGTACCGTGGTGCACTATGGTGATGTTGTATGTAATGTGATGTTGTGATTGACTAGGAAGGGTTGGGTTTAGTTTGTAGGTTAGCTACCTAGTAACCTTTAGTAATTTATGCGCATGAACTTGAGGTGGTGGGTATGGATAGAGATAATATAATTTGGGTGGATGGACGGGATTGATGTAGTGGATTTTTGATGTTGATGTTGTTGATAAGGCTAGTACTCAGTATGGGGAAATGAAATGAACTAGATGAGGTGAGGGGGGGGTAGGGTGTGAGATATGATCTGAGTTGTATTGTATTATATTAGATCCTTGGATTTCTTAATGAATAAATAATAAAATATATAGAATTATATCAAGATTGAGTTGATACTCGAGTATATCTAATTTGATTTAGGCTATACATTAGTCCTTCATTAGTCCTTACTATAAAAGAGTTCTCTAACTTGAAGGTTCTATTGATTGATGATATCATTAGATTTCCTAGATTGACTCTATACGTCATTAATCATTTCGCCCAAGTACTCGAGTATTAAATCCTATCTGTAAGCAAAACATATATTAGACAATAAACCAAACTTCTGAATAAACAAAAGCCTTCTTGTTTTACTCGAGTATCTCTTTTCAAACTTGAATTCATTTGTTTGTCTTTAGAACTCTTTTCAAAATGTCAGCAGAGTACGAGTAAGGTCTTTCCATCTATCAGATGATGTCTTATTGTCTTGTCTTCTACTAACTCTTCATGAACAGTATGTGGGACAAATTTATTGAAGCCCAATTGAATTTGGTTTTGTTTCTTAATTCAGAGGCCGATATTATCGAGGAAGAACAAAAGAAAAAACAAAAAGAACAAGATGCACAGAGGTTAAAAGCTTCAAAACTTTGGTTTGAAGAGTTCATGACCAAGTTTGAGTTTGCCGAGGAACAATCAATCCTACACTGTACCTTACCAGAAGACAAGAAAGACAAGAAAGACAAATCACTTTGATCCAGTTAAGCTTCTCAGATTGGGAGTCAACGGACACACAATATGGTTAATTCGCGGATAATGGAGGAGGTTGTAGAGCGAGTACCGTATATGGCTGTTGTTGGCTTCTTCGAGAAACACTTCGAAGGAAAGCCCTGGACAAACAACACTAGAGATATCTACAAAGAGAGTTGAAGGCCTATTATGCAGAAAACCGTTGGAGTCGGTGGGCATCTAATTCAAAAACAATTTTCTTTATGGTTCGAGGAATTAATGGACGAATTGATCCGTGGATCTGACTACGAATATAACACATCGACGAACGGAGCCCTTGAAGGGCTCGGAGGCTCTTCTCAAACTTGACACATTTCTCTTCCTTCCCATCGACACCGTCCTACCGGTAGAAGGGCCCACAGGTCACTTCTTGAGGATGGAAATATTCTTCATCAAGACATTTCTGCAAACAATGTCATAGTCACAGAAGCTGCCACTAAGGGAGATCCGATAGGGATGAGGTTGAACAGTCCCCCGAGCAGAGCGATTCATCGGATGGGTACTGTGTGGTTTATGGTGATCGATGTGCTTCTGGGACTACGCCATACATACTAGCATGATCTCGAGTTTTTTATATGTCTTCAGATGGATTGGATATGTATTCGCTAAAGTAACGAAGGTGTTGGGGAAACTTCTTAATCTGGAGCTATGCTATTGTATTATTTCGTAGCTACTAGCTCCAAACTAACCAGCCGGCCAGCATGTAGCACAGCGCGTCTAGTGCGTTTGACCTTTGATCCATGTATTCCTTCCATCCCACCCTCCAATCTGATTTTGAATAGGTTGCAAACAACCGTTCCTTTCGTTACAATAAACCAAACGTTTCCTGCTGCGAGCCTGCGGCACGACCCAGAATTTGCAAGCGCCCATCCCTATCCATCTATATTTAGCACAATGCCTATCCTATGCTAATACTGTATGCTGTATGATGTATGCTGTGTGTTGCGTGCATAGGCGTTAATTAGCATTGCTACTACTGAATGCAAAAGTGTCTGTATGCAATTTTTTACAAGAGCCAGGAATACATTTTAATATACTCGAGTATAGATAAACTTCTATTTACAACTGAATACCATTTAATAGCTTACTCGATAGCTAAAAGCTCAGCTCAGAGTAGAAATTAACACCTAGGACAATCTACCCTTTTCAACAAAATCCATCCTCGTCTCGCTTTGCTTCCCTCTCTACATACCCGTAGTAGCCGCAAGTCCCACCACGGTACAGCGTCTCGCATTCACATTCACATTCACATTTGGAGCTACTCGCTCACCCACTCACTACACTACACAAAAAACCTAGATCAATGACTGTCATACTAATACATTTGTTGCACATCTAAATTTCTAGTGGCGTCCATCAGTCACCATCAAACCTAAATCCCAACTACCTGAACAGAACACCAAAATCAAGTACCGTGACCATAAGTCCTACTACAGTATAAAATACGGCGTCTCGCATATATGCATGCATGCATATGAAGGATTGCGTATCCATAGCCTCTAATCCATTACACTACACTACACTGCTGGTGTTCCTTTGATGTTGGTGTTTACTATGGTACCGGGACTTGTATTGCAAGTTTGCTGTTAGGCTAGAGAAGTGCATGGTATTGCATTGTATTGTATTGAATTATATTGTATTGTGATATATTGTGTGTTTGTTGCATATCTGTATTTCTAGTGGCGTTTTGTTTTGCTATTTTGTTACTTTATGATGGTTGTGATTGTGTTTACTCCATCTTAACCCAGCCTTCTCACAATACTCCGTAAACCAACGTACATCTCGCATCCCATACGCATACGCATTCGCAATTCATGCATTCATCCACTATCCAATTCCAACCTCACTTACTCTTACTTTTATCTAAACAGGAAATCTAACCTAACCCAACCCAACCTAACCTAACCTAACCATCTAACCTACCCGCAACACATATCAACATCACCAGAAAGAATGCTAGGAAAATGAATACTGGTAAAACTAGAGACTAGAGACTAGTGCTAGAGAAAGAAAGCTTCTGTTGTATACGAGTATCTAATTCTTTAGTAGTATTTCTAACTTCTTACTTCTAACTTCTAACTTCTATTTTATATATATACATAGAGTATAGATGGGTATTAAGTTTCGATATCTTGTATCATGAGTATAGTATAGTCACGGTTGGCTACTCGAGTACTTATCATATATATATTGATCAATGATCATCACAAACCTCAATGGGATTTCCACTCCTGTACTCCTACTAGACTTCTATACTCTATTGGTAGCCGGGGAGGATATCTGCTACAGTGCTACCTACTACCTACTCTACTACCTACCGCTAGATACAGTCTATTCCGTTCCAATCTAGTTCAATCGAATCCAATCGAGTCCAATCCTTTAATAAACTACTTATCACTTAACAATAAACACTCATCAATAAACACTCACCTCAATATAAACACCCCTGACCAAAACAACTAACTAAAACAACCAACCAACCAATTAACCAGCCAACCGATTTACCGATTCTAAAAAGTATTTAGGAATATATTTACTATACTTACTATAATTACTATACTTATCATAAGCTACACTCGTACTCACTATAATTACAATACATATACATACACCAATACACCGATAGTATACTATACTATACTACACTATATTATATTATATTATATTTCCCTTGCCAGTGATTAATTTCAAGATATTAGTTTCAAGATATTAGTATAGTATAGTATAGGGTTATACTTAGACTTATAGTAATTATACTTGTAGTAAAAAGAATATATTATAAAAATATAATAGAGAAAAGGTTTTTGCCATGAAATGTGAGGTACTCGAATACAGTGAAGTGAGATACTAACTAGTATGATGATTTGTGAGCATGAAATTGAGGTTGAGGTTGAAGATAAATATGAGAATAAGATTATAGTATGGATTTGGATTTGGGTAAGGTTGAGGTTGAGGTTGAAATTTGAGATCTTTTGGAGTGTAGATGGGGATATGTTTATCAGAAAAAGGAAAGCAGGAATCGGGATGAGGATTTGGAAAACGAATTACAGTAGATTAGATAAACGTTACACATAATATGTTACATCTTTGAGAGAGAGAGAGAGAGAGAGAGACTGTTTAATATGTACGGAGCGCTGAAGAAATAACTATACATATAGCATATAGCGTATAGCATAACGCCCCAACCTACCTCGCTACAACCGTTGTCTCTGATCCACGATTTCTTACACCAGCTTCCTCTTCTCCTCCAGGTGGCACATCCAAATCATTCTTCTCATCTTCGACCTCACCCTTCTCACCCACCAATTCCGCCTCCGCCTCCGCCTGCCCCTCTTCTTCTCCACTAACCATACTCCCCCATCCGCTTCCCACTCTCTCTCCCCTCTCCTCCTCCCTCACATAATCCTTTACCTCCATCCACTCTCCCAACGAATACTGAACCTTCACCGGCCACTTCCAACACACCCCCCAATAAACCATAAAACTCACAAAAAGTCCTATCGGATATGCAAAATAATATGCCCTCGTAATTCCTATTGGTGCCCGGACCCCCATATTATTCAAAAAGCCCCAAAAATTCGGCACAATACCAATCACATACGCCGCATAGGCGCGCCAATTCCAGCCACCGGTATAATGATATGCGGCTTTTTTATCCGAGGTATAGAGATCTGGGATCTTGAGGAATCCACGGGCGATGATGAAATAATGGCAGAGAAGCACACCGGTAATGGCTGAGAGGAAGATTTGATAGGAGGCGAGAAAGGAAATGAAGATGCTGGCGGATTTGAGGAGGTACCAGGGTTGGATTGCGATGCTGAGTACCGCACAGATGAAGAATCCGGTGCGAATGGATATGTATTTTGGGACTTGTTGTGATATTAGTGATAGGTTGGGGATTGTGGGACTTGCATAAAATAAGGGAGGACTTACAGAGCGCAGCGATATCGTTTCCAGCCGGAATAGAGTTTTCGAAAATTGAAGAAAAGATTGCGGAATAAGCGAAGCAGCCGGCGATGAAAAAACATCCAGCTCGAGTTGGGGCGTCGTATGTTCGTTCGAGGATTCGATCGAGGTAGGTGAGGGGGGACCAAATAATCTCACCAAAGAGAACTTGACTTGAGGAGCTTACTAGATTACCGATAATTGCTACGATTAACTATTTTGTGTGTTAATGGAGTACAATAATAAATGCATGTGTGTGTGAGGATACGAACATTAGAGATGGGAAATCCGACCAAGTTTCCCCAAATAACATCTTTTGGTTTGTGGGCATAGCGTTGAAAATCGGCTGCATTGGAAGCAAATGTTGCACAATTAGCAGCACCAAGAAGTACAAATCGTACGAGAAGCCATGTTCGTTTGGTGCCCTTGACTGTACCTGGTTGACGAGCAACTGGTCCAATGCCACCAGCCATAGTCAAAGTCCAGGCACACATAGCGATGGCGGAAATGATAAAGACGATAAGTTTGGCGTATACAAGACCTTTCATCTGTTCTTGCGTTAGTCTTGAATGTCAAGAAACAGCTGTATGAAACCAACCTTTGGGACAGGGATAATGAGAAAACAACAAGTTAGAATCCAAAAGATTCCAAGTCCAAGCATACCACCAGAATCGAGAGCGGAACCTTCACCCATAACATTCTTGAAATCGGCAACATGTGGACTGAGTGTATGAAGCATGACATAAATACATTCACCTCCTTGGACTGCATTGACACCATTCCAAACAATAGCCATCACAGCACGATTGAATGTAGGCCACCATGCTCCGAAGACACCAAACGCAGCTCTGTTGAGTATAGGATAGCCACTATATATGTAGTTAGCATTGTCAGCAGGTAAACTGCGACAGGATCTTGTTATGTTCTAGAAGCGACTGAGATAATTGAATACATTCATCCGAAGTGAGAAGAAGGAAGTGGGGTATGTTCGAGTAAGAGTGAAATGATTGAAAGGACTCATTTCATGTATAAGAAATCCAAGTAAAAACACCAAAAACTCACATGTGATATACAGCCCCCGATCTACCATTGAACACAATCACAATAGCAATCAAACATTGACCACCAAAAGCACACAGAACCGATTCCCACATACTCAAGCCCAAAGCCTGCGCACTCGATGCCGCATACCATGTTGAAACCGTGGAAGCTATTCAATTCAATCAGTATCATCAAATATATATATATACACAAGATAAATTATCGCCAACATACTTGCAGAGAACCAAAATGTAAGATAAGTCCAAACATTCCAAGTGCGATCCGCCAATTTCAAAGGTCTGATATCGTCATTATCTAACCAATTATCCTTCCCATGAACATTCGCTGTGCCTTTTGCTTCAAAATGTGGATTTCGTAGTTTTTGGCGTAGGACACCAAATAGACCAGAAATCATTATAATAAATGTTTCCGCAATGAATGCGATTAATTGAAACAAGAGTGGTGCTGATGATAATGATGTTGAGTTTGGTGGATAAGAGGGGAGAGGAAAAGCAGAGAGTGCCAAGTAGTGGGTGGTGAGGGGGGAAAAGTTGGCATATCATCTGCTAGACTAGACCGTAGGTGATTTATAGATTCCTATAATAAATCAACACAACCAAACCTCCCCCCGTCTCAAAAAGATATAAATATGCACTGTAACATAATAACCATCCTAATCTAGTATTTGACAGGATGAGGCAGGTGCAGTTCCCCGCTATTCAGATTATATGTAACGCCCTTCGAATTCCAATTCTCTACAAGGCCGATATCGATGCATCCAAGATCATCCAAGAACCCAATTAAGAATCCCAGTGCCCATCCCAGTAATTCATATAACACGCTTGTACGTAGTACATACCCAGGGATATTTATTGTCAAACTTGTCATCAGACATTTTGATCTTTAGACTTGTCATCCAGGAATCATATCATGCACGAGAAAACGAGGTTTTTGACATTTTGGTGAGAGGTGAGATCTTATGAATGTGAGATGCCGTGGGAAATTTAAATGAGGGAAGATGTTGATGTTGTGATACAAACGGATAGATACAGATGTTGAAACGTTCATGTTCATGTTGTGTGAGTGAGTCGAGTGAGTAGTCGAGTGAGTTGAGTAGTACCTACACGTGATTGATTATATTGTGTCTCTTTTGATCGGTGCAGGGATTGATTATGAGTGAAGGCTGTGCGTCGACATTAATTAGAGTGGAGTGGATAGAGTGGAGTGGAGTGCTGATAGGAGAGGGGTGGAGCGACAAGAGGAGAGGGATAATCGGATAAGAGTATATTTTGTCCTTTCTTATCAATACCCCAGATATCACTGGATAAGTAATCAAAATATACATACAGAAAGTGAATACTAGAATTTCTTTTATTCATATAAAATTTCTATTGGATACACATCAAAACACATATTCACCACCCTCAATTGACTCCCTCTATCGGAACCCACCGATTCACTTCTCGCATATGACCGTTGGCGGGGTATAGTTAGATCAGCCACCATTTATTATTAGTTACGGCCACATCTCGTTCAACCACCCCCAAGCTTCATTCACTTAAATCTCCAATTCTCAATCCCCAACTCCAACTCCAACTCCAAACCCGAGTACCAAACATTTACCATCCGCCCTTATCCTTCCCCTCATCTTCCCCTCACCAACCTCACCTACCTCACCTCACCATGTCTCCTCCCCCTCCCATCCCAACCCCCACACCCACAACCAGCAAACTCGAGCTCCGCACCGCCTACGGTCCCGTCTACCGCGACGTACTCAACACGCCCCCACGCCCCTGCACCGATACCGAAATACCCATCATCGACCTCTCACTCATAGGATCACCTAATTTAACCGATCGACAAGCGTTGGCAGCAGAAGTACGCGCTGCGGCTGTGGGAACTGGATTTTTCTATGTCAAGAATCATGGGATTGAGGAGGGGGTTATTGCAAAGGCGCGGGAGCAGGCTTTGAGGTGAGTTTTATTTTTATTGGAGGGAGGTGAGGGGAGTGGAGGAGAGGATGAGGGAGGGAGAAGGGCAGAGAAAAAGTGGATGGATGGATGGATGGATGGATGGATGGATGATTGGATGCTAATGTAGTATTTATGGAGGATAGTTTCTTCAGACAGCCATATGAAGAAAAAGCCAAGATTGATAAGAGTAATTCTCGCTATTTCAACGGATACATGGGCTTAAAAAGTTCCAACATAAGTCCCGGAGAAAGTGTCGATGTCAAAGAATCTGTTCGTCTCTCCCCGAAACGAAATCCTCAATACTCCCCGTTCCTAAGTTCTAACATCCCACCCAGATCGCCTGGCGCTACTCACCCGAACACGACTCTGACCACCCCCAATCCCTCTCCTCCATCCCCTCAGAAGTAAAACCCTTTATCCGGGGCGAATCCTTCGTATGGGAAGGAACATCTCACCTCCCCAATTTCCAAACCGATACCCTCGCCTACTGGAAATCATGTCTAACCCTCGCTCGCAAACTCGTGCGCGTCTTCGCTCTCAGTCTTTCGCTCCCCGAAGACTATTTCGACAGTCGCGTGACGTACCCTGGTGCCGACGGCCTCTACAATTACTACCCACCCAGTACTGCGGAGGAGAAATCCAATAATAGTGTTGGGTTAGGCAGTCATACCGATTTACAACTATTTACCCTGTTGTGGCAGGATATGATAGGGGGGTTACAAGTCTTAAATAAGGAGGGTCAGTGGATTATGGCGGTACCCGTGGAAGGGACAATTGTGGTTAATATTGGGGATTTTATGATGAGGCTTTGTAATGATATGTATAAGAGCACGGTACATCGAGTGTATAATCGAGCGACGGTGGAGAGGATATCCATGCCGTTTTTCTTTGGTAAATTCTTATCCAGATTTTTCAATATTGAAACGCTAATGCAAAACTAGGACTCAATCTTAACTGTGTAGAGGGTGTAATACCTACATGCACCGATGCAAATAATCCACCAAAATACGAGCCAATATCCTGTGGCGATTGTAAGTATCCAACCTTGTACAATCCAACCATCCTCAAAACCTCCAAATCCCCCAACTAACTCACGAATGAATCTAGGGTGCCAACTCCGATTTAAACTAGAAAACGACGAGTATAAAAAGAAGAATGCACAGACACAGGGACAGACACAGGCACAAGCACCTAGTGCTGTAATAATCAAGGCTTGAATTTGCATATCTAATCATTTCAGTACTTTTGGCACATTGGGTAGTGCTAAAACTACATATTTCGTGGTGTGGTTTTACAGATCTTAGATTTGGTAGATTTGGTAGATTATGGATTGAAAAGGGGTTTGGATGTGGGTATACCTAGTAGGTATATCGTATGGAAACATACTCGAGTATACTCGGGTATACCATACGCATTGACTTCTTGAGAGTAGCGAGATATTTAGTAAAGGGGGGTTGGATATATGAAATGGAATGGAATGACGATTTATAATATGTTATACGAGTATATTATATCTCGTATCATGATATATGTCACGTCCTGTGGACAGTGGAGTATATTATAGAGAAACCCACGAGTAGAGTATCCTTAGTTTGTAAATAGCAATTCAATTCTCTCATCGACAACATGATGATTCTTGCATACCTAGCCATTCTAGGAAGAAGTATGCGCCATCATCAAAGGAACTCGATACCAGCCTGGATCTTCCTTGCGCTTGCATTCCTGTATTCCTGCGCTTTGTGATTGCCAATACGAGTACGGTATGCATGCATGCTGTACTCAAATTTCATTTCCACATAACACAGTACTTTCCCATCCTCACTCACCCTTCTACCTTTTTTTAAATCTCCTTTATGAATTCCCATCCCTACTTATTCACTCCCCCTCACAAAACCCCCACAATCAAATCCAACAAATCAAAATATCCCTCTCTCTCTCTCACCTTCACCCTCTCTCTTTCCCCCTCCCCATACCCATCCCCAACCGCACCCCCCTCCCCCCTTCCCCCCACCTTCTCCATCTCCAACCCCAACCCCACCAACACAGTCCTCCTCTCATCCGCATTCCCCCCCAAAATCATCGACCCAATCTGACTCGCATACAAATGACCTATTCTCTCTCTTGCTTCACCCCCTGCACCCAGTAACGTGCGCGGCGTTAGATGTTCGAGGGGTAATATCATATTTGAAGATTCATTCGAGGATGAAGGAAGAGGTATCGAATTATCGTAGCTGGTGGGCGAGGCGCTGGTTAGGGGGGTTTGTATCTATGGATGGGTGTGAGGTGTTAGTGAGCGCAGAGGGGCAGCCAAACACAGAATACCCAAGAGAGTGCAGTCAAAAAAAAAAAAAACAAACCCATTGACCCAGCCGACCCCCCTGACTAACAATAACCACAATTTTATCCGCAAAATACATGCACGAAACATGTGTATCTACGCCATTAATAATACCAGACGCAGCTTTTGAGCGCGCGGGAAAGGGTTGGGTGGAGAATTCTGAGGGGAGACGGAGATTTGGAGGGGGAGGAGTTGCTGTTGTTGTTGTTGTCATTGTGAAGAAAGTGTTGGTTGATTTGGTCGTGTTTATGAAGAGGGTGTTGGAGTTTGAGTTAAGAATCATTATCAGCCTTGCAGGAGCTTTGACTGATCCTGGTGTCCGAGCTTCAGCCTTACGGGGGAAACTCACCGGGAGCTCACTGGGACGAATTGCCGGTATCCTACCGGTATTCGATTTGGTTGCCCTCGCCCTCACAGTAGACCAATACGAGTGGATGAAGTAATTAATGATTGTCATAAAGCTATTCATTATTTATTATTTCTACTTCCTGATACTATCATCATCATTTATTAAACCATTGCAACAGCTCGGAATAAAAATGTCTCTTCATCCCATCAATTGCAACCTATGAAGCCAACATATACGATATATGTGCAAACGTGATATGTTCCCTATCATACTACAGAGACTCAGCTGTTTGAACATCCTGCAAAATATTAACCTCGCAAGTTATTAGAACAGAAGTCTCTTTTCCCCATATCTCCATCGTAATCGTACATAACAGACATAACGTTCCAGCGCCCACAGCTCTGCGAACCCAAAATCAGTGAGCCCTTTTACCAGCCACCATATATACTCGTGCCAGTGTTATTCCATCCACTGCTGCCAGGATTGTTATCAAGCCCAGTACTAACCGATTTGTTAGCTTTACCGCCCTTCCCACCCTTAATTGCATTACTAGCTTTACGACTTCTGCTAGTATATCCACCATTATCACCATTTTCGCTAGGTTCAGGTGAGGCCCAACTTCCAGCCAACGAAAGAGCAGTAGGAGTTCTTGTATGGCGGACTTTGTGACCACCGTTATAACTACCAATGTTGACAAAGCTTGCATATCCACCCTGATTGGTGTCGTTCCAGTTTTTCAAAATCTCACTGCCCGTAGGTGTGTGATCATGGAACTGGGGGTTGCCTTCGTTCCAATCATCATCTGTGTCTCCTCCCTTGCCGGAATTGTGTCCATCACCGCCCAATTGACTTCCTCGGTTATTGGAATTTCCTTTTCGGTTACCATTGTTCTGGTTATTCTTCTTATCGTTCCATCCCTTACCCTTGGTGCTTTGCGCTACATTATATCCTGTATTGGCTGGTGCACCCCACTCATTACCATTGTCTTGCTGGTTGTCTTGGTCATCTTCCTGGTCGTTGTTGTTGTAGGCAGTCCGTTCTGGATTATCGTGGCTCTTAGGTTTTTGGTTGTTTGACTTGTTATTCTGTGGCTTCTTTGAGTTGTTATTCGACTTGTGGTTTTGATTTCCCGAACCTACTCGAGAGCCCGAATTGGCATTGTTGTTTTGATTTCCAGAACCTACTTGAAAACCCGATTTCCCATTATTTTGTTGATTCCCAGAGCCTCCCCATCCTCCCGAATTGCTATTATCTTGTTGCTCATTGGACTTACTCCAGTTCCCCGAGTTGGTATTGTCTTGTTGCTCATTCGAATCTCCCCAGCCCCCTGAGGTAGTATTATTTTGGTTGCCTGAATCTCCTCCCCATCCACCGGAGTTGTCATTATTGGATTGGTCATTGGTGTCTTCCTGATCATTGTTGTCGTTGTTGTCCCAGCCTGAGGGTTGGTTGTTTGCATCATCATTGGCGTTCTGGGTAGCTCCTCCCCAGCCAGAGTTCTGATTGTTGGAGTTATCATTCGAGTCCTGATTGTTATCATTGCCCCAGCTCGAATCTTGGTTGTTCAAGTTATCATTCGATTCCTGATTGTTATCGTTACCCCAGCCGGAGTTCTGGTTGTTGGAATCATCATTCGAGCCCCCATTGTTATTGTTTCCCCAAGAGTCATTGTTCGGCGTGGCGTCTGCATTCTGCTTTTGGGCATCATTTTCCCCACCCGAATTTCCATTTGTATTATTGTTGGCACCGCAGTCATTCGATTTACCAGATTGATTCTTATTATTTGCACCCCATGCACCGGAATTGTTGGTAGACTGGTTATTCTGGTTTGCCTGACCATTTCCACCCTTTTTATTGTTCTTCTGGTTGTTGATGGTCTGCGTTTTGTTACTGCCTCCAGACGCAGCTCGTTCATTATTGTTTTGATCATTATTACTCCAACCACCTGAGTTTTGGTTATTGTTCGATTGGTCATTGTTATTCCAGCCTGAGCCAGCATTATCATTGCTCCCGCCCACACCGGAGTCTTCTTGGTTGTTTGTATTATCGACCCAGCTACCTGGCATATCGGTATTTTGCTGATAATTGTTATTATTGTTGTTACTGCCTTGCTGCTGGTGCTGATTGTTGGAAGAATTCCGGTTGAAATTGTTACTGGAGAAGTTGCGCTGACCATTCTGATTGGGAGTGCGTCGGACAGTGTTATTCGAAAAATTGCGGGGTAAGGTTTGTTGAGCGTGCTGTTGATCATAAGATACAGGTCCAGGCGAATTATGCATTGGAGGTGAGCCACCAAAGTGTGCTGAGTTTGGAGCAAAGGTGCCAATTGGCACTTGAGCTGGCGGAAGTAGGGTTGCGAAAGGATTGCCATAAACCCGGCCATGGTAAACACGAAGGACACCACTTTTCATATCCAAGAATGCGTTTGGGCGAGGATCAGAAGGATTTTCGATCACATCCTCGCGCAATATAACTTCAGCTCTCATCTCTTGAAGAATTCGTGTCTCCATTGTTTGACCGAGGTAGCCCGATGGATTTCGATTTTGTTGATTAATCCGGTTCTCAAATCGATCTGACTCGTCTGAACTATCTTGGTCGTATTGGCGATTGTTGTTTCTGGGTTGTTGATAATTGCCACCTTGCCTTGCATTTGTATCCCGTTGGTTTGTGTTTCCTTGGAGATTCTGGTTCTGCTTGATTTTTTGGTTTCGTGGTTGCGGATTTCTATTGTTGTTCGGTTGTTGTTTTTTGATAGGTTCAATTTCCACTTCAACTTCAGTCTCATCATCGGAGTCGCTTGAATTTTCCGCGCTGCTTTTATCTTTATTTTTCTCCCAAGCTCTGCATTGTGGGCATTCGCATGGTCGAGGCTCCGGTGGGTTCTTAGAAGTGTTCTTCTTCAATGCCGACTTAAGTTTTGGGGGTGGTTCTTGAAATTTGACTTTCTTATCAACTTCTTTCGTTGACTGGGATTTCTTGGCTTCTGGTTCCTTTACTTTTGGCTTCTTAGCTTCCTGAGTTGTTGGTTTCGTGGGGGGCGGTTTTGGGGGAGATGGGTCTGGGGTTTTTGGTTTTGGGAGAGGGTCTTCCTCGGAAGACGCTGCGGAAGTGTTGTCGTAGTCAGAAATTTCCACCTCGATTGCAACACGACGACGTATAAGTGGCTGGCTCGCTGTAACAATAGTGGGTTTAGCCATGGCGATAGCTCTATATGCAGATTTGGTTGGGGCAGGGCCAGCAATCCATTCTATCACACTTGCTGGGCGCTGAGGCATTTTGGAGATCCTCTCCAATACACAGATCGAGCCTCCGATGCCTGACTCTTTATCTGACACTCATCGGAAACCCAGGTCAAATGCTTGTGTGTGCCAGGGTAATCACTTGAGAAATAAGGACATCAAATGATTCAACTCTGTCTTACTTCAATCTTGGAAATAAAGAGAAAATCTAAGCATTTCCAAGGCGAAGGGCCTTACTCTTGGTATGCCAGTATGCGATTTTGATTACCAATGATGTAGAGTCCTAGGTGGATTGAAAAGAAGGGCTGCAGAATTGAGTATCGAACTAAAAATAGGAAGGAAGAGAGGATCATTCCACAGAGAAGGAGATGCGTTACTGGACTCTGGCGCCGACAAGCCTTCGCTGGGGAAATCAAAAATCTGACACGAAGAGCTGGGTAGCACCGCAGGAGTGAGGTGTGCAAGGTATCAAATTGAAGTTACTTTGAAAGGCACAGACTTTTCGATGAAGGAGTTCAGTGATTTTGTAGGATGAAGTTTGAAGGTAAATTCTTTTCGGTCGCGTTGATGACACTGGGTTGTAAAAATAGGTACCATAAGGTGTGTAAGACGAAACATAAAGATAGTAATAGAGAAATTTGAAGAGGATTTAGATTTAGACGTTGGATCGAAGGAAGAACAGTTCTTCCCTTATGATATTTGAGAGTAAAGGAGTTGAATTCCATGGGTGGTTGATCAAGATAACTTTGTCTCTTCCGGGTTGGGTTCCTTAGCGTGCCTTCCTCTTTGAGCTTCTAGTAACCCCCTCAGAATTTCAATCCCCCCGCGAGCGTACTAGATATTTTACAGACCAGACCAAAACAAACAATCATTTCGGACAATCCACGTTCTCAAATTTATTTGATATATGAGTTCCTTTAACTGACTTTCGAATACAGGAACAGATACAAGAATTTGGGGTAAAGGCTGAATATGGTAAAAGATTCATATCATCCTCTTGTATTTGAGGTTGGCCGTGAATATAGAGTACATCTATAACTCAACTTGCAACTTATGAGAGCTTACAACCAATGAATTCGTCCATATTACTTTGATATTCGCTACCCCTTTCTGATATCCAAATGAAGCTACTCTAGCGCTTAGCCAAAAAATATCATCTATTAATGGAAAAAGATGGATTTGTATTATGGTGAATTGACATCAGGCATTTGAATGTGACTTGAGAGGTGGTAACAATTTGCCCTTCCATACGTCACTGCACTTTGTGGAGGAACAGAATCGTTGGTCGAGCAAAAAGACGTCCCCTACCTCCACGCCGCATCTTGTGAGTTGTCATGAGAAAGTATAAAACCTTGTCTACTTTCCTCGGACTCCTAGAATGGTGTTGTGAGGGCTTTCCAGTACTAGATGCGAGAAACCATGTTCTGCAGTGCCAATACACTAAGTCCGATAGGCTTGTCTCCAAGTCTTTCCTTAGGAGGGGTCCTCCGTGATTCGGTCCATTGTTGAAGCTATATCCGCGGAACTTTTCACTCGGGATCCTCACAATTTGGCTTTGGCTTGTAGTTCTCCTCTCTTCCACTCTTTATTGATCGCAAGGTTTCTCCAATAGTTCCATATACCCGCAAGTCCAGCTAATGGTGGACACAATAGCAACAACCAAGCCCACCATCTAGGACTTTTGCTTCGTATAGTTCCCATGACCTTTTGAAGCTCCAACTTCAGTTCATCCTTTCCTTCATCATTCCAAACCACCAGTCCACGCCCCTCCCCCCTGGCTTGGCATCTCTTTGCTTTTTCTCTCACGTCCCCTTGGCTCTTTACCCTGTTCTCGGCATCTTCCTCCGTCAGGTGTGGATCTCTGTCTCTTAATCTCTGCATTTGTATCTTCGGATCCCTTACCGCCACCACAAGGACTGTGCCACAGATGACATCGATTCCACTCTCAAATAATAATGGCACATCAAGAACTACAGCCCGGCAGCCCCTCAGATAGCATCCAAGCAATTGTTTATACATCTCTCTCCTGACTGCCGGATGCACAATCCCATTCAACACCCCCCTATCTCTTTTCCTCTCCTGGCTATCCCCGAAAACTCTGCGACCTAGTGCTGGTCGATTCAATGGCGCACCTTTTGTATTATCATGGTCAGGATAGAGAGGAAGGAGGAGATCGGGGGTGGTTGATGAGAAATGTGCGACAATCTTTTCGTAACCTGGCGTCCCGGGCTCTACCACTTTACGCGCAAGTAAGTCGGCATCAATGACGGGAAGAGAATAAGGAGGTTGGGAAAGTATCGATGAAACCGTAGACTTTCCGGTTGCGATAGAACCAGTGAGGCCAATTAGTAGCATTTTATTGATTATGTTTGTTGATTTTGTTCGTTTGTATGGCTGAGGAAGAGGAAGGAAGGAAGTGAGGTTGAGTTACTAATTGCCGAGGCCTAAGTTGAGCTCAGACCACCTCACACCGCAAACACGACATCCATCAACTTCATACTCAGTAAGATCTTACAATCCACCATAACATACACACCGCTTCTACATCCATTACTTCGATATTCTAGAGAACAGGCAATGAATACTCACTCGGTCTCAAACGACATGGACCTCTGGCCAAGAACTTTGCAGCTGAAAGCAAAGGCACTTCTAAATGAACTGATATGACAACGAAATTCCCTTGACCTAGTGACCGCTTTTCACTTTCACACTTTTCTGGGCTTATATGTTAACTACCTTGTTTCATTTGAATGGTTCTGGCTGCTTGAGCAATCCCTCGCACCCAAAGAATGATCGATCAGACTTCAGATTCATATAAGCATAAAATCCCCGACATACAGGAGATCAAGAACCAAGCAAGCGTTGGTCTTCTTAGGAGTCTGAAATGAACAAAGTCGGAAGTCGTTCTCGACCACGTGTCTCCTCGCACATCGGTGATAATGGCAATCAACAAATTGAACAACAATTTTGTTACGGGACGTCGGAAGAAATTGCAATTCATGACCCCCTTTGTGGCGGATTTCCAGGTCAAATCTCAATCAATTGATGCTGGTTGATTCCGAAAGCATAGTGAATACCGGTGTAAGTCTACACCGACCGAGTAAAATCCAGGTCCTGTATTCCTCAGGGTCAAAGTTATCCAGATGGTGAAGATGTGACACCAATACATTCGCGAAAGTATAAGACTTTTATCATGAACGGTTGGACATTTCAATACGTTCAGATATTCAACTTTTAGCCAATAAACTATGGCCTCCATACTTTGTTCTCCTTTTTCAAAAATTGTATCCCAATATGTACAGTTAGAGCATCAAAAATAACGTTCTCCTGCAATCATCTCATTTCTTGTGCCATTGTCTGAGAGACCAGGCATTACTTCTTTTTCCAGGTAGGTAGGCCAAAAAGCACAGTATGGCGCTGCAATGGGGATTGTTGAGATCAAAGATTATCCCGTGGGTGTTTCAAAGATATCCCAAATAAGCGTGGACGGCCTTACTGAATCACCAGGGTAGACTTTAGACTTTGCAAGATTGAGGTGTTATACGAAGTCTAGTCTAAAGCAAAATTCCGATAATTAAAGAACAATGAAGAACCGGTAGCTGATTTTGTGTGACCTTGTTCCACTATGGAAGCAGCTCTTAGATTCATCTTAGTAAGCATGAGCATGCAATATCCCTCATCTCTAGAGATATCTGATTTTACCCCCAAATTTTCTTCAGATGAGAAATTGCTCTGCACTTTAGTCCTGAACTCGAAAACTATCTCAAACAAGACACTGCCTTATCGGGTCCTTTCTCGGCTGTAGACCTGTGTATTAATCAAGCAAAAAATATAGACTATCTTAAATCTGCACATCGAGACAGTAATCACTCACCGCGCAATTTCACATCGAAATCTTTACCCAAGTGATCGCTTAATGATTAAGTGGAGGATTACTGAAGAAGAACTATGCAACAATTGCCCAGACAAACCTCACAATGGTTGATAACTCACTTCATACTTTTGTACTCGTATAGTCGCTTTTCATCCGTCATCGGCATAAGTTTTTGTGTCTCTGGGAACATGAAACAGATGTAGCTTAAATCAATTTGATTGGGATAAAGATTCTGACCTTGAGCCAGCGTAATCATTCTCTCATAGAATTTATCGCAGATAACGAGTGGCCTTATGCGGTTGCCATGATTATATATTTTGCAGAGACCTGGGTAATATGGCAAGCTAAGTATATTCACCGGGACACGTTCTTCGAGTGTCTATTGATACAAAAATTCAAGTTCTTTTGATAAATTGTGTAGGAATACATATATGGGATGTGTATGGATGTGCCAGTCGAACGTGACATGGTTATTGGACTCAGCTGGGTATTTCTTACACCAATTTTATTCTTGTTTGTTTATTATTGGACATCTATTTCTAGTACATATACGTCATTAATGTTGTTTATAATGCAATACTTGCCATGGGAGGAATTTATGCTCTACCGGGCACTAGGTATAGACGCGGAATGAGAAAATATTGAATGGAGCTGAAGGGTTCGCAATTGGGCAGTGAAATAGGGTTTTAAGATTAAAGAGGTATGCCAGATATAGGCGAGGGGAGGATGGAGAATTTGAATATAATCCGATTGGACGGGGTACTGGGAGAGCAGAAGAGGACTCAGATTAGTGAAGGGGAAGTCATGGGACTTGAGGCATGGTCAGAACGATGAATGTAAGTGTGAGGAGGTATGATAATGATGGGGATTAGGATGGATAAAGTAAGGTTTGTGATTCGTGGTATAATATTAAGACGAATATGGAGAGGTTGTACGAGAAGGATTGAAATGGGATTGCGGTGCAGGAAAATGTATGGTTGCTTTATGGTATAGCGGTCTTTTATTTGGTTTGGTGAGTTTATGAAATGGAGGGCTGGATTCTTGGAATTCATATATGCATGATACATAGAAATTTGTATTCGATGGTGAGTGTACATCTTGCCGGTAACATCAAATGTATTAAGGTATTCGAGTACAGTGTAGTTCATACAGAGCTAGCTAACACCTCAACATATGGTTTAAATGGTTAAAACGTGTTACGAATATCATCCAACTAGTGTGGACTGATAATGGCGAATCTCTTGAGTTTGCATCGGGGTGTCCATTCAGTGAGAAAATTGGATAATGTGGACGCATCAAAGGGACAGGGTGAAGTTGGATTCAAAGCTACTGATGCAGGGGAAGAGAAAGCTCCACAGATTTGACGATGATCTACTGCGATTATGAAAATACATCAAACTCATTGGCTTCCATACTTCCACATCCCGTGATCGCCGTTACATGTCAATTCAACTATATAGAGTGTATGACGCATGCAAACAGTGAACTATACCATTTACGACACACAAATTGCCGACTTCGTTCAAGTTGAAGAGCTCTGATTGGGTGGATCGAAGCTAGCTACTTGGATTAGGTATAATGGGAAAACGTTGAACTCCGCTAATCGAGACTAACCCCTTAGTGCCGACTAGTTATAGTTCTAGTTGAAAAGGAAAATGTTTTATCTCACGCACAACTTCTTTTTATAGATATTCTGCTCACTCATTTTACCATATAATCATATCCAACACAATCACACAAACAAAATCACAAACACAATCACAATCGCAAAACGAGATTAAAAAGGTATTTCAACCTAGAGCCTCACACCCAGCTGAAGCAAAAATCAAAAGCTTACCAGCCAGAAATTAAACCAACCAGCATCATAAACCATGTCTCTCTCACGCCTTTTCAACAACTACCACCTCCGCGTTTCCTCCAACCAAGCACGCACCATCCGTCTCTTCTCTGCGCATCCCGCACCAATGAAGATCAATTTCATACTAGCCATGCAAATAACTGGAGGATACAAGGAGAGAAAGAAGCAGGATCTCTTGACAGAGATGCGAGAAATGCGATTGGGATCCTCGGTCCCGATGAGCGAGCGAGCGGAGTTGGAGATGCACATCGCGAAGATGGGGATGAGTATCGAGGAGAAGGAGAAAATGCACATGGGATTTGTGGAGGAGATGGAGAGGGAAAGAATGAGATTGATGAGGTTGGAGGCGGAGAATTGTTTGCCGTTTGTTTTTATGAATCAGGGGATTTCTACTGGTCGTTAGGTCGTTAGGATTGGGTTGGGACTTGGAGGGAGATATGATGAGGGACTCGGATTTGATTTGTTTGTTGGATTTGGGGTAGGATGGTTTTGGAGTTTTGCGGGATGGGATGGGATGGGATGGATTGGAATTTGATTGGATACGGAGTACGTACGTCACGGTACTTGGAAAGTCACAATTCTATAACCTCATAGTTTCCTAGAAAGTTATGATCAGCATGTGAATATTGAAGAATACAACTATAATGTTGTACCTGATTGACCTCAATATTCATCGGTACCAAATTCTCTTTACAATGATAACACTCATAAAAATATAATCATCTCATAATATTAAGAGTCTCGACACAAAAGTCTAGATCTTCAAAGACTCTTTAATTACAGGGTTGCATCATACATGTGACAGGTACCGATATCTGGTATTAGCCCTATCGAAACAGGTAATTCAAGCTTTCTGACAGATTACCATGCTGACTGATTGATGAAGGGGGAAGATCGGCAAATACTACATTACTATTGATGACTTGGAAACAAATTTTTGCACAAACAATATTCATATGACGACGCAGTAGTTCATTCTTATATATAGATATGGACTTCGCACTGATTTGATCTGATATGGGTGTATCCATTGTGGATGGATGAGAGAAACCTTACCCTCAGCTGCCGTGACAAATCACAAATCTACAGAAGAGTTCACCAGGAACCATGATTATGATGGCGACGAAGCTAGCCGTAGTTATACATATAAGTCAAGAAAGGGAGGGGTCCTTAGTACTCACTTGTTTACAAAAATAAATTGATCAAGTGAGAAAAATGTTCATCTAGACTCAAAGACCGCTCCTAAGCTCGAGTCCTGGCCAACTTTGAAGCATTCTTATGATATAAAAACACAGCTAGTGAAGATAATCAAGATATACTTATTTTCTCAGGATCAGGCCTGTAACAAGAAACTCGAGACTTGCAACAAAAGTGTTTGAGAGGTTTTGATTGGAAAGTTTTGGGGGACTATTCGGACTAACTAGTCAATAGTCTCCAAAATACCTTGATAACATCACGAACTAACCAAGTCTTCAATGCCGGCGTAAACCCAAAACCTTTTTATGATACAAAAACACAGCTAATGAACTTTTAATCAAGAGACAATAATTATTTTGTCAGGATAAGGCCTGTAATTAAATACCAGAGATATGCAACAAAACTAGTTGAAAGCATATGATTGGAATGTTGTAAAAGACCACTTGTGTTTGAACTGCTAATAAATAGCTTCAAAATACTTATCTAGTATCCGGGTAGTGCTATGAAATATAGCCACAATAGGTAAGGTTTACTACTACCTAGTGGATGACTTACCGTACCAGAAGGTATATGACATAACGCGTGTGTGAAATTTGGGGAGGACTTTTGGTAAAGTGAGAGGTTGTGGAGATCCGTAGACAAGTAGAAGGTACAGGAACTGCCATCCGAAGTATAGATCACTTGAAACTTGCTCCCAAATGCACTTCTAGGGCTATGTAGACTCGAAACACAAAATCGATTTGATAAGTATGTAAGTAGAAATTGCGATCGACAGCAGGATGAATAAAAACTCCCCAAGAACCCCTTGTCATCTACCACATCTTTTGATGTCCGATGTATTAATATCACTTCTACCCTTTATACCCACTCACCTACTCCATTCATCTATTTCTTCCCCTGCCAGTTATAAACCAGCCTAATCTTCAATACCTCATCCCCCTTCCTAACCACTACTCTCCTCGTATAATATCTCTTCCCATCACTAATCGCAAATCCCCAAACCTGATCCGCCGTCCATCCCCTCTCCTCATTAACACTATAAGTCTGAACATGTCTCTCCCCACCCGGTCCACTATTTTCCTCCTCCCCTTCTAACCATTCCTCCTTCAAAAATATATCATCATCCACTTCTGCAACCTGCTCTATCGTACAAAATCGCGCTTTCCCGATAAGGTTTCCGAATAGATGATCTTCGTGCGCCCGGGGTTGCCAATCAAGTTGCCGCAATTCAGTGGTGCCTTTGATGCCGCCCGTGGCAGTTTGATCGATGTCGATGTGTGGGATGTGGTTTTCGTCTAGGTATTGTTTGACATGTAGTGTTACGGTTGCGAGAGAGATGGCTTTGCGTGTCCACCAGCCTACGCCTTGAAGGGCGAGGACGGGATCGGGATCATCGGAAAGAGTCTTGTTCTGGGGAAAAGGGAAGATATTAGTGAATAGAACATAACCATCAAGACATGCAGTATTGGATTCCGAGTGAGGTGATATGTTGATGGGATTATTGGCAGAGGCAGAGATAAAAAGGTGAGAGAGTAGCATATATCTTACCAGAACCCAATCTCCAGTCAATTCCTTTAACGAAACTTCGGGTCCAGCGGCCATTGTGTGATAAGGTCTATCTATCACCGTCTATGTCGCAAGTTTGTTGTTACTTGATGTCAAGGTTGATTGTAGGAGCTTTAGGTATCATGCGGGCGGGGTAGCTGTGTTTATTGATATTTTGAAGATGTCACGAATCGAGTTTGACGATAGGCAGGTTAGACAACAACGAAAGAAAGTGTAAGTAGGAGAAGATTGATGGAAAGAACAACTAAGAAGAAAAGCTCAATACTTATATCTAAAACTATTCAATGACACCATAACTTGTACCTGCAGAAAGTACAGAAAGTAAGATCTTACATGCCACAAAATGTCAATATCACAAGCACCAGAACCAAGATTTCGACATTTCTTATATCATCACCTCGGTGTACTTGCTGACATGACTTGTGTGGAGAAATCGGCTCACATGTGTTCTCGGCACCGATTGACCCCTTCGCGTGAACCATGCGAATGTTACCCTTGATGGAGCTTGATGGGAAGGGTTTGCGGTCTGATACGGGAAGAGGGCCCCGTTGATCCCGTTGATACAGCATTGATGGTGGAGTAACACTTGCTCCGAAATAGGAACTGTCATGTCGAACAATAGTATAGATTGAAAGCTTCAAGAGCTTGCATGGCATTCTGTTGTCATTCTCGACATGCATGTCATGTTATAGATGAGATGATGTGATTAATGAGCTTCAGGAAAACATATAAACAATACCCAGCATTGAAAAGGTGGTGGGTTAGAATTGGTGGTAGATTTATCAAGATATGGCTTATGTTTAGCTGATATTCAACCAATCAAAATTAGTTTAATCAGCAAAGCTGGGGTTTGTGGATTTTCCGTGCTCCGATATCGATTCCAACAAATAATTTCTTGTTCATACTCGAAGTTGCGGTGTTGGAAATTTAGAAGAGAGTCATTTGCTTCCCATTCTTTACTCATCTTTGTTTTGAAGAGAAACGCAGGGGATTTCTCAAACCTGTTCTTTAATCTTGAAGCTTTTGAGCATCGACAAAGACAAACGTTGAAGTAATTAACTTTACTTACAACATCCCTCAATATGCTCTCACAATTGAGAACGAGGGCAAATGCCTCTCTTCTTACCTCAAGAAGAGCTTCACAATATGTGTAAGTATCTGCAAAGTATTTGAATTTTCAATTAACTAATCATCAATCTAGACGCTCTTTATCTTCATCATCATCTTTCCGCGCATCCTCCAATGACTCAGAACCAAAACTCAATAGAGTCTCATCTGTTATCACACAACCAAAATCGCAAGGTGCTTCGCAGGCAATGTTATATGCCACTGGAATGACCGAAGAAAGATTGAATAAAGCACAAGTTGGTATTTCCTCAGTATGGTGGTCAGGGAACCCTTGTAACATGCACTTGTTGGAACTCAACCACAAAGTAAAGGAAGGAGTAGAGAGAGCTGGTTTGGTAGGATACCAATTCAACACAATTGGAGTTTCGGATGGTATTTCCATGGGTACAAAAGGCATGAGATATAGTCTTCAATCAAGAGATTTGATTGCGGATAGTATTGAAACTGTGATGGGTGGCCAATGGTATGATGCGAATATCTCGATTCCTGGATGCGACAAGAACATGCCGGGTGTCATGATGGGAATTGGGAGAATCAACAGACCATCTCTTATGGTTTATGGTGGTTCGATCAAACCAGGGTGTGCCGCAACACAAAAGAATGCAGATATCGATATCGTTTCCGCATTCCAAGCCTACGGACAGTTCATTACTGGAGAAATTACAGAAGAACAAAGATTTGATGTTATTCGTCACGCTTGCCCGGGTCAAGGAGCATGTGGTGGGATGTATACTGCAAATACGATGGCATCAGCCATTGAAATCATGGGAATGACTCTTCCAGGATCTTCCACCAACCCCGCAGATTCCAAGGCCAAATTACTTGAATGTTACGCAGCTGGTGGGGCTATCAAAAATCTTTTGAAAGAAGACATCAGGCCTTCAGATATCATGACCAGGAAAGCTTTCGAAAATGCTATGGTTCTTGTAACCATCACAGGTGGATCTACTAACGCTGTTCTTCATCTTATTGCTATGGCAGATGCTGTAGGAATCAAACTCACAATCGATGACTTCCAAGCTGTTTCTGACCGCACACCTTTCCTCGCAAACCTCAAACCATCCGGTAAATACGTCTTTAATGATCTTTATACCATCGGTGGGACCCCATCTCTCATTAAACTTCTCATCAAAGAAGGCGTTGTTGATGGATCTGGAATGACTGTAACTGGCAAAACTCTTGCCGAGAACGTCAAGGATGCTCGTGACTTCCCTTCCGACCAGGAAATTATACGTCCTTTCTCAAACCCAATCAAGGAGACTGGTCACATTCAAATTCTACGTGGTTCCCTTGCACCAGGCGGATCCGTCGGTAAGATTACCGGTAAAGAAGGATTACGATTTGTCGGAAAAGCCAAGGTTTATGATGCTGAAGATGAGTTCATCCAAGCCCTTGAACGTGGCGAAATCAAGAAGGGTGAGAAAACGGTGGTTGTCATTCGTTACGAAGGACCTAAGGGTGGACCGGGTATGCCAGAGATGTTAAAACCATCTTCGGCAATCATGGGTGCAGGTCTTGGACAAGACGTCGCACTTATTACAGATGGACGTTTCAGTGGAGGATCACATGGATTCTTAATTGGACATATTGTACCTGAGGCCCAAGAGGGAGGACCAATTGGATTGGTCAGAGATGGGGATAAGATTATTATTGATGCGGAGACGAGGTTGTTGGATTTGGAGGTCGAGGGTGGTGAGGAGGAATTAGAGAGGAGGAGAAAGGAGTTTGTGGCGCCACCGTTGAAATATACAAAGGGGACGTTAGCGAAATACTCCAGATTAGTGCAGGATGCTAGTCATGGGTGTATTACCGATTGAGGTACCGGTATTGTTGAGACGTGAGAGTGGGGTGATTCTATTTGGGGGGGATGATAACAGTGGATGAAAATAAAAATATATATTTTATGGGAGGTCAGATCGAATCTGGAATGATGGGGAGGGACTGGGGATTCACCATTAGGTGTTTTCCGATCTATGATATAGTTTTTGACGATGATGGAATCAAAAGCAAGCCAGCCTAATTTTCAAACTCAATTATATAAAGGTTAATCAAGTCTCGCAGTCAATGTGACTCACTGTGTAAGATTTTATACATACGTAAAGATATCATAGTAGCAGTTGTTGTAACTGTCAACCTTGACACTTGAGTAGGTATCTTTGCAGTGGCACAGGTGATCTGAGAAAGTAAGGGTTCCTTGGATAGCCATCATGCGCGTGCTGGTTAATCCGAGTTGAGCAGTCACACAAACTACTATAATTCTAGACGGGTATCTTCACAGCCCAGCCATCGACACGAGAGGGGGGTCAAATCAATGTATTGATATACTCGTATTGATGCTTTACAATTGGAATTGCTGTTCCCTCTATTTCTATTCTATTTCTATTTCTATTATAAAATCTTGATGTAAATAAGTGAAGAGTGAGATTGAACCAAGTAAGGTAAGTACTTGAGTAGAGTAGGCCATGAATAGAATACCGGTACTAGAGCAGAGTTTGAGAGAGTAAAGATGATTATGAATCTACTGGCGCAAATAACTCGGTGCTCATGAATGTAAGGCAAGTAATTAGGTGATGTAGGAATGTAGTGACGAGACGAGAAATTTGTATGAACGGTTGAATGGTTGAATGGGCGGATAAGAGAGGAGTGTGAAATAGGATTATAGGGGCTGGATTGTATGGTGTTGAGGATAGCGGGTTTACTATCTCAGAGTCTTCGTGCCTTGATTGTAGATATTGGTGTTGGGCAAATGATGAAGGGTGAAGGGTGAAGGGTGGAAGAGGGGGAGGGGGGGGGAGGGGGGAGCATAGTATTATAAGTCTTGTAGATAGCTAAGTTCTGCATACAGGTATCAGGAATTGCACTCGAACAAGTCTTTGATTCCGAATAATCCTGTGAAAATACATACCGGTACCTCAAAGAAAGATCTAAAAAAAACATCTAAAGATGCAACAAAAATAGAATGACTCTTCTACCCATGTATATGTGTCAATAAACTATCAAGACAGCTGCAATAAGAGTTTACATATAAAGTTACATGAATGAGTAGATAAAACAATAATCACAGACAGAATCCCTCAACTCAACCACAGAGAAACCTTTTGGAAGAATCAACAGAACAAATAAATACGATATGAAATTTTCATACTCATTCTGTTCTTTGGAAACTTCGAAGCTTTTCAAAGGATATTCTTAGATATTACTTTTGGTGGATGGAATGTCTGAGACAATGATGTATGAAGTATGAACTGAAATATCAAAATATCTCAAGAAAAGAAGCAAGAGATAAGAATATCTATCTGAGTCTCCACCAATCATAATCATCACCTGACATGACCTCAAAGAAGGGGCAGAAACCTTTTTCAATCCTCTCCGAACCCATACTCAAAGAAGAAGGTACCCAAAAACACTTTCCGATATGCAGTGTCTGTAAGAACTTTTACTGTACATGGATAGCTAGGGTATGTATGAATGAGTGGATGATATAAAAGAGAGAAGATATCGCAATTCCTGAGAATGTTTTGGAAGAAGAAGAAGAGAGCTTTGAAAGAAGGAATTGTTTGAATTGGATTCTTGAGGTCGGGTATGTACTTTATGTTACCTTCCCTATCATTATTCATAATTTCCCCGCCATCTTCAATTCGCTTCCCCTCCTTCTCAGATTGAGCTTCACTTGGAAATCTACTTTCAGCTACAACAGAGAAGGATGGATTTCTTGAAAGCCGGGAACGAATGGGAGTGATACAGTAATAACAACTGGTACAGTTCAACTGACACCATATGATAGGCCAACAAGGTGTTCTACCAAATTCTCGAGGACCAAGAACCTTCCAAGAACCTATCAAATACAATATCAAACCAAAAACAGTATCAAACAGCATGGTTTCCACACTCTATACCGTTTGTGCGATTCTCACATTCCTTCAATGTGTTTTCTCACATCAATTGTATCCCAATGGGCTTGATAGCAAACTAAGCGTAAGTTTCCCTTTCACCTCCTCTCCTCTCCACAACTTATCCAGTGCAATTGAAACATTCATACCCGCATTATTCCAAGACTAATTTCCACAATAGAGAACTACCATTCCCCGTCGAGAATTAGCACTATCCAAGCGTGACGACATCGATCCCTCCCTCCTCTACCCAACTTATACCCTCACCGTCCCAATTGATTATTTCCACAATGAATCCCGCTATGAACCCCACAGCAATGGAACATTCGCACTCCGATATTGGTTCGACGCTACCTATTACAAACCCGGCGGTCCAGTAATCGTTCTTCAATCCGGAGAAACGGATGCTACAGGTCGATTACCATTTCTACAAAAAGGTATATTGCATGAATTGGCAGTGGCGACAAATGGTATTGGTGTCGTACTTGAACATCGTTATTATGGTGCTAGTATCCCAACCCCAGATTTCTCGACGGAGAATCTAAGGTTCTTGACCACGGAACAGGCGTTAATGGATGAGGTTTATTTCGCTAGGAATATTGTGTTTCCAGGGTTGGAGGATCAGAATCTTACGGCGCCAAATGTGGCTTATATTGGGTATGGAGGTTCTTATGCTGGTGCTTTTAATGCTTTCTTGAGAAAATTATATCCAGAAACCTTCTGGGGTAAGTTACTTCCTTCTCCTTTATGTTTATAACGCGGTAATGTGACTAACATGTGATTAGGTGCAATTTCCTCCAGTGGAGTCGTGGAAGCCATCTATGATTACTGGGAATACTTTGAACCCATCCGAGTCTATGCTGATCCCAAATGTATCAAGAATACCCAACTAATCACCAATTCTATGGATAACATAATCATTGGACAAGAAAATAACACGGCGTTAGTCGACCAACTCAAGACGACTTGGGGACTTCCAAATATCACTTACTCCAATGATTTCATGGCGACAGTCATGTACGGAATGTGGGAATGGCAATCAAAGAATTGGGATCCGGAAGTTGCGGGAACGCCATATTTCGATTACTATTGTGGCAATGTTACGAGTAATAAACTTCTCTATCCAAGTTTGAGTGCCTCTACGACGGAGGTTCAGAAATTGCTTACGAAGGGTGGTTATGGTTCTCAACTTGATAGTTTGACCATTCCGTATCTTAATTGGATTGGTTGGTTGACTGGTAAGAATCCTCCTCCAACTCCCACTCATGCCGTCTACAAAACCGTTAACAATGACTAGATTACACCCTCGCCAACTTCGGCGACTGTTTCCCAAATCAAGATTCCTGCTACTCAACCCACAACACCACCTTCTTCGCCCAAGACGACTCCAGCCAATCATGGCGTCTCTGGCCTTACCAATACTGTACCGAATGGGGGTACCTCCAAAACGGCGGATCCGTCCCTTCAAACCAACTCCCCCTTTTATCCCGTACCATCGATCTCCCCTACCTCTCCCTCATCTGCGAATATTCCTTCAACATCACCACACCCCCTGATGTCGAAAGAATCAACCAATACGGCGGTTTCTCCCTCACCTACCCCCGTCTCGCATATATCGATGGCGAACAAGATGTCTGGCGACCCGCTACCCCGCACGCATCCCCATTTAATTCCACGGCAAATAATCGGACGTCGACGATTGATCAACCGTTTATTTTGATCGAGGGCGCGGTTCATCATTGGGATGAAAATGGAGTGTTTAAAAATGAGACGACGGGTAGTTTTCCTCCGAAGTCTATTGATAAGGTTCATAGTCAAGAAATTAAGTTTGTGAAACGGTGGATGGAGGACTGGAGGGATGATTGTAGGAGGACGGGACGAGGGCTTGTTTGAGTTTAGGGGGCAGGGGGAAAGGTGATGGGGATGGAGGTTATAGCTATTGTACATGTTCTTAGATATATACAAGTATTGATATATGAATGAATGAAGATTTTGAAAGTAAACAAGTGAGCGAGCGAGAAAGTGATCTAGTAATTAAGTAAATAAGTAAATTTGTTCATTTTATATATCAAATGTTTAATTGAATATAAAATATTATATAGAGGTTTATGTTTCAAGTATGACTATTCACAGGGTAGATGGGAAGCTTGTAGGGTAGAATCATAGGGTCTAAGGTAATTCTAATTTCACTAAGGAGTGAAGGAATCTATGAAGAGAGGAACTCCTGCTATCCCCAAATGGGACTAGCTCCCCCTGGTCACGTGCACCACGAGAACCATTCCTTCAACAAAATGAGCGTATTAGCGACACCCACCACCCCCCCTTACCCACAAGCATCGCGAATGATTCTCCCCCTTGAGCGATTAGAAGTAATGACTCGTAACCATGGGTCACGAAATCGCCTTCAAGTTTTCGTCAACTTGGAAGCAGAGAGAACCAATTATTAGTTTGGGCTCAACCTTTCATACCTGTTCTCATGTCTTCTCAAGCTTCGAATTTTTTCATCCTTGTTGGGTTGAAAGGACTCCAATAATCCTCTATAACGCGAGGTAATCTGAGTTGGCGATAAAGGGCCGACTCAAAACCTTCGACCTCAGCTTCCTGTTTTTCAAACGTGACCATTTCATAGTTTGGGTATTCTCCTTTCTGCTCCCCTTGATACGACAGCGCAGCGTCTGCCATTAATTGCCGCAAACAATTTCCATCTCTCGTGAGCGAGAAAACAGTTTCGATGAATTCGGGTTTAAAGGCAGACACACCATACTTCAACAAGGCTGGTCGAAGGGCGTCATATACAGAAGTACTGACATCACCAAGGTCGTATTGGTCCGCGTATTTTAAGAAAGAAATACAGCGTTCGGCAGTATTCTGACCACATTTCGAAACAGAGAGCTGATCACCAACGCTATGATGGAAGATGTACTCTATCAGAACCTCAAAATCTTCCACAGTATCTTCTGGTAATTCCATTCTCTGAGTCTGACTTTCTATAAACTTTCCAGCGAAGGACCGGTCGAAGACTGGAGAATAGTACGACAGAAGCTCTTTCGGTAATTCATAGGTCTTCTTATTGGGGCCGACAACTATCTTCACTTTTGGACCTACAATCATGCTGCAAAAGATTTAATTGGTTTATACAATCCATGATGTAAATGTGGGCTCAACACTAACTTGATATACAACTCGGTTGCAGGTCTCTGAGGACAATGTGGTGCCTTGGTTCTTGGGTCATCTCTCTTTGCCGCGTCAAAATTGCAAGTCTCAATTCTCTGAATGGATGTGCCGCCTTCATCACTTGGAGTTGGAGTAGAACCTTCAGTTAAATCGGACAAGAATGGTAAACTGTCGGAGCTTATCGTCGGAGGAGAATTTGGCGTTGCAAGGCTTGTGCAATGTCTTTGAGGAGGAGATGCTGCGAACATGTCGTCGGATGTATCTAACGCCGAGGTCTTACGTTTGACTCCGGAAGCAGTAGAAGCTGTCATCATACTGGATGGTATTGCAGACGTGGTGTGGGTTTCACGAAACACACGTAAAGGTCTCGAACCAATCAGATCGTCAGGTTCTTCTTGCTTTACTCCGGAAGATGAATCAGACTTCAAATCTATTGAGAATATCTGATCAGCTGCAAACTTCTGAAGTATAACTCACGAACAAGACAGTAACGAAGCCTGCACACTAGAGACTTTGGGATAACCAAATTCTGGAAGCGTGATTGAAAGGTGAGAATTGACTTATCAAAGGACCGAAAGATTCAGATGATATGAGTGAAGATGAGTTTCTCTGTGCGAAAAGGGAAAACAAAAGGAACGGTGAGGTATGAGAAGAGAAGATGAACTTTCGAATTGCTGTGATTGCGATGAGGAAAACGGACAGTATCGCTGAATGATATCAATAATAATATGGAGGATGTGTTCCTCAAGTCATGAAGAAGAAGTCAAAACTTTTGAAAAGAAATCGACTGAGGATAAATATCTAACTCTTACAACAAATTTGATGAAATGAGGAGAAAGTCGATGATATAAACCCAGAAATCCTGTGAGATCGATGGAATGAGGATACAATCCCTCAAGATGGAAGAGGAAGAGGAAGAAAAGAAAAGTCAGACGAGAAGTGAAGATGAAGGTTGTGCAACCACATTGTTGAAGGCGGCACATGGATTGGCCATCGGGTGATTTGATGCTGGGAGTTGTTGAGGGTTCTCAGGGTTAAGAGGATTTTGATGATGTGTTGGAATATATAGACCACGGTGATACTGGTTTTGTTTAAGTATAAGATGTTACTGTAGGTATTCCGTGATTCTCCTTTCAATCTCTAAGTGTTCTGTCACAACAACTTGATGGCTAGGACATGAATGACACTTGATCAATGGGTACAAGATTCATCTTGAATCCTTTTTATCTTTATTCTCAAATCCCAAGCAGGGTTTTATGACGATTTTCCAGTGTTACTTTGAACATTTACGTTTATATTCATTCTTTATATAAACAAAATGGTATGTTGGAGTATCCTACATGCTCCAAATGTACACAAATCCCACCGCTCTAACATAATCAGCAGTAGCGGGACATCTAAACACCGCAGAACAAGCTTTAATCGGCCTCAGATATCGAACAAACCTTTTGGACCTGAATGAAGTCGGCTGGAATAATTGAATTCCGTAAGGCAGCGATAACGCTAGTAACTTGCTTCTGCAACCGATAAGAGGTTTAGTGGTAACCATCATGAATAATATGGTAATCGACCATTGACATCTATCCCCAAAACATAACAATCAAAATCATCCTGCGTTATCATACAACCCCAAAACATGAAATTGATCACTAGGCCCCGATTTCCACCGGCTCAACCAAAGGCGACAGAATCTTAACATCCGTCTGGCGAATGGAAATGTTGTCCTGCTGTCCGATGAGAGCACAGCTGGAATTGTACAGAAGCAAAGTAGTTTTTGCTCGGGGGCTTGTCGGCAACGGGGTCGTTCATCAGGTTGGTGATGGTGCAGTAGCCGGCTTTCATGGGCTGGAAGGTTTTATCGCAGTAATGAGAGTGGATGGAGAGGTCTTGGAGGTCGGGCCATGTGTAGCTTTGTGACTTGCGAAGGGCTGCGGCGAGAGTGGATGGTGGGGATATGCTGGATAGGGCGAAGAGGACGGCGAGGGGGCCTAGGAGGCGGGTTGGTGGGAGTGTAAATTTTTTCTGTTGATGGCATTAGCTTATATGTATAGAGGGATGCAGATGGGATTTGCACTTACTTGGATGTGGAGATTTCGGGGTGTGTACGTGTATGTGATGTTTGTATGTCGAAGACTAGAAGGGTGAACGGTCTGTAACTTGTGGGGTATAGGGGACCATGTTCGATCTCCTTATTGACTCATCCCCTTTTCTGAAAACTTACAACTGGAGTTATATCACTGATCAAGATACTCGAAACCAACCTCTGAGTCAATGGTAAGGATGGTCATTTGAATATTGTTTAGGAGTAACAATGAATGCCATTGCCGAAATCAAAACAGAGAACCAAAACACTCCAGAGTTCGGCTTGAAGCGGAGGTTGCGCCTAAAGATAATAGGAAGGTCGAAGATCATTCTTAGTCACTTTCGAGCCTAACAATTGAGAGCAAGTAATCTGTGAAATGATAGTCATACTAACATATTTTGGATTTGGCTGTAAGTAAATACAACTACGGATATCAAAAATAGGCTAAAATTCATGAACATGACATGTTTTGCCTGTCGCAAACATCCACCCCAAACTGGATATCCCCTCCCCTCCGACACACCTGATTTCGCACTTAAAAGCTTGAAAATATTTAACCAGTGCAACCACCAAGTCTAACACTTCCAGCATACATCTCATAGGTGTCCGCATTATTAGCAGCATTAGCAGCCGACAAACCCTTAGCAGCAGCTGGTCCATAGGCCCAATCTTCAGTACCATACAAATGAGTCATCTCATGCAAGAGACTTCCTGCACGATCATAATCGAAATCCGCACAAGTGGAAGAATACTCAGGGAAGCCCCAGTATCCATTGTTTGGGCAAGGAACAATGACGTTGGCAGTGGGAACGGTGTAGAGTAATGCACTTCCGTCAGAGCAATCTCCATAAGTATCGGTGCAGGAAATCTTGGGAGATTTGGTTTGGACATTCTTGACGTCGGTGTAGATGCTGCGGACGAGGGTTTCCTCAGAGGTAGACTTGAACCAGGTGGTGAAGTAATCAGCAGCGGAACCAGCAGCGGTGTAAGCGTTGGTAGCGAGGGTGATGGCATCGGAGACGGTGGTTTTAAGGGAGCTGGTTTGTGCAGTGGAGCAACTGCTGTAGGTCACGGCACGCTTTTGGATGCGGGACATGGAAGCAGGTTCGCTTCTAGAGATGAGATCACTTGAAGAAAGAATTAGCTGGGAACAGTAATTTTGAATCGTGGAAATTAGAAAAAGGCTACACTTACGATGAAACCTTGCTTTGATCGGGAGTGATAGTAACAGTGTTGGATGTGATGTCGCCGCAGAGAGTAGTTTCGCCAATCGAGGCTGGCGCTACTTCTCCTGTTACGTATCTGAAACCTTGGATGGCAGTGATATCAACTGTCTCGAGGCCTTCAAGGTTATAGGTCTTAGCTGCGTTGACAGAAGCGGTAACTGTCTCGCCAGCTTGAATTACTTGAAACATAGAGGCATTGAGACCGGTACGTTTGTAGTTAACATAGGTTCCCTTGAATTCAAGATCCGCGGCATCTGTAAACCATTAGTCATGATGCTAAATGTAACAGAAAATAGGAGCTCAACATACTTGCGGAAGCTACGAGATCCAAAGTAGCATGGTCACTTAAGACCGTGTTACCCTTGAAGACAGTGATAGCCTCGGCACCGGTGTTTGTGACTGCGACTTGAGCAATGTGATCGGTGGTACCAGAAATCTCAACGGAAAGAGGGCAGGTGGAAGCAGCGATAGCTACACCAGCAAGGGCGGCGACGGGAAGGATCTTGGAAATCATGTTGACTTGACTTGAGACTTGTCTGTGTGGATGATCTTTCAACTGAGGGAGAGAACACAGGCCTATAAGTACTGGTTTACTTCTCACAACCAAGCGATAATAATATCCCAGAAGAGGCAGGTAGATTGAGAGCCCCTCTGTTTCATTAATTGTATCTATCCATCATCACGTTCTCGTCATGTAAGCTGGCGTAATCAACGATCCATTCACGTATATCTAGGTCGACTAGTCCTAGTTACATTACGAAGGAAGCAAAGCCAAGGCGGCTCAATGGAAAGCGTAGTACTCTCATCGCTTGGCAGCATGAATCTTGTCCATATATAGCAACTCGATCTCATCTAGATATCAGCGGCGCGGACAGTGTCAACAATGTTTTGTTGACTTAATGTAGATATGGAGTAAAATTCTTGAAGAAAGAAGTTGTGAGTGTTGTGAGTGGTAGAAAATATATTTGCCGAGGTGTGGATAAGCTCTTCCACTATGCCTCATTAGGCAGGGGAAACTTCAAAAGGGGGCTTGGCGAGAAGTGCCAATCTGGATAAGCATCAAAGTTTTGCCAAGCAATTGCTTGTATATTTCGTTCAAGGTTTTGCTTACATAGGAAGGTGGAGATGGCGCTGTGCCAATATGCGCCAATGGTATTGACGATGAGGTCCGTACAAATGCCGACGACCAAGTTATACTTTGCAGTGCCTTATCTCGCAATTTCATGTGATTAGGAGAATGTAACCAAAAACGGCAGCTCGAGGGACTGTGGATTCGTGTCTGTCTGTATCTTTGATCGGCGTTGATGCTAGTTGATGGATCCACGCGGAGTATGGGCGATATCTTCTGATATCACCCATTTCGATGACACATGAAATCGAGGGTATCTAGCATTTTATTATCTCTTTGGGTTCATCAACGAGAGACACAGAAGCGTAGCATTGAGAGTGAACAATGCCGTGCGTATATCTTGGTGGATGAGATATTAAGAAGAGAGACACCAATCTACTGTGATGGCTCTTGAGATTCATGGTAGCTGGCCTTTAGATGGGCTAAGCGCCGACAACAGTGATTATGTGGGGTAATTCACCTAAGGTCACCTATCATGAATTTACTAGATGAGCCCAACATCAATATACTCTCATGAATTCAATGCATTTCTAACGTTCTTAGCCAGATTCATACTGGCTGGTGGAGGTTTTGATTCTTCTCATATTCCTATGCTTCAATAATCACCGTTTTCCACACACGACTAAATTCAAATAACACCTCAAGGTATTTTCGTACTGCTAAATTGGGGATATTCTTGTGCGCATGTCATCTAGGAATGTTTGCTAGTTACATCGTGGTTGTAAACGTATGTTGGCGGCAACAATGGTATAGAGCTGATTGTTCTATCCAATCGTTCATGATAATACATCACGTTTAAGGCCGTCCAACAGTTTGGTTGTCAAATGTGTATGGTATTAGGAATCCTTTGACGACACAGTTACTTCGGTTGTAAGTAGTAATGTTAGTGTTTGGATATATTTCTACATGCAACATCCAACAGATATGCAGTTATGTATTAAATCATTTTCTCTTGTTGTTTTGTTTCATCTTGATCCTTATTGCATGGGCAAGTGGCAGCTTTGGTTTTGGCTTGCGAGGCTCAGTCTGTTGTTACTGTAGTTGCAACCTGTATATCTCCCCATATATGATGCCGCCCTTTTCCTTTTCCCCATGCATACTGCTCTAACTTACTTTCCTCTACATCTCCTTTGGCATCCTTGACCAGCGACAAACGAAATAAAGCTCTCGAATCTTTTCAACCTTTATATTTGCTTCAAATTCAACTGTGCTCTCCCTCTTATTGAATAGAACGTTACTGAAATTTATTATCATTGAATGGGTCGCTTTGTATTGAAAACTTTGTCCCTGTGGCTTTCGATATCAGCGCCAATGGTCGTTCGTTCAATCTCTTCCTCAGCTTAATCTATGAATATAACATGCTAACCACACTATCAGCAACAAACGGTACTATGACACTTGTGACGAAGGCAGCTCCGCCAAATGTGACGGATAAAATGGACAAAACATCATTGGAAACATTACGGTCACACCGTCCAATTTCAAATTTCCTATGTTCTGCACTTTTCCGGAACAGCCCATCAATGTAGACGGTGGGACAATTCAATCGGTTCATCAAACAGCTACATCCGGTCTCTGGAATGTTATTTCTCCATAACCAGCAGAAAGGGTTGACATCGAGTGCGGAACTGCTCTTAATGTGAACATAGCTTTTATTGGATCAATATCCAGGTACTTGCGAAGCGTTTTTGTAGGAGGGACCTATAATTTTGACACTACAGGTGAGTTATGATCGATCTCAGCATGGACTTCTGTCTTAGTATCATGGTTTTCATATCTTCGAGTGGACTAAGAACATCAATGTTTACTTAACATGGAATCAGACCTAGAAACAACAGTCCCTATCTCAGAAATCAGATCCGAATACCCCAATATTAACACTCGCACATTACAAAGTGTGGCTTTTGAACCTACGATGACAAAGGTAGCTTACGGAATATATTCGCAGGCGCCTCCTCAAGCTATGCTTAGTGTCATGTGTCTCTCAATTATTTCAAACTCGGTTTTCATACCTGCCATAGTTTTATGAACTTCGGAGGGGTAGCTGGTGTTGGATGGGAAATAGAAAGGGTACGAACATGGCCTTGTGATTTGGTACGTCGGATTTGGGGAATATCATTGCGCTTACTTGAACTCGGAGTTTTAGGTTTATTTTTCCTACATGCGCTTCGAGAGTTTTGTCGGCGCTTACTAGTTACTTCTTGATGTACTTTCCGATATTTAACCTGATTGGGGGAATACCTAAGGTCTGTTGTTCATTACTCCGAGGTAGACATTCTAAAAATCAAAGGAGTCGGACTAAAGATTGACTAGAGAATCATTCTGGTTGGAATTCACTGTCACACAACCTGAAGAAACCTTCTAGATATGTATATCACGAAATACGTCGATAATATCTTCATCAGGCCTCTTCGCGTTCAAAGCTCATAACGGCAATAGGTAGTGGAGCAAGAATCGGCAATGCATATCCATAAAGTCTTGGCAAACGCAAACCGTTCAGAATATATCACTATCACATCTTATATCTTTTTACAAGGCACACGACCTAAGTATAGAAGTGAATAAAAGTTATCTGACCATCGGCGTCTAATAAACCATACATGACAGGGCGCATGTTCGCGCCAACATCGCATATGGACGATTTGGATCCGACAGTTTGGTTCTGGCCATGGTAGGCTTATTATTACCAACTGTTGCCCAATTGTTAGCACAATCATTGGCGTCAATTCATTGGACATGGAATATATATATATATGAAACGGTTGGTTCTTGCGGTTGACTAATTTATTGCGCCTCTTTTCTGTCCTCAAAGTTTTTATCTTGTTATTATAATATCAATTTCATCTCCTTACTATTAAGCCCTCTACTAGATAAAATGCACCCTTCTAAATTCCTCGAATTCGCATCCTATCTTGGATTGACTCACGGTGCCTGTGATACAAATGTTACAATATCTGGGCTGGGTGCGGCTGCTGATGGACAACCTGCTATCGATCGTGAAATCGCTCTCTTCTCATTCGGTGGATCATCATGTAGTAAGTTTCGCCAGCATCTCCATTTCTCAAAATACCATTCTAATCAATCTTCACAGTACCCAATACCACAGTCCACAGTTCGTCATGACCGTCGCACCCATGTTATTTCTCACCCACTAACCTAATCATTTCAAGCTCAAGATATCACCTATAGCCACATCAGCATCCGTAGTTCCTCTCACTCAGACTGGTACAGTTACTACGGTTTCCCAACCTTCGACCTATCCTCCCACTGCGATATTCAAAGCTCCGGCGTCCCCCTCCGAGAATTCGTCCAAACGGGCCACTTCACCTGGGCCTTGATCCCCGAACAGAAAATCACAAACATCGTTTGCGAAATGACCCCGCATACCTTGGTCAATTTCATCGGTCGGGATAGAGATGGAACCCAGACTTTCCGTACGGAAAAGGTGCTGGGTAATTCGGAGCTGGCTTTTAGTTTCGGTGAGTAGCCTTTTGTCTTTAAGTGTCAGCAAGATGAATGGATATTCTAATGAAGAAAATAGATTCAGATACCGCATCTACAATCCATCAACTCGAATCCGTCTATCCTAATTTCAACACCTGCAAAATCTCAAACGGGAAAAATAAATTCTCCTTCACGAAAACGGATCGTGGAATTTATACTATTGATCCACCTCAGTCTAAACTGAAAGTTTCGTGTCCAGATTTGGCTTCTTATCCGTGGAAGGGAGCTTCGATGCCGAAGATGTATGTTCAGAGTTCGTCATGATTGTTGGGGAGAGAAAAATTGGTGTTTGGGTTTGGGATGGAGGGATTGTATTCTCATGCTCGTATATGAAGAGTATGTATATCGATAGGGTGTATTTATATGATAGAGATTTGGATAATATGAGTGGTAACTCGTTCATCTATTACTCTTATCAACAAATAAAAATTTAATCCATGGTTCTGATATCTTTCTTCCAGCATTTTCTACGATATTAGCATTTTCCATCATCATTTCCATCATCATCATCCTCATAATCCCCAACTCATATCCCCAACTCATAACCCCAACTCCCAAGAAGTGTTGCACAACTCACTTACCTCACATTCTTACCTTCTTTACCTACATCCCTTCCTACCATCGATATCCGCCGCATTCTCTCCCCAATACTTATCCCCCAACTATCCCCCAACTTTCCCCGAAGTATCCCCCAATCTACCCACCAATCTATCTACCCACTCACCAACCCTGTAAACCATAACCTCAATATTCATCCCCCTTCCCCCGAAGCCTGCACATGTACTCCATCATATCCATCATATCCATCACTCCAAAAAGTTTCTTTTGCATCAGCGCCTATGTACCCAGGTATCGTTACATCGGCAAAAGTACTAATTTCACAGTTATCCAATCACAAGTTGTAATTTACAGGGGTATTTGGGTGTTGGTTGGGGTGGTTGGTATTGGTTGGTTTGTGGAGGGATGGAGGGGTGGTATTGGTGGTATTGGTGGATTGGTGGAGGGAAAGGTATATACCGGGTTCTAATTGTTGGTTGCCGAGCCTAGACTGGACTACTGTAGATGTGATCAGGGATTGGCTTGGACTCTGGAGGCGCCTGGGGTAAGGTTTGACTGCAAACCTTAACCCACTTTATTTGTGAGCTCCAATTTCCCATTTCCAAACTATTGATAGATATGAAGATGTATATCATATATCATCAGAAGCCGGCCTTGTACTTGTATTTGTACTTGTACTAGCAGAAGGAACCGATTTTCATATATGGCGATCATATTTATACTCACTTATTAACACACTAGGTCAGTCAGCAGAATTACTCTCATTCAAATCCAACATCGCTTCGAAACCCCTGATTACAGTACTCGAGTAGTTGTCATTCGATCACCTACCCCAGAATAGCTTCTTGTGAAATGAACAGGATATTATTCTTATATTTCTTTGTTATTACCCTTTTCAATATAAGATACTATAGCTGCACCACGTTCCCTCTTACTCATGAGAGCTGTAGTTATAACTACATGGTTGTTTCTCGCCTCAAGTCTCACCTCAACGACAAAGCGATATCGAGGTTGGGTTGGGTTGTCGGGCCATCTTGTCAATGCTAACATTCAGATCCGTCATTTTCAGTTAGTGAACAGATATGTAAATGCGTGAGATTGTGATGCTCATATTCATTGCAATCTTTATTCCTATCACAGAATAGAAGGTAAGCTAAACTATACATTGTAGCTAGTAAGCAATTGCAAGAAACCCCGATTCCAGCCATCCAACCCCTCAATTTCATTTTCATTCCTGAAACACCAAGTACAAATTCCGGATTACCAGACAAGTTACAATCTCACCAGCTAATCCCACCCATACTGCTTATTTGAACGCTTCATAGCCATGTTGTGAATAAACTCAGAAAAACATATGCATTCCGTAGCCGTAACTCCTCGCTGCGCTGTTTGTTTTCCGTAAGCAAGAAAGAGATTCGTTTGACACCATCACTTCGAACTCCGTAGAAAAGTACTAGCGAGCTAGTTGATCACTACTCGCCTCGCATTCCTCAAAATCTAACTCCCACTTGTCAACTTCTTGGAATTTCTTTGCTGCCTTTTTCAATTCCTTTCCTACTCTCTTCTCGAGTTCGGGACTGTTTTCACTTCGGGGCTCTTCTGGTGCTGCTTCGTCTTGTAGAGATGCCAAACTATCATCTGGGTCGACTTCATTTTCCTTATCTGATGTTGTGGTTACCAGGGTCCTTCCGTAGGTTCTTTTTCCTTTACCTTTGGCAGTAGATTTAGTCTTTTGAGTACGTTTTGAAGATGGGACAGATGCTTTAGAAATAGGTCTAACGGAAGCTTGGCGACGAGAAGTTGGGGCGGCGGTTATGGTTAGTTCGTCATCGTGTTCGCCAAGACCGGTAACATCGACTTCACTATCCGAGGATTCCACATCTAAAGCGGACCGATTACGTTGACGACGCCTGGGAAGAAGAGCTTGAAGAGCTGCGGTAGAGAGGGTTGCAGGTTGAGGTTCGGCTTTACGAGTGGGTCTTTTGGAGGTAGAACGAGTGGGTATATCAGGGGAATGTGTGAGTGATGGTGGAGAAGATATGGGTGAAGATTGTGTTTCTGAATTTGTGGCACGCGTTGGAGTTCGAGGATTTATTATGCGTCGAGGTCGAATAATTGCTTGACGTGGATTTAAGACAGGTTGATGCGGGGGTGGAGGTGATGGTAAAGATTGAGCAGGTGAAAGAGGAGAACTACTACCACATGGAGGTGCCATAGTTTCACTCATAGGCTCGGGGGTTGAAACACGTTCGATTGATGACAACGGCGAATCCTCAAGCGAAGGCTCCTTTTCAAGTTCCGGTAAATCATCCTCCTCATCGCTTTCTATCGGCGCAGTCGCAGGGATTGTGTCTTCAGGCTCTGAGTCTTCTACAGGCAATTTAGAAGGACTTGGTTGGGCCTGCGCAGCCTCTTGTGAACGTGGGACTTGTACGCTGGATAGTTTCCGTTTCCTTGAACTCGAAGATGAAGGTACAGCTCTTGCTTTGGCAAAGTTCAAAGGCGTTGATTCATCTTCGGGCGCAAAATCATCCGAATCTGAGTCCGAACCAAATGTAGGTCTTGATTGCTGTGGTTTTCGCGCCGTTCCCAAAATACTAGGTTCCCGAGCTCTTCTTTTGAAGTTACCAAGTCGCAAAACTGATCCAATTTCTGGTCTATCCCGGCCTACGCTACTTGGTCTCCTTGATCCGGCACGTCCTCTGAATGATCCCAAGCCTAGCCCAGATGCATTCCTCTTGCCAACACTTGTAAGACCGTTCTCTTCTGCCAAGTCCGAATCTATACTACTGGATCGAGCTCGTGCGGTTTGCTGTCCTAGTATACTTGGTTCTCGAGCCCTCCTCCGAAAATTGCCAATCGCAAGCACAGAATTGTCCATGGCAGATGTAGGTCTACCTCTTCTTCCAGCCTCGATTCGAGGACTACTAGGTATCTGCATAGCATCCTCATCTGATTGTAATTCTGGCGCATTGTTCGGTTTCGCGGTATCCTTGGCTTTCCTAGGTTCTGTATCTTCAATGTTGCGTGAAGCATTGCGACCGCTACTTCGTATCGCAACAGTCTTTCCCTTGTTCAGCTTTTTCGCACTCGCAGATCTATTAAATTCCTCATCGCTAATATCATATAATTCATCGAATGGACGCGCCGCTGGTGTTGCATCTGGTACAGATTCTGTCTCGACTGGTTTCGTTGATTGTATGACGTGCAAAGTGGGCGCATTCGCAGCAGGACGAGTTATTTTTGTTCGTTTTGGACGTGGCATTTTGTATAAAGGTTGGGGAAATTATCTGTCACTGAATTGAGGATTAATTCGAGCTTATAGAAGGTCATTTATGGTATTTCGTGATATCGTGATATTGTGAATTATTTGGTAGCTGTGGTATTGTTGTGGGTTGACCGCGTCGCGTCTAGCCTTATTTATTTTCTTAGCGGCGAATGAGCTCTTTATACATGTTAAAAAAATATTATATTTACAAATCTTTCAAAATTTCAAAATTTCAAAATTTCAATCCTTTTTTTATTTAATTAAAGTTTTAAAATTATTTTATATAATATTTCAAATATTAATAAAAATAATCAATTATACATGTTCTACCGTGACCGGTACGTACTAAGTAGCTCACGAATTAGAATTTAATCATGACTTCCAATACAACATTTGAATTTATATCAAACCTATACTAATCCATGAACGAGCATCTTCCACATTTTAAAAGCACTGCCGGTCTCCATTGGGGCTTCGTGTATCACTTTCCTTGCGATAATATGATTTTGGGCCAGCGCCCACTCACTCATGGAGAGACTTTGAAATTTTTGTGTTGAGAATTATTTCCTGAGAAGTGTGGATAGTTCCCTGGGCTGACGATTTTGTACATGTTGTACTGTGTTGTGGCAGCATCTACATCCAGTCAAGTCGCGACTCAAGTGGACATTGCCCAGTTTGACACCACACGAAGCATCCATTGCAGAATGAATACATACGTTTTGGAGAGAAAGCTTGCCGGTCCCTTGGATTTACTTCCGAGGGGTGTCGACTGTTCCCGTTGGGCATAACTAAATAAAGTACGTATCGTCGTATCGTACCTCGGTACTGCCCAAGTCTTGCAGGTCAAATTCATACCAATCAGAAAAATGCGAACTTTGAGGGGGGGAGGGGAGGGGACTCCATCACTGTTGAAATTTAGGTTCTTTCTATTCCTTGACCAGTATACTTCGCTTCTCGACACCATCATCGTGGGTTTGACGTGTAGGTCTCCCAAGCTGGAAGCCTTTCTATGACTGTCATTTATTCCCGATTATTCGTGGCAGTGAGATTTAATACAAAATTGTTTTGATAAAGTAATGGAATTTATGGGTTATGGAAAAAATCACAAGTGCGAGTTTAGTAATATCTTAATATCATCAATGTCTCTATCAACAGACACAACACCCCGCAGTCATCTTCTGTTGAGAATAGCAACCACTCAATATTGAAGATGACAAAGGTCTGCAGGCTGTGCTTCCTGCCGGTCCACGACTTGTTACTCGATGACTTTCTAATCACTTTCCAACTCATAGCTGAAGAATATGAGTAAATGCAAGGAAGATTCCTTAGCCTCGTCTCATCTAAGCAATGGATGTGCGTTCACGCTCGTTCATAGTCTGTCCTGTTGATCGGGTTAGATTTTTTAGGGAAATGCTTTCAAATTAACGATCCTACAAGAATGCCTGCTAAAAGCATGCTACTGCGCAATCTATGAGGTTCATCTAGGTAAGCGAATAACTCCTGGCGTGGATACTTGGGACGAAAGTATAAGGGTCGTCAATCGGGATTCAGGTGTAAAGCTTGAATTCTCACCGACTTGATAGAAATATTTGGGTAGCGTGGGCTTTTAGACTTGTCAAAGGTCATGCGCATCTATATTTTGCAGATCAAGAATTGAACTAAGGCTTATGGCTGGGTGTCGCAAACCCCTGGGATTTTGTTCAAGTACTACTCAATCTAGCATTTGGAGCCCTACCAACTAAGCCAATTCCACAAAGGCCAATCATCTACGAGAACCACCCAGTCACATCCGCTGTCACGGGGCTCAAGCCTCAAACGACTTCAAAATGTTAGGTTTCAAATCGAAGAGAATTCATCAATATCATGGTAGCTACACAGAATCACTAATTTACCAGTGGATTGAAACAATTGGGCGTAGGAAGAGCACTGTCAAGCATGTTTGCTATAAGAGTCTGCCCCTCTTTCGCTAGAGGGGGGTCGCATATCGCAAAAGTCGACCCTCATCATAACGGTCTTCGGATTCCGGCAGCTCAATAAATTTTACGGTAGAGAAAGCACATCCTTTCTTTTTACAGCCAATGGAATGCAGGAAAATCACAGGTGCAGAAGACAGCGAATCCCTCCTTATATAATGCAGCTGCTCACTGGAATTTTCTTTTCACAATACAGTGCCATTTCACTCTTTTCTGACACTGACACACTGATACGGTATACCACTTCCCACATCAAAACAATGACGCGCGAATCACTAAATTACTACATCCTGCTACCTTACATTTATGGTAATCTACTTACCGCAATTCCAGCTGCCAGCTCATAATATAAAGGCCATGGAAAGACGAGTAGAGTACCGTTATACTTAAAATCATCATACCCGTCCCTAACCCAGCTTCTATTCATTCGTACTCCAAGCATGCGATCCTTGTCCGCGGAATCAGACAAAGTGGTCGTATGGTCTCCAATCCCATACGGCCAAATATTTCTTCTACGCATCCGTCTGATACTTCGGCTCAGATTTCACATGCACAATATTAAATATCCTTGTAATTGAAGTCAGGACGATGTTGGAGTTCTTTCATTCGAATATGTACTGTACTACCATTCACTCCAGTACAGTACTCAAAACGAGCTTGAGTAGTCTTGACTCTTTTGGATTGAATCTTTGCTTCATATCAATGATAGTTGTGATGTATGGAAAGGTCATTCAGTTGCGTAATGGTAAGTTAAGACGTAGGATCGCGCCGGGATACTCATTTGATATTTTTACATGGGTAGAGTGGAGTGTTGGGTTTTGATGTTCTGTTGCGGTGTTTTCTTTTGGATTCTGGATTTGGGAAATATTTACGTGGGATGGGATCTTCTTCTTGTTTTTGAGACAAAGAATTTGAAAAGGGAGGAACTGTAAAGTACAGAAATGAATGATAATAAATAGTCGGCGAATCGTGTACTTCAGGAGACGTCTTGTCTTGTGTAGAAAGCAATCTGGGAAAGAAAGAAAGAAAAAGTTGACACAAACTTAAGCGACATAGCTTCCTGATGTGAATCGGTACAAATGAGCTCCGATATTGAAGAGTTCGCTTTATGCTCACCATGTCAAGATCTAGAATGGTATACTGCCATTGCTTCCAGCCTCCAACCTCAAGGATATAACATCGTTCGTTCATCAACATACAATACCGGTAAGCATGTGACTAGCAATATTCCCCACTTCCCCAATTCAGGATCTGAGTATGCATCTATCTGTACGTACTTCATTTTTGTAAATCAAAACGGGCATTTAAGTACTGATGTGGTTGAATGGTCTAATCTTTAGATAATCATCATGTATTTCAGGTTCGCTGCTAAGTTCCGAACTTATGCCTGCAACTTATGATTGAGTTGCGGTAAAACCATCCATGGTATTCTCCTAGCGTAGAGCCCTTGTTTCTGCAGGAATTTAACAAATAACCGGGAGCATACCATCGAGCCACTTAGTGTTTGTCGATTATGAAGGTCGAAGCTTTACTTGAGTCGAATCTAACTGCTCCCATAACGTTGTAATTGTAGTAAAACTGTTAAGCGACTTCTTGATCATGTCTGGATATTCCACGAGGTGTTCCATCGAGGATAGATTCCTGAGGGTTTGAGTTTGGCTAGGAGCATTGGATACTTGGTGTGGAAAAGCTGATGGAATGTAATGAATTATGAGTTATGGCTTGTATTCCAGCTAATTTGTGCGAGACTTCTAAAAGCGACGTTGAATGAGGATTGAAGGAGGGGGATTTCGCCGTCGGTGCTTCGTGTCAATTTGTTTGCAATGAATGATGCGATAGCTTCTTTCGGTGCATTGTATGCTCGAAAAGGATTCTTAATCCAAATTATATGTGCATTGATCTAATCAACTCTATAACCACATCGAACGAGCTCCTCTCCCAACTAATCGGGAACGGCTATAAAATAAAAACTTTCTTATTTAGTTGAGCATAACATTCAGTGAGATAGATCGTAGGCAGTAAATCTGTATTCTCAATTCGTTTGTAGAGTGTAGACAATTGACTCCAAGTAAAGCTTCGTGGAACCCCACGGAGACATCTTGAGTTCCTCGAAGTTTGATCGAAGTATCTCCGCTTCGCGTCTGATGCCAGATATCTAGGAGATCATCTGACAATTTCCCATACCATTTTGAAGGTGGAAGACTTGAAATTTGTAGCGCAGTGTATTTTCCTGGAAACATCCAAAACCAATCCTGATTTTCTTCATCGCGAGGTGAAAAATCAACCAGATTATTATCTATCTGATCGAACACTTGCATCAGGAAATGAAAAGCCAAGCGGAGTAACAATATCTGCTGAAGTACATGTAGTTTGGCTTTTGTAATAAGTATACAATATTTGCGGAGGGGTTGAGTGGAGATTCTGGGTAGGCATTCTCAAATGATGCGAATGACGGAAATATACTAAAACATACTAAACCTCGAAGTATTATTCTCCCAACCCTCTGCGGATCTCGGCCATATCTACTTCATGTCCACCGCCCTTTTAAACACGACGAATCTACAAAGTCAAAAAAGCTCGTCGATAATAAGTCTTCTTTCCTCCCATTCTGCCGCATTCAATGCAGATGTGCGGAGACCAGTTCGCGCCTATTTTGAGGATGCGGAGGATTCTGTGAGAAACACATGTTTGAATGAAATGGTATCCGCTTCATTGCCGAATCCGGATCTCTAAACTCGTGTCGTGTCGTAAGGGAAATGATGAGATGATCCCAGTCTAGAATATAGAACTTTCGTGCACCTACCTTGAAAACAAACATATACATTCATGCTTTGAGCATTCTCAATCTCTAGATCCACACCAGCGACTAAATCGTGGCTTCGCACATAAAGACGTAAGATAGGTCTCACAACATCCCACACATGATCTGAAATGCCCAAAATGCAAGTAGCCAAGTGCAACGCTCACTCAGCCTATATCACAAGGGTGCTTGAAAATCGCATATCACATCCCGGACATTTCATGCCTCGTTTTCTTGGACAAATTCCTATTTCTGTCAGCTTTTATCTTTGCGTTCAGTTTCAGGTCATATGATGACATTGAAAAGTCTAGCATAACAGGAGATCCGAGTCGATATGAGATGATCCTCTTGAAACTTCCGGAACTTCTGAAAAACATGGTAATCATCTCGATTTTAATATTCTCGAATGAAATTAAGTGCTAGCTATTCGGTAACACGCCAGTAGAAAGATCATGTGACGAGACCCGAAAGTGACGCCAACCTCCCCATCAGAGCTTGAGCTCTTTCGCGAGTCAGACTTTAGTCTTCGTCATACATCGAAGAAGAGAGATACGTGATTGTCTAGAATGCCATTTCGTCTATTCTGACCGGATCATTCCCCGGTTTTAGTACTCCGCTCTTACTTAAGAAAGATTTTATAGCCCATGTAGACATCATCACTCAGCATCATTGTTGATTCAGGGCTATCAAACCATAAGATGTTACGAACATATAACATCTGAACGGGGAATGAATGTTGTGAAATCCGAAGCCCCAACCGAATGAAGAATTATTCAATGGCGCTACATCAATGATTTCTCTCATCAAGCCTTGCCTAGTGGGAATTGCATCAAGAAACACCTGTGAATGTTTCCAAAACGATTCATTTTCTTTATGCCAAAATTTTGTATCACAGTGGCCCAAACATGGCTTCGCATGCAAGAATGGTTTTCGCCATTATGCCTCATGTCTAATGCCTCATTCTTCCATGCCCGTTGATAGTGGCTGTGAGCATTGTATCGAGGCTTGACGTATGCTTAAAGTTGGATAGTATCGATATGAGCCCAATATTTTAATTCGGTCATACAATTAAATTAGTCTTGTTCAAAGATACGAATCTGCTCATCTGAAAACATTTCAACTGCCTTGAGAAAATGTGATGTTCAGAGACAAACAACTTATGCAGCATAGCACTGACTTTGGGAGGAATCTGAAGACGGATTTGAGAAATGCAGTCAGCCCAATCTTAGTCCTGTCCAACCGAAGATTATCAAAGCTTAATGCGATGAGGCCGATTTTGAGAGCTGAGGACTTAATAGATGTTGACAACTTGCAAACAATTCCTTCGAAGACTGCTCGGAGAAATGTTTGACTCCACGGGCGACTAGCCGATAGATGATATTTGGGCGGTTCCGGCGGATTAAAAGAAATAAGGATAACGTGACCATTCGACACTTGGAGTTTGACTTGTAGTAGTTGCCTGTATGTTTACTGTAAGACTATTAGATCAGAATCGGAATATACTCAGAATATAATTGGAATCATGCTTTGGCATGTGCTGGAAACACGAATCTGTATGTCCTCTCGGGATATCATTAGGATACGGTTGGTGATCACCATCACCCCAAGACATATATATTATGTTCGGGGTTACATGAGTGTTCTCTAGTAAAGTTTTGATTTTCGGACAATGATCAGTGGGCGGGAAAACAATGATAGTATTCCACAGTTGTCCCCGAATTCTCACTTTTGCCTTTACTCCGTAGTATTTTGGACCGATAAAAATATGGCCAACATACGATTTTCCTGCCTTTGCTACACAATGCATGGCCAACGCATTGCACCAGTGATCCCGTGAACTACATATTTGATGAACACTTCAATTTTCAGGTAGCCTCAGGAAGATACTAGTTCCTAGTGAATGGTAGGGCTGCGCGAATACGGATCCCAAACATAACTCGCAGATGAAAAAGAACAAAATCTTGTATGACCATTATGAGGCTAGGGGAATATAACCTGTGGTTCCGGGGAAAACATCCTATCATTCATGTAGTAAACAAGTAAATATTACACTTAGTAATACATGAATGATTCAACGAAGGATCAAGCTGTATGTAACATTTGACTTTCATTTGAAATCTAGGGCTCGAGGTTATCTTGAGCCCTGTGTCTTCTGTAGACAAGTGTAATGAGAACCCGATAAGAAATCTTATTGATGAATGGTTCACTCGAACTCGAGAGATAACGATAATGAAGTAGAATGGTTCATCACGTCGAGAACTTCCCGTGAGGGGTGTCGGAGAATATATCGTCCAATCGAGGCGATGAGACAAAACCTCGGTACGGACCTTTGCATATTGATGCCAAACACCAAAACATATCAAAATATATCTCGAAGGTTTGTTGATGTACCGGTATGCATTACTACCCTACTACCTTACTGCCCCATCCATCTGATATCGCGGGGACAATTTCTTTACCTACCTAAGTAGGCTCGGTAGAGTATTCTATTGTGAGGCTAATCGAGTTAGTATTGCCTTGCAAAAGTTTATTTTCGGGCAAACGGTATCTTTGCGTGAACATGACGATTGGGGGCGGTGATGACCTACCTCATGATTTGACGGGTTCAACTTGTACCTGGATATTGCATCAATATTCTGCAAGGTCTTTATCCTGCAGTAAGAGAGAAGTTGAAGCAAACTTATCTAGTGGTACTATTGAAATAGAAAGGGGGCGGAGTACCCTACGAATCAATAACTACTCAACGCGATACCATACCCCGGCAGAGGCTTGTATCTTCAAAGTCATAAATAACGGTTCTCTATCGTCAAAGTACTTATTCACCGAGCTGCCTGTTTACCACGATTGAACTGCGTTCAAAAGTACATTGTTCATTTCATGATCAAGGCGAACTACTTTTCCAATATCAATGCTTTTGTGGTAGAACCACTAGATAATGCTTAGAAGTGAGCGAATTAGCTTTACTACAGGGATTATAAGGTTATAAGCATTCATTATGGGGCTCTTTTGTAGATCAGAAAAGAAGAAAATACAGGCACCCAAGCCTCAATACGGGTACGGACCTTCTAATGAAACACAAAGACCACCACCGCATCCCTCGACAAGACCAAACTGGTATTATGTCGAGGAACGTCTGAATACATCGTATGGGTACCATCAAAGTCAACCAGCACCACAAGGATGGATAGTTGCTCAAATCGAACCTCCACCGCCGAGATATCAGCCTCAGCCACATACTATAATGGCGCCGCCTCCTCTCCCACCAAGACCACAACGATGTGGTGTTGCATTGATGAATTTCCGATCCGTCACAAACCTATTGGCAGAGACATCGATGAATGATTTGCCGGGTGTGGCTGCCTTCAATAATGGAGTCGCAGTCATGTCGCAACAGACTGTACATCATTATAATCAAACGACAGCTCTATACGATGCTTTATCCTCGAAACTATGCTCGGTTGTCACGTCGATTGATGAGGAAAGATTCAGTGGGGACGACAGAGATCTTACAGTGCCTCAGCATTACGATTCAGTATGGCAAGAAGAGAAGCAATTGGAGACAACAAGTCGAGACTTAACGCTGCGGAATAAAAAGTCAAAAGCCAATTTGAAGGATGGCAAATCATCTGAAACGAATTACTTCTCAAAGGTTCATGACTATGCCAACTCAAGATTACCGATGGATCTAAAGCCAATGAGATTGTAAGGTTCCAACATTCATTGAATCCAGAGTCAGAGCTAACATACTGCAGGTATTTCAATACATATCCCCTAATCTGCCTCGCATCTCTATATTCCGAACAAGTCTATTCGAAACCGACTGGGCAAGAAAAAGAAACAAGAGTGAATGCAGGAGGAAGGGCAGGAACTGTCATGAAGAGTGTACCAATTGATGATAGGGACATAATCGTGTTTGCGATACGAGGAACCACACATTCATTCACGGACTGGGCTGTCAATGTTAAAACGAAACCCACGTCGCCAGAAGGCTTCTTGGTAAGACCAAATTTGTATGATGGCTTACTTCAATGACTGATCCGTTTAATTCAGGATGACCCAGGCAACTTATGTCATTCTGGATTTTTAGGTGCTGCCAAAGACTGGATCAAACCAATTGCAGCTCGGCTCCGTAATCTCCTCCAAGAAAATCCCAATCGTACCTATTGCTCTCTACTAATTACTGGACATTCTGCCGGCGGGGCTATTGCCGCTCTATTATATTCCCACATGCTTTCGACGAGTCCCGAGGCCAAATCGGAGCTCAATGTCCTTACATCATATTTCAAGCGAATCCATTGCATCACATTCGGTGCTCCACCCATTTCCCTTCTACCATTACAGAAACCCAAAACCGAAGCTGCTTCCAAATCTATCTTCATATCCTTCGTCAACGAGGGTGATCTTGTCGCCCGAGCAGATTTTGCCTATGTGAGATCGCTACTCGATCTCTATTCCACACCCGCACCTGGAACCTCTGTTCTGCAGCCTTTAAAAACAGGTCTCAAGACCAAAAAATCCAGTAATGCATTTTCGGCCATGAAAAAGAAACATCCAAAATCAGATTCACACGTTTCTCTAGGCCCAGTGTGGCACGTTCCAGAAGCTACATTGAGTAATGCGGGAAGCATCGTGCTCCTACGAGGAGTCGATAGGTTGGGGAATGCAGAGGGATATAAGAAACTTCTGGAGCGAATGGATGATGGGGTGATTGCGCAAATCATCTCGGATGAATTGTTGAGGGGGGTTGTGTGGGGTGATCCCGTTAGTCATATGATGAAGCTTTATGCGAGGAGGATTGAAATATTGGCTACGAATGCGGTGATGGGTCGTACGTGAGTTTGGGGTGGCTAGTGCGGGATGGGATGGGACGGGTTGGGTTGGGTTTGGCGCGTTGGTTTTATACCCTTTTTATTCACGCTGTTTATGCGGGAGTTTCTTTGTGTGATGAGATACTTAACATATAATTTTCGAAATCCATTCTATTCTCATATTGCGATACCGATATCTCTGCTCTCCAAGCCTTTTCCTTTCCCCAATTTCTTCTCGTTCCGGGAAACCCCTCAGATTTGTCAATTTATCGACTTCATTATATCAGGAAGAGTGGATGGATGAAATATTATGGGATAGGATAGGATAGGATAGGATAGGATAGGTATGGTATGGTATGGTATGGTACGAAAGTAAGTTATTTGTATTGTTTTGTAAGATTATCATGTCACGATTTGTTAAATTTGAGGGAGAGGAGAGGAGATGAGAGGTGGTGTTTTGTTGAAAGACTATACGATCTTTTGTGTGGGGTTTGGAGTTTAGGGTTTTGATGGGTGTGAAGGGGATGAGTGAGAGCGAGAATGGTATTAGATGAGCAATTTAAAGGGGATGGGAGAATTCCGTATCTTGAGGCTTGATACTTGAGACTTGAGCAGAGCAGATATAAATCACAACAAGAGAGTCATACACACATATACACACACACACATACATATACACATCTTCATACTTCATTCAAACACCAACAATAATCATAGCCACCCGACAATCCCTCCTTCCCTACCCCCCCTCAAAAAAAGTAAAAGAAGACCTATAAACAACACAAACATCAGCTCGAATTCACAATATCAATTATATACCTATACATCCACAATGCAATGTCCAAACAAACAATCCTTCAGACAATTTGGTTTGGGTGTGATCATATCATATTTCGAAACATGAATCAGTTATATGATGAGAAAATATTCTTGGTCATCGTAGATTGCGATTGGGTTTTAGATGGGTGAGAAGAATGTGAGAGGGGGATTCAACTCACTAGGTATTGTTTTTGTATTGTGTTTGTGTTTGTCCTGTTTGTCCTGTTTGACGAGGTTGATGGAGAGATTTGATCTTATGTACGAGTAGAGGGATAGGATACTACTCGAGTAGGTATACCTAGGTGTATCTTTTGGATTTGGATTTGGAAGGAGTGAAGTGGAGTGGAGTGGAGTGGGGTGTGGAGATGTGGTTGAGAGTGAAGATGAATGGAAGATGGGAGTGGAAATTGTATATGAGAGATTCAAAGGAAGGAACAAACAAGGGAGAGAAGAGGAGAGGAGAGCAGAAGCCCCGCTGGTAAGAAGCATACCTAGTACCTATCTATGCATCGCCACACAGCACCGACACGATTTTTTGGGTCCACGAGAAGAGAAGATTAGATTAGATATTGGAATGTAAAACATACATAGAGCAGAGCAGAGTAGAGTAGATATCTGTATAGTTTATTATTCGCTATTCTTTGTTCGTCTCTGTTTTATTCCCTTACTCTTGAATGATCTAACAACCTTACTTTCCATACGGCCTGGAGATATCTCGTGCTCATACCATAAGATACACCTCCAGCTATAGTTTTACTCAGCAATATCTCGCTCTCCGAGTCGACATTCGCAGTTGCTTGTTGCTGATTTGCCAGCGAATTTTGAAGAGTATATGAAATACCCACACTGTGTTTGTGTCATAATATCCTCCATGTACATCCATCTCCGAATTATAAAATTTAGAACAGAAAAACCTGAAATACATCCCAAGCCCCAGAATACATACCATCTAAGACCACCGATAATGATTATTTCTACACATACATACCTGTACAAAACTTAACACAATAATATTCTCATCGTTCCCATATATATGTGCTCAATATCCACTCTTCAACCTTTTAAGATCCTTCTGTATCAATAATAAATCCCCCCAGATTCCCACCTCTCCACATCCACCTGATACAACGAGTTAAAAAACCACGCACTGCAAAAGCACCACGGGGCAGATACATTTTTATTCCAGACAGGCCAAGATCAAATATTCGCAGCGTTCGCAGGACAAGTGAACGAGTACCGTATCTCAATGCAGTCTTAGTAAAGACAATACATCTATCTATATTGAAAATAATACTTGAAAGAAAAGGGTAGCTCTAGCATATACTCGAGTATTCTATTCTTCAAGTTTAAGAAACCCATTTTTTCCTCATATCGAAATGAGGACAGGATGGGAGTTTTGAAACGCTGATTGTCTCGGAATCTTTCAAGGCTACTTGCGGTTCTGCCTCTGTAGTTTCTTTCTTCGGAGTGTCGTCCGCTAGCGAGACTGTTTCGGTGATCTCCTTAGATGAATCCGATGAGATAATGGTCTTCGAATCCTCCTTGTTTTTAGTTTCCGTTGCAACAACTGGAGGTATAGAGTCGATTCCAGTGGCATTAAATTTCGAATTTCCATCTTCCCCGTCGTTTTCCTTCTTCTTAGCATTATCGTCATCCCCACCATCTTCAACATCACCATCAGTTCCCGCCTCATTTTCCTCTTTTGGTGCAATAACTTCTTCTTCCATACCCTCCTCGCAAACCTTAAGAACCAATCCTTCATCCTTGCTATACACCCTGAATCCAACAATACAAACCGCATTCCACGGCTCTGGCTCATCATCTTCATCATCATCCCTTTCTTTTGGTGGTTTTGGTTCATTGGGCGGGTTTCGCGGCTTGAGAGTTGGATCATCGTCGCTATACATATCGTAATCAGAAATGGGACTTGCGCTTGACTCGCCTTCAGAAGTGACATATGGCCCTGGTCTTTGAGGAGGAGGTCCACGACCATAGTTTGGCGAATTGGTTGAACCTCTGCGGTGGCCATGATAACCTGAAGGTGGGGGCGATAATTCATGGTGACTTTCAGGAATCATCGTAAATGGCGAGTGAGGAGAGGAACCATTGCTTTTGGGAGTCATAGGAGTTGCTTGAGATTCGTTACAAGATGGTGTTAAATCCTCCGTTTGGACTGCTTTGTCCCTCTCATTTAGGGTTTGTGTATCTTCCACGATGCTCATCGAATCCTGAGGAGGGTCTTCGGTTTGCATTGACTTGTCTTGTTTCTCAACTTGAACTTCTGCGATATCTTCCGTCTGAACACCTTGATCCTTTGGCTTGCGTGCTTTTTTATTCTTTGCTTCTTCAGCATCCTTTGCTTCTTTACCTTCACGCTTCTCACGATTCTTTTTATCTTGTTTCCTCACTATCTCTCGAGTGCTGTGTCTCTTCTCCCATAGAACTCTCCGTTGTGCAATCCTTGACTCTCGAGCTTTGGCCTTATCTCTCACTTTTCTGAACTGTACTCTTGCCTGCATGTGGGACAATCCTTTGGTATGAGCCAAATCATAGGCGGTCCCAACTTGAGCCAATTTCTCGTTATCTTCCTTGCGACGCAATTCATCCCTCACAACATCCTCAACGCTCGGACGACCTTTATCCCTTTCGGCTATAACCATCATGAACAATGAGTAAGATCCGGCTGGGAGGCTTTTCAGTTCAGTAACCACACTTCTGTTCATGAGATAATTCCCATGGCTTCGTACAACATAATCTTCCTCGTCAGGCGAGTCAATCTCATGAAGCCGAAACTGTAATCTGAAGGTGTATTGACCATGTAGACCCATGAAATACCTATCATCGAGTTGACTCATAACCAGTACTATCGGTGATTCATTTTTAAGTATTATCATAAACTTCTGTTCAAATTCAGACCTCCAAGGAACATCTACACTGATCCATTCCTGCGTCAACCGCCAATCGGGACTGTCCATGAATAACCGTGTGCGATTGAAGTGTTGATATTTTCGTAGTAAATCCTGATATGAAATCCAGAATACACTATCGTTTCCAAATTTATGGTTGAGCTCTTTCTGAGCTTCAGGAGTGAATTCCTTACTTCCATCTGACCATGGACCTTCCCAGTTACCCTTTTTTATGTTGCCCCAAGGATTCCTTTACATAAAGTTGTCAGTGATGCCGATCAAGTCCATGTGAGAAACAAACCTTAATTTGAGGAGGCGCTCGCCTGTCGACAACTCTCTAGCCTCCATAATAACATACGCATGACCTACGGATATACCATCTCTACTGCCATAACCACCATCGAGATGACCCGTGGAACAACCAAAGACGAATTCTTTGTTGACCTTAAGTATCTCATTATGCCAAAACTCATCAGTATCGAGAATATCTGAAGTGAGAAGTTCCGTAGTTACGCCTCCCGTTAAATCTTCAACGCCCTCCCTATGAAAAGTTAGTTGATGCTTAAGATGATAGAAGTAGAATTACCCCATCCATCCTCCGCTCAACGAATGAAAGTCCCCATGTGCTTTAGCATACGCCTTTTCGAGAAGAGGAAGCCATGTTTGATTTGGATCTTTGCAACGCGCGAAGAACAATGATTGAGACCCCGTTTGGTATGTTTTTCGATACTCTTTCTCGACGTCCTCACGATCCGTCTGCTCGAGTAATTCCCTGTGAACTGAGGGTGAATCCCAATCTGGTGATTTAAGGTAGAGTTTATCATCGATAATTGATATGATCCATTCACCGTCTAGTCCTGATTAGTAAATGAATGATACATTATGGCTTGACATTGTAATTTACCTCGATGAAACACGAAGCCATATATCCCAATTTCTGAAAGTACAATGTTAGGCCTAACCACAGTAAATGAGGTTTTCGATACTGACTAGTGTCCCATTCCACACATATCCTCTGAATGCCGTCCTCCATATTTGCTAATGCGGTCAAACTTCCCACCAACCAACAATTTGCAAGAGAGCCTTGTCTAACATCGGAAGGAGAAATTTTGTCTTCCAAAAATGTGGGTTTATCGAATATTTCGTGAACTCTCTTCACAGCCTTTGGCCCGCAGGACGTAGGGTTTACAATAGAGTGTTTGCAAACCTCAAATCTGGTTTCTCCAAGTGTATTCAAACAATTTCCTTTCTCCCATTTCAAGTCCCAGTCCACGTCGAAGCTTGGATCGCGATACCGCATATTAACTCTCCTACACTCCTTCACAAGTTTCTTGACCTTGGCTTTGCATTCTTGAACCGCTCTTTCGAAGTCGTTGGAAACAAGTTGATTCTGCGGTCCAGGTGAAGGGACAATAACCGTCTTCGCGGATGTGCCTCTTGCAAATGGTGCCGCATTTGGTAAAACTTTTGTAGCTTTGCTAAATTTCGATACGGAGAATCGAGACCATAGCTTATCGATCGTGTCTTGAGGGGCTACATATTTCTTCTTCTTTCTCGTTGACTTATTCTTGTTCGCTTGAAAAGCTGGAGGTGGTGGTGGACCTAGTCTACGTCGTCTTTTACTGTCGTCGGAATCACTTGAAGAAGTTGCAGATGACATCATGATCCCTTGATGGTTCCCAACTGTCTGCCAATGTCGAGATGAAAGAAAAGAGATGAAGCAAAAATCGACAAAAGCTATCAAATACCTTCTAAATCAGTGTGCTCTGATGATGGGCAAAGTGCAGCCTTGCGAATTCAGCTCAATCAGCTTACCGCATAGAGTAGGTAGACACTTGCCCGGACTCTTACTGTCGCCTCCACCGAAGAATGGCTCCTGTCGAACCATTTGTTCGGAAGAGAAGAGGTGCATAAGTTGGCTGCCGATAAGGAATTTTCCGTTGCTTGCTTATTTTTCAGCCGCAAAGCTTTGGAGCAGAAATGATATCCATTCGATATAGCTGCCTTGCAATAGAATGATGCATGAGCAGGATACATGTTCACTGATGGCAATTCCATATCAATATTGGTTGATTATTTGGTACAATTCATTTGAATGGATTCCAAAATGCTGAAGATTTAGCTGGAAGTCAAGAGCCTGGAGGTTACAGTATGCACAGACCTTTGTACGCTAGAGTATTACTTAAGCCATCTCCTTGATAACTTTCAATACAATAGGAACAATTAGCATTGCAATAAGCCTCATTTCGGACCGTATCTCTACAATTTTTCATCATATATACTCGAGTTATATCTTTATACACAATCTAAAGCACACCTGCAATAGCGATCCTATCTAGGCAAAAGTCTGCTATGAATCAAGCCCATACCCGTAAGAACCCCTTCATTTTCTTAGTAAGCGTCCAATGAATGGTACATTTAGAAATCAAGTTCCTCGCCTCCCCTATTATTAGATGATGATTACCTAGGTATTCATTCACTCGAATACAACACTTAAAATTCGATAATGACAAGCCAAACAAATTGCCTGGCATCTACTCAGGTACACTACCGGTTGTGCTCGCCCAACCTGCCATGCAAAGATTCAATACAGTGCTACCAAGGTATCTTAAAGAGAAAGCACAAAGTAAGCAAGCATCCGTTCGCCAAAACATCGGAAGACCAAATTCGGTATCTCGGTTTAATTCAGAACCGCGTTTGGTGGGGGTACAAGCATTGTTTGTTGAACCCCCTCGAAATGTTTCCAAGCTTCACTGTGTATGCGGCTTCATATCATCTCCTCATTTCCCCTTGCATGGTTTCTTATTTCCACTGATCTCTAGTCTTCAATATAGGTAGGTACCTTAGGAGGATACCACAGGGCTTGAAGTATTTCTATTACTCAAGTACTGGTACTCGTATTCTCTCGACTAAGTTACCTCATCCTACTTCCTACCTGTACCTAATCCTCAAAATGCCCGATCCCGGACTTGGTCTATGTAACCATAATCGTCTTAGTGTTGTGAATCCACCGCGGGGTACAATAATGAGCTGTTATTGATCCGATTGTCAATCGAATGTGGTGCACAGGCTAAACCCGCCAATTCGTCCACCACACTACAGCAAGAATCTTAAGTACCTATCATTGCATCGTGCATGCTTTCAAGTCCTGCAAGCTGTCACTACGGCAATGCATAGCAGTCAAACCTAGTGAACCACCAGCCAAAGATCAGACCTCTCATAGTTCCCCACAAATCCAGAAAGCTACTCCGCATATACAATCAAGTTCTTCCTTGTTGTATCGTTCCTACTTATAATACCTCATTCCCTAGAACATTTCTTGGTTCATTCGTTATTCAATTCGCTTTCTAGATACTCTTTTGTCGATAGACATACCTACATCAACACTTCTGTTACTCTCAAACATCACCATCTCTTCGAAAGAATATCACAAATTACCATTTAGTCCATCATGGAGCCCTCAAACTACGAACATATACCAGACAAGCCAAGATATATTGACTTTCCTCATCTAGAACATGGCACTGTTATAGATGGAAAGCTGGCCTTAAATCGATGGTCTCATACAATTACAAATGGACATGACTTTCCAGGAGCGCAGGTTAGAATGAAAATCTCAATGGAAGAGTACATATACTAATTCTGTTATTAGGCAATGCTCTACGCGGCAGGAGTGCCAAATCGAGAAATGATGAAATCTGCACCTCACGTTGGAATATCCACTGTATGGTGGGAAGGAAATCCATGCAAGTATGTTCTCTATCTACAATCTACTACGAAGACGATAATGAAATGAGCTGATTAAGTGTTGTAGTATGCATCGTAAGTGACACAAGATAAGGAGAACTTTTTAGACCTACGATTTAACGAATGTATGTAGTACACGACCTCGGGAAGCTTGTCAAAGAATCAGTACAGAAACAGGGTATGCTTGGATGGCAATTTAACACTGTGGGAGTTAGTGATGCAATTACTATGGGTGGAGAAGGTTTGTAACACGCTCCAATATTCTATCGGAATTGTATTTAACACACATCAGGCATGAGATTTTCTTTACAGACTCGAGAGATTATCGCAGATTCTATTGAGACTGTCACGTGTGCTCAACATCATGATGCCAACATCTCAATTCCTGGTTGTGATAAGAATATGCCAGGAGTAAGTATGATCTGGTGGTAGACAGAATGCCCATGTTTATTCAGACATATAAAAAGCTAGCTTTAACATTGAGATAGGTCATTATGGCTGCTGCGCGTCACAATAGACCATTCGTAATGATTTATGGAGGTCAGTCTACAAGCTACTGGTCATTCCTGAATTCTGACTTTCTCCAGGTTCAATCAAAAAGGGCTATTCCAAGTTAATGAAAAAGGAAATCAATATTAGTAGTTGTTATGAAGCAAGGTAAGCAGATGTGTTTCTATCCTCATCCATTCAACACAATTTTAACATGCCGGTGTCAATTAGTGGCGCATTTGCTTATGATAAACTTCACGCTGCTGTGGAAGGTGCAACTCCAAGCGATGTCATGGTAAGATCACGGCAACTTATAAGTGTGATTTTTGTTATTAATGAAACTTCAGGAAGATTATGAGCAAAACGCTTGCCCTGGTGCTGGTGCTTGTGGTGGAATGTATACAGCGAATACTATGTCAACCGCAATCGAAGCCATGGGACTATGTCTTCCAGGATCCTCTTCAAATCCGGCCGAGTCACCGGCTAAGATGAGAGAATGTGTGAAAGCAGCAGAAGCAATTAAGATTTGTATGGAGAAGAATATTCGACCACGAGATCTGTTAACGAAAGAATCTTTCGAGAATGCTTTGGTCATTACAATGGTCCTTGGAGGAAGTACTAATGCTACACTTCATTTCCTCGCAATGGCTGGTACAGCTGAAGTACCTCTCACTATTGATGATATTCAACGAGTGAGCGATAAGATCCCATTTTTGGCAGATTTACAACCTTCTGGAAGATTCTGTATGGAGGATCTCTATGATATTGGTGGAACTCCAGCCGTCATTAAGCTTCTCATCGCAGCGGGATTAATGAATGGTGATATTCCAACTGTCACAGGAAAGACTTTGAGGGAAAATGTTGAGAGCTGGCCATCATTACCACAAGAGCAGACCCTCATCAGACCATTGAGCAATCCCATTAAGCAGACTGGTCATTTACAAATTCTTCGTGGAAATATCTCGCCTGGTGGAGCAGTTGCAAAGATCACAGGAAAAGAAGGTCTGGTATTCACGGGAAAGGCAATGGTTTTCGATAAGGAACATGAACTTGATCATGCATTGAATAAGGGTCAGATTCCCGATGGAGAGAATCTCGTCTTGATTGTGAGATATGAGGGACCTAAGGGAGGGCCGTAAGTTATCCTATGGAAAATTATGCGTAGAAAGTGTCTAGGTGCTTTCACACCTTTCGGACAATTGGTAGCTGACTTCTATACAGTGGTATGCCAGAACAATTGAAAGCTAGTGCAGCTATCATGGGTGCCGGTCTCAAGAATGTTGCCCTCGTTACTGACGGTCGATATTCTGGTGCTAGTCACGGATTCATTGTAGGACAGTAAGTTTTCCCATCCTATATTCCTGAAATTCTTTGACTCAATTGCCATCCGTCACGAGGCCCGACTTTCTATACAAATACCGTGCTGATCAAACATAGCGTTGTTCCCGAAGCAGCAGTCGGAGGTCCTATCGCAGTAGTGAGAAATGGCGATATAGTCACCATATCCGCGAAGACTAATACTTTAAGCATGGATGTATCTGATGAAGAAATTGCGGAAAGACTCAAGTCTTGGAAAGCCCCTAAGAGTGCAGTTAATAGAGGCGTTTTGGCAAAATATGCTAGATTGGTGGGAGATGCATCTCATGGAGCTATGACGGATTTGTTTTAAGGAGAGACGAGGAGGACAAAATGTTTAGTTAAGAGGTAGAGTGGTAGATGAGGGTTTTATCGTTGTGAAGAATGAATGAATTCTAGATTTCATATACAGTACTCGTATTGATCTACTACTTATTGTCAGAGTGATACTCGAGTAGTGTTACACATATTGAAAGTCATCAGAAAAGTCCCCGTGATACAACAGTTTCTGGTTAGAGTGACCAGCTAGATTGATATAGAAAGTTTTTCTTCTTCTTCTTCTTCTTCTTATAATTCTCACAATCTCCCCCTGAGCCCGTTACACATTAGGAATTGAAAATCATGAAAATACCGCATCTAATAGTGTTTAGAAAATACTCATACTGTAGAGTTGTGTCGAGCGGGTGAAGTTCGGCAATAGAGAAGCTTTTTGATGACGTTCTAGACATCCGAGCTCTCAAGCTTTCAAGCTTCAAGCCTTCATTTCATCCCATTACAACCACACTCATAATCACAACCACGATAACTTCAGCATCGACGCTCTAGTATCGAAATCCACAGATACGATAAGCTTCAAAGATATAACAAATAATTTCGCTAGAGAAAATACCGGTATCATGTCTCACCTCCGAAGCACCTCTTTTCTCCGCCCCCGCCTCTTAGTCCACTCCCCGCGCTCAAATCTCTCATCGAGCTGTGCGAGTATGAAATATATCTCGAGGGAATCCAATCATCTAAGATCTGCATACACATATACATGCGCAACACCATCATCCTCCCAATCTCGCTCAATTCACATCCAGCATTCCCAATCCCGCACCTCTCTACAAAAACGCCCCTCCATCCCCATCTCCCCCAATCCCCAACCCTCCTCTCCCTACTCTTCAAATACATATTCGCACGCCCCCAAAACCCACGACCGAGGACCTGAATCGGAAGAAACCACACAAACAAATTTCGAGACTCTAGATGTGCTGGGTAATACGCCGAGTCCGAGTACGAGTATCGATGCGTGTTTGAGTGATGGGTTTCATTTGAATAGTGGGGTGAAGGTGGGTGGAGATGGGGTGTTTGTTAAGGGGAAAGGATGGATGAGGGGGAGTGGTGTGCTGCTTGTTGGGGGGGAGGCTTTTGGTTGGAGACCTTGGGTGGGTGAGGGAGAAGGGGAGGGTGAAAAGGGATTGGTTAATGAGAAGGGTCAGTTTGAGGTGGGGGATGAGGCTTGGGGTGTGTTGGGGTGTGTTTGGCCGAGGCCTGGTATGTTATCCATTTTTTTTGCTTTATTCGGAATTGTCCTTGAATCAACAATCTCTCAGATAACACAAGTACTAATACAATACTCAACCCAACAGATCTCCTAGTCCTAGGCCTAGGCAAAGAAATGCGACCCATCTCCCCGAAAACCCGCGCGTTTATCAATGGATTGGGGATCCGAATCGAAATAGCAGATACGAGGAACGCGGCTGCGCAATTCAATTTGTTGGCGACGGAGAGGGGGGTGGGAACTGTGGCGGCGGCTCTGGTACCGATTGGACGGTAGATATGTGAAAGGTGTGTGGGTTTTTGAAGAGGGATATGCAACGTTGTGCTGAGAGCGGGTTCACGAAATATCATATGAGGGGGACCTACGGAGGGGTTCATGGGAATGGAATGGGGGTATTCTATACGATACATGATATGGCACGAGTATGTTGTATGATACATTCATGATTGTAAATAGATTTGTAGTATGAGTCCTGTACGATTGTATGTATGTATATATGAAAATCCCCAAGCTCGGTAATATAGACAATATATATAGATATCGATATAGTGATAGATAGATATAGGGGTAGTACTGATGATGTGGTGGTGTATAACAGCGCAGTGATATCAGTATTAGTTAGTATTAATATATTTATATTTCGAAACAGAACTTCTAAAACGAGTCCACCTCATCTCATTATACTAACTAGTATTATATTACATCATACTCGAGTATTACATACTCGTACTCGTACTCGTACTCGTACAAGCAAATGGAAATCAAGCAGGAGAAATATCTATCTATCTATCTATATACACAACTCGAGTATTTGGTATAGATAGATAGATAGATAGATATATGATCTGATCTTACGATATATGTATATGTAAAGTAAGAATATATGAATACATCAGTATTCAACTACTCGTATTCGTATCTCAATCATGCATGTTTTGTTTAGAATCTGGGTTTGGGTTTGGGTTTGGGCTTGGGTTTAGCTTGGGTTGATGGGGTTAGTGGGATTGATTCGTATACTGAGGTACGAGTAGTGTGTTCTAGGTTTGTTCTAGGCTCATATCTTTATTTTTATGTTTGTGTTCATGTTTGTGTTTATGTAGGGTAGAAATAGAAACGAGAAATGAGAATAAGACAATTGAGATGATGATGTTGTCACGGTCTAATCTAACTTATCCTGTGGATTTTTTTTGATGTCATATGTGATGTTGCGTCATGTCATGCATGATATGATACCGGTGGTTGTTTCATGGAAATCGATACCGTATCATGCATGATCTAGAAGGGTATGTTGTCGCCCGGAGATAAGTGAAGGAGAGGTGGGGGTGTAGAAGATGGAGATATAATGGTCGCAGGTTTGTTCTTCATGTGTTCGCAATTTGGAAATTGGAGGTTGACGTTGGTTCAGCGCTTGCTGCCGGTGTTGGGTGGAATGGGTGGGAAAATAAATGGGATGATAAGAGTATGAATGTCTTGTCTCCGAATTTGACATTATCGAGTATTCGTCTGGTATTCTGGAAATGCTATTGTAGATATATATATGATATTTTTCAGTGAGTATTCAGAGTGAGGCAAAAAGGGTCACAGTACTAAAGCTAGATTTCCAAGGGCTTTTATATAGCTATCTCAGGAAATTTCTGTAGATGTGCAACAAAACATGGCTAGAAGAATTCAAATCCGTATATTTGAACTCAATATTCTCGAGTATCCGTCCGATAGATTGAGACAAGTATTGTAGATATATAATATGAAATATCTCAGTATCTAGAATGAGGCAAAGAGAACTGCAGTGTTGAACCTAGTTTTTCAAGGGCTTTCATTTGGAGATCTCAGAAAATTGTTGTAGATATGCAACAAAAGTATTTGGAAGATATCCAATCTGTAGTTTTGAATAAAACACTCTCGAGTATCCGTCCGATAGATTGAGACGATTATTGTAGATATAAATTGTTGAAATATCTCAGCGAGTATTTAGAATGAGGCAAAGAGAACTGCAGTGTTGAAGCTGGGTTTGTAAAGAGCTACGTTTTATATCAAAATTGACTCTGAAATGAATAGATATGCAATCCGTAACCCGCAACCCGCAACCCGCAGTCTGCCCAGCATCTTGTCTACCACTGCACCTGCAGCATAGTGGTATCAGTCGTACAGTCCTTTGTAAAGCTGAGATCTGGAGGATAAATATATAAAATGTAGAAATATCAAGGACAATAGGTATGTTCATTAACATGAAGAACACCGGCAATGGCAAACTTACCTCCCGAGCTTATAGCTCTCCTCAGACATAATTGTAGTATACCGATAGTATATTTCATGAGATGATGCTAAGGCTTACACTTGTATAACCACTCCGACTATTCTAATCTCGAATTCCACAGCATTTGGACATCGGAAATAAAATCGTACCCACTTAGGTTACAAGTAGCACTCGATCGATCTCTCGAACTTGAGAATCGGAGATCAGAAACAAAATGTAGTTGAGTGATAAGGTTACTCCCGCGATTTGTTCTTCGTATCTGGTACGATGGGATCTTTATCATCCAGCTCTAGCCCCATGTAGTCTGAGCTTCAAGCCAACGGAGGCAATAGAAGCTTTTGAGGTGACCATTGGTGGATGTCATCTCCCGTGAAGTCGAGCATTTTAGCTAGATCGTCTTGTGGATCTTGTACAAAGAAAATCCGTCTGTATGGCCTGATTATTTGGAAGCGTGAAGGTGTATGAGGGGGACGAGTCAGAAATTTGAGGTATATCAAACTAGACGAATAACAGATATGTTACCAGTGGTAGACATTGAACTGTATGCCTATGATTGATGTATTAGTTGTGCCTTTTATCAATTTGGCATACTGATTTCTTCAATCTTTTCGTTTGGTGAACAATAATGTATGCACATGCCGATAGCAATGTATTGAAAAGCAGCAATGAGGAAAATGAAGCAAATTGATAATTTTTCATTTGTTGATACTAAAAATTTCAATTAGCCAATATGTTAAGTTCTATTTTACCGGCAGATTGGCCTTGCTATTTGATAGGTCCCACGGTACATGTGCCGTGGTTGCTTTTGCCTTTTTAGTGCTGTTCATGCGTTGTTGTGTTTCCCTCTGGTTACACAGCATGATCTGTTCTGTGATCCATGTACAAGTATATATATTCAATGAGAATCATATCGGTGGCGGTAGACTGACCGAGAGAATAAACCGAAAAAAGGTGGTTGATGAAGATCTAGCAATACTATGTATCACGATATCGTTGCATGAGGTTAATAGAAATCCACAGACCGGGTTGGTGGCAGCATACCCGTTTGATAAGTTGTACAAGTATTCAAGCCGTGTACGACAATGATGATTTGATGGATTGATGGAAGTCTCTGTCTATTTGTCCATCGTAACCAGTCGCAGAGATTTTCCTTCATATGTCATGTCCTACGATATTGATATTGATATTGATATTGAGGCGTCAAGTAGGCATAAACGATACCAATTCGGACATTTTTGTTCTAATATACTTCCGTAGGTGAGGGGTTCATGGATCTGATACATGGAGGGGAATAAGGCAAAGTGATGGGTAGGCAAGGATTCAAAGAAGATGAGACGACCATAACCGATCAAGGGTTCAACCAATAGGGTTAAAGAAAAGAGTTAATACCCACCCATTTCGGGGATAAGTCAAGAAAATAATGATAATGATATGGGCGGTGGACTGCGGTGAATACTGTGGTTGTTGGCGCTATTGATGGCTGACGGTAGATGGTAAATGCTACATGATACATAATAGACTGTCGATGGCGATGGGTTGATAAACGACAGAAATGAAATACCGGTACTGTATTTGTTACTGGTAAATAAAGGAATCACGAAATTGAAACAAAATGAAACGGTATATACAAACTCATAATACTGTAATCCAGTCAATAAATAACTGTAATCCAGTCCAATCCAATCTTTTCCATCCCCCTCCCATTCCCATCTCATCGAATTGTTTTGTTGGGGAAAACATCGTCATTTTATTCTTGGTGGTGGTGTTAAGTATCTCTCCTCTCCCCTCTCCCCCCTACCTTTTCAAACTTTCTTTGAAGTTTACCTGTCTCGAAGGCTTCCCATCTCAATCCAAGACAATATCAACCACGCGTCCTACCTGGCTGGCTGAATGACTTGTTCTGCATCCGCCCAATGCTCAATTCGACAGCGTTTGACAAGACCAACAAATTTAATTCTATTACTACATAGACAACAAATTCTCCTTCCTTCATCTTCACAACCACAAAGACCAACAATCATTTCTTCTACAAGACATCATCTGCGAGTACAACCACAAGCTCATTCACAACCACAATCAACATCAACATCATCACCATCTCACAATCCATACGGTTTAGAACGGAAACCTCCCATCTTCCTATCATCTTTCGCACAGACCTTGGAATTATATCCATTATTCACTGGATCGAAATCTAAGATCAGACTAGGCGGGGCCAAACAGCACCATTACTCTCATTCACCCTTCGCAGATCGCCACAAGAAGTTAAGACTCCAAAATACCACTTCTTGTTCTTTACAATCATTAAACTTCCCTTCACTCCACTCACGGTCCTCTTCGACCCTTACCAAAATCATGGCGAATCTACCACAACCACAGAGCACAATAGCTCCGGACAGTCCTTTGAGAGAACAGAGAGAACATCATAGGCTCGTTGAGAGACTCACCGATCGACTCGAAACCCCCAGTCTAGATGATCGTTCGTATCGAGTTATTAAACTCCCCAATCAACTAGAGGTATTGCTCGTTCATGATGCCGAAACAGACAAAGCCTCAGCCGCTATGGATGTCAATGTGGGGAATTTCAGTGACCCTGAAGATTTCCCTGGTATGGCGCATGCTGTAGAGGTAAAGATGAAGCTTTCCGATGCTTATGGAAATATGATGCTGACATATACTTTCTTTCTAGCATCTGCTTTTCATGGGAACTAAAAAGGTATTGCATACCCTTTGTCTGGAGATTTGGCGCACTTTCGCACAACTTCCACATTGATTGATGATGAAGACTGACAATTTTGAATAGTATCCTGTAGAAAATGCTTATTCACAATACCTTTCTTCGCATTCCGGAAGTTCCAATGCGTACACCGGTGCCACATCTACAAATTATTACTTTGAGGTTGCTGCAAAATCGGGGGAGGATGGAGACTCAGAAGATGCGAACCTCTCGCCCTTGTATGGTGCTCTGGACCGATTCGCGCAATTTTTCATAGACCCTCTCTTTCTCGATTCGACTTTGGACCGAGAATTAAAGGCTGTGGACTCAGAGAACAAGAAGAATCTGCAAAGTGATCAATGGAGATTGCATCAACTGGATAAATCATTATCGAATCCAAAGCATCCTTATTGCCATTTTTCGACAGGAAATCTAGAGGTTTTGAAGATCCAGCCAGAATCGCGGGGAATAAATGTTCGAGAAAAGTTCATGGAATTCCATGAGAAACACTATTCTGCGAATCGTATGAAGCTCGTGATATTGGGAGGGGAGCCATTAGATAAGTTGGAATCATGGGCGGCTGATCTTTTCGCCGGAGTACGAAACAAAGATTTGCCACAAAATCGTTGGGAGGATGAGCAGCCTTACGGTCCAGAACAACTTTCCACTCAATGTTTCGCGAAACCGGTAATGGATTCCCGAACTTTGGACATTTCCATCCCCTTCATTGACGAAGAATTACTTTTCGAATCACAACCGAGTCGATATTTGACACATCTTATTGGCCATGAAGGACCAGGCAGTATTATGGCTTACATCAAGTCAAAGGGATGGGCGAATGCTTTAAGTGCAGGTCAGTTTGAACATTCTATGAAGAGGGGCTGGCCATGGCAATTTCGGCTCCTCCCACACACCCCTCCCACACACCTCGAATATTTACTAAGATTTTTTTTAGGTGTCTATGAAATATGTCCGGGAACACCTGGCTTGTTCAGTTGCCAAATACGTTTGACGGAAGATGGACTGAAGAACTACAAGGAAGTTGTCAAAGTCTTCTTCCAGTACATTGCACTTCTCAAAGACACACCACCGCAAGAATGGATCTTTGATGAACAGAAGGGATTGGCCGATGTTGATTTCAAATTCAAGCAAAAGACTCCAGCCAGCAGATTCACCAGCAAAATCAGTGCCGTCATGCAAACTCCATTACCCCGAGAATGGTTACTCAGTGGCCATAGCAGACTTCGAAAGTTCGATGGAGAAAGAATATCTGCCGGACTTGATTGCTTAAGAGCTGACAATTTCCGCATGGCAATTTCTTCACAAACTTTCCCGGGTGGTTGGGATTCAAAGGAAAAGTGGTATGGTACCGAGTACAAATACGAGAAGATTCCGGCGGATTTCTTGGAAGAGATCAAGAAGGCGGCTTCCAGCAAGAAAGGGGAAAGATTCCCAGAATTACATCTACCCCACGTAAATCAGTTCATTCCAACCAAACTCGAGGTTGAAAAGAAGGAAGTTCAGACCCCTGCTATTTCTCCAAAGTTGATCAGAAATGATGACTCGGTAAGGACTTGGTTCAAGAAAGGTTAGTGAATCCTCTCCGTCGCCAGTGAATATTGAACTGATTCTTTATAGATGATACTTTCTGGGTTCCAAAAGCAAATCTATTTATGCAATGCAGAAATCCTTTGCCAATGGCTACGGCAGAAAACTCTCTCAAAGCAAGAATGTACACCGATCTGGTTTATGACGCACTAGAAGATTACGCCTACGATGCTGAGCTTGCAGGACTGGAATACTCTGTATCTAGTCATTCAATGGGTTTGGAGATTAGTGTTTCCGGATATAATGATAAGCTCCCCGTTCTTCTTGAGAAGGTTTTGACTACCATGAGAGATCTCGAGGTTAAAGAGGATCGATTTGAGATAATCAAGGAGCGATTGACAAGGGGTCTTAAGAACTGGGACTTTCAACAACCCTACAATCAAGTCGGTGACTACATGAGATGGCTCAGCAGCGAGAAGGGCTATATCAATGAGCAATACTTGGCCGAACTTTCACATGTTACTGTGGCCGACATTCAACAATTCTACCCGCATTTGTTAAGACAGATGCACATTGAAACTTTTGTACATGGAAACTTGTACAAGGAGGATGCTTTGAAATTGGCCGATTTGACGGAAAGTATTCTGAAGCCAAGAGTATTACCTCAAACTCAATGGCCAATCGGTAGAGCTTTAGTCTTTCCACCTGGTGCTAATTTCGTTTACCACAAGACCTTGAAAGATCCGGCTAACGTCAATCACTGCATCGAATACGTTTTGTCAATTGGAGACAAGGCTGTGCGACCTCAACGAGCCAAGGCCCTCCTTCTCGATCAGATGACCCATGAACCGGCATTTGATCAATTACGAACAAAGGAGCAGTTGGGTTACGTTGTATTCAGTGGTTGCTCAACAACAACGACCACCATCGCTTATAGATTCATCATTCAGAGCGAGAAGACTCCCCAATATCTTGAAGAGCGAATCGATTCTTTCTTGGTTGGATATGCAGAAATTCTCAAAAACATGTCAGATTCTGAATTTGAAGGACACAAGCGAAGTTTGGTCACGAAACGATTAGAGAAGTTGAAGAATTTGGATCAAGAATCAAACCGTTTGTGGTCTCATATTGACTATGAGTACTTTGACTTCGAGCTTGGTAAGTGATATCCTTTTGAGTATTATGAGATGATAAACTAACATGACCAAAGTCCATCACGACGCTGCCAATGTCAAGGCACTCACAAAAGAAGACATGGTACAATTTTACGATCAATTCATCCTTCCATCTTCTCCACTTCGCTCCAAACTCGCCATTCACCTCATCGCTCAAGGAATCTCTTTACCAGAAGAGAAACCAGAAGAGCAAACTGTTCTTGCAGTCAACAAAGATCGTAAAGATGCTGAAGATGGAGAAGCTGTCGCAGTCAAAGTTGAAGGCAATGGTACTGTACCATATGTTATCACAGATGTGCGACAATTCAAGAGTATGTTGCAGGTAACTGCGGGACCACAACCAGTCAAACATATTAGTGAGTTTGAGGAGTTGGATTCAAAGTTATAAATAGGGGGAGAGAAAGGGGTATGAAGGATAGAATATCAGAAAACCGCATTTTGGCGGATGTACTGGCGCAATAAATGCGCTTGGGCTTAAATAAATACTGGATTGGATTGGATTGGACTGGACTGGACTGGCTTGGATGGGAATTGAAATGACGCTTAAGGAAACAGTCAAGGGGGAAAGAAAGAAAGAAAGATGGAGGTGGTAGATAGATAGTAGGCGGCACTGGTTTGGTCTGGTCTGGTCTGGTACATGGTCTTCTGATCTGGTCTGGTATAGTAGATAGATACCCGTGAGTTTATCAATGAATGCGATGAGTTAGATTATGTTTTTGATTGCATGATTAGGAGCATGATGTGACATGTAAGTTGAGTTGTGAATGTGTGTGTAATTATTGATAATTGATAATTGATAATTAGTATTCAAAGGTTCATGTTATTTTATTCCGTTAATCTACTCGAGTAACAGAGTACAAGTATTTTGAAAATTTACCGAGAAAGTTTCAGGGGTGGGATTGTGGAAGGGTGGGTGGGGCTGAGGAAGGAGGGGTATTGGTGGTGGATGTGGTGGATAATGGATTTGATTTGGGAGTTTGGGAAGATGAGAGGTGGGAGGTGAAGGGGATGGGAGAGGTGAGAGGTGAGAGATGGATGGGAGATGGACGAGAGAAGGGAGATGGGATGGGGACTTTAGAGAGGTAGGTGGGTGAAGGTGGAGTGTACTTGTGGTGTTGATGGTTGTGATGGTGGTTAATGGTGGTTGTAATGGTAGTTGTTATAATGGTTGTGTATGGGTATGTACTCGAGTACCGGTACGTGGATGAAAAGAAAAAACAAAATGGGATGTAAAGAAATGTAATGAAAGAGATTAAAGAGATTAATTTAGATTGATTGATTGATTGATTGTTTCAATGGCTAATTGCTGGCTGATGGAAAAGGGGGGGCGAGGGGAGGGGGCGGATGGCAGAAGGAGAAGGAGATGCAGTCTGGGGTTCGGTTGAGATGGGTGGGGGAGGGATCTGAGGAGACTGGGGGATAGAGGAATATGGGGACAGGGGGATAGGGGAATAGGGTGGTTGCGTAGATACTTGATGAATGCTGGTGGGTTGTTGATAGGTAGTGGTGGTTGGTGGTGAGAGACTTAATATGAGTTTCAAATGTGGGATTGGATACTAGGGATTGGGATCAGAGTGAATGCCTTAAAAGAGTAAACTAATCGTAGGCCCATTCACTCTTCACTCGCCTAACTCACTACCACACTCAATCAATCCGATAATTCGACTAATGAATAGTTACCCCAACCACCTCCCCTGCCTAGCGCCTATACCTAAAATTCTAATAAATGAAGAAAACAAGTTTTAAAGTTATACACTACACTATAAACTCCATCACCCTCATCTCAATTCAAATGAAGTAGATTCTAAACTTTTTTCTAAATCTATAATCTCAGGCTCTTTCCATTTTTTTTTCATTTTTCTCCGAGTCTTAACCTATCTAATCCTCTCAATTAGAATTGTCCTTCTTCTCCTTGAGTCCAGGAAAGAAGAGGAGTTTGCACACGCAGCGTTCTTCCCCCGGGCCCAAATTTTCACGAATATAAAGAGTATTATACGAGTACAGTATACAATACACAGTACCCCGATATCTTTCTAGTCTTGAGTTAATGTTCTAGACATCATTAGAGATATAGATCGCTAGCTAGCTATGTATTATATAAATACTCGAGTATGCATATTCATTCGGTCTAGAACTCTAATGAATAGATTTATCTACTCGTACTTGAATATATTAGTACTACTACGAGTATATATACTCGAGTATAACAAATCTAGAAATAAAATCCAAAAATAATCAGAATAAAAAAAACTCCAAAAACCGAAGTACTCGAGAGTTGAGTATTGTTGCGACACTAGTGAATATGGTCACATGATATCGATGGCCATATAGGCCTCCCCGCTCTCGAAGTGGGAATAGCCTCAACCAACTTTTAATACAATATTTTTGACCATATGATAGAGCCATTTCACCCCCGAGGTGATACCAACAAGTATAGAAATCAAAGTATAAAAAATCTCAATCTATAAACTACTCTGCTAACGAAAAGATACTGTTGGTATCACCGTGGTGGTGATGAAGTGTCAATAGTACTATCGTGTTTCACGTGTTTGTATTGCCTTAAGGAACTAAACTATGGAGATGCTAACGCTAAAAGATATACGCTCTGTGGTGGTCAAAACGTCGCTTATTGCCCTAACCCTTAGCCCTACCGCCCACTACAACTAAGTGAGTGATATCCAGACAGATACAAAGCTTATTCATTATATATTTATCTTTATCTTTATAATTAGATTTAGTACTTAGCTACAGCCAAATACTCGAGTAAATGAATATACTTCTTTATACGAGCTCTCTTTGTACCAGCGCTCTTTATTCGATATCGAGATATTATCTATAATAATAATAGAATAAGCTCCCCAACACACCTACCTGCACGTACCTACCCCTACCTGCACCTACCTACACCTACCTGCACGTACCTACTACACCACCTACCTACACCTACCTGCACGTACCTACTACACCCACCTGCACCTACCCTCGTCACAGGACCAAAAACCCCGTGACAACCTGACCCTTGTCTAGGCTGCGCAACGGGTACCCGCGGGGCGGATAATAGAAAAATCTGAATGGGGACCCGTTGGGTATCCGCTTCAAATACTCCGTAAATACTCCGCAGATATAAATTTTATAAGATTTATAATATTAGTATAATTATAAAAATATATTAGTTTTTATATTAATCTTTATATTAATTACATTAATACTATAAAAATTAATAAATTTGCAGAGTATTTGCGGGGCGGATAATTTTGAAAGCTCAACGGGTCCCCCGCGGGTCTGAAATATCATCAACGGGTCCCCACGGGTAGCGGAGTATTTCTGCGCAGCCTACCCTTGTCCCAGTGTTATAATAAATATAACTATGCAAGCTTATAAAAGCCCTTAACAACAATGAGCATGCCCTAAACGGAGTGGGCAACTCACACACAACAAGTTACCACCAAAGCGAAGGAATGGTATCCCATCACTTAGCTCTGGAACTAAAAGCCTGCATCGGAAATGCAGGAAAATTGGCTATCTCGAGGTGACAAATATGGATTTCTGTGTTTATATAATTAGTACCTTACTTTAGCCCGTTCCTAGTACCCTTCGGGAGGTCGTGGGTAGGCTCCGCCTACCCCCCAGACGTTTATTTATTAAATAAATAAAATAAATAAATAAGCTCCCCAACTAGTAGTCTCTATATACATAAGCGTTTGTAATAAAATAGCTTAGTTGAAAGTTAAATTTGATTGATAATAAGAAAACCTTCGGGCTTTAATTCCAAACTAAGGAATTGAATTCAAAAAATTGATAAACTCCATCATCTATATCAAAACTCGGAAATTATTCTCATATCAAGCCACCTTATCTTATAATGAATAGCTATACTACACTACACTCTTACCATAAATTCCTCTCCATCCATCCAATTATACTCTATAATCCACCGTCGTTTCAAACTTTCAATACACAAAACCCAGCCACTACCCACTACCTACTAACCTCCTCTTCAAGAATAAGTCTAATCCTACACCCAATAACATCACCGCTCTACTCATTCCATCTCCCATCTCCAATCTCCTATTTAATTCCTCCTCCGTAGCCAGTAGCCAGTAGCCAGTAGCCAGTAGCCAATAGCCAACAATCAGAACCCACTAGTACTAGAATAACACAGCTGTACAAAACCCCGCTAACATCCATCCCGAAATTTGTGGCTTCTCCATCCATAATATCATGTGATATCCCGCGTAAACAAACCCTCCCGAAATCTTCCCTCCCACCTTAAACAACTTTTGATTTACAGATACAATACAATTTCTAAACCCCAATCAAGTTCTTTAACACAACATCAAATTGTATTACACGTTTTCCATACAGTAACACAATAAGTTGAAGGTCAAGATGGACGACTCCGATGCACCACCATGGCAACCTGGTAATCGACACTTAACACCCAGTTCTGGATACCTGTGGAACTCCGAAGAACTTCGTTCGCAGTCTAATACTATCCATCCTATCGCTGCCTCTACTAGAGATCCAGATCCCTTGACAGATAGTTTTTTGCTTTCTGCAAACAGCAACACTACGAGCAGCGTGTATTTCAATCCTTCGACATTGCACCATCCACGCGCCGTCATGGAGAATGAAGTTACCATGTCTGATATTGACTTTAGTGAGGATGAAGAAGATGTCCCAGCTAGCTCAAGCATTGTTGGTAAGATAATAAATATCCTTATGGAGCGAGTATTTGTTTAATATGCTAACATAATAGGAAATGATCAACAACAAAGTACATCATTTTTTAACGCCCTCTTAGCACAACCTTCTGATTTGAATGGTACCGTAGGTTTTGCAGGCGACTACCTTCATGCCGACAATAAACCTCCAAGCTTCATGAGTTTGATGGGCGATGCAGGTAACGACCAATATGCCAACCATACAATGTTTTCCAGTTTCCAGTCAAACCCAAATACATTCTTCGGCTCAGGAGGTCACCAAACCCTTGCGCCTCGTCGCGGTAATATCTTCGTCTTTGGTTCCGACCAGGCAGGTCAAGATAAAGGTACATGTTTGATTAGTAAGTAAAGGAGAACTACCTCACTCGCAAACGGCATACTAACGACGTGAAAGACAACAACCAAAGTACAATCAACACCACGATCCCTATGTTTGGCCACGGTAATGACTATGGCATGGAATATAACGCTGTGACACAAGTAGAGCGTCGGCACACACCACAACAAGTCGTCCCAAACTATGGAGACCATATGTCAATCACTTCTCACGCCAACATGACATTGACTCAAGGTGTCGTCGGTGCCACTCGACATCATATTCTTGATAATGTGCCTTCCATCGCAGAATCAACTCCATATGCCGTCTACAATCAACGAGAACGCATGCCCGGCAATTTTTCTTCTAATATGGCACCAAGCCAAGTCATCCTAAACTCCCGATCTCATACAACCACCAAGCCTCGTTACAAGTTGGGTGATCGAAGAGTTCTAGGTCCAGTCGGCACAGGCTTAGATATCACCAGTAGGGAATCAAACCAACATACCATCCGCAACCATCAAGACCACATGTCTTCAGTCTATGGCCACAAGGGCGCTGGAGATGATAGACGCCCATTCGGTGAGTTGAGTAGGTCATCAACGTCTGAACCTCGTACTGGACACTTGCAACAAGCTAGCCCATTAGGTGAGTTGAGAACTGCCTCCGCATCTGCGGAATACACTAACATGATCGCAGGCAGCGGACAACAACCAGATAATATAGTTTCTTTCGACGATCCCCAAGCCCACATGTCAGTCGATCCAAACTATTGGCCAGCCCAATTCCCCAATAACCTACCTGGCTACATGTTTACTATATCTCGTGATGCCTCTGCTGCGAAATCTTCAACCAACGGTTCATTTGAGACAGGAGTGCTCGAACCCGAGGCTTTACAAGGAAATCCTCGTAAAGTCCACAACGACGCCAACGACGAGAATTGGATCCGCGAAGAAGCTGCTAGCTGGGATACCTTTCAAAACGTTGACCTGAACTCGGACCACGAACCTCAGATTACAAAAGATAAGATCAAATTATCCAAGGCATTGAAGAAATGGATCCGTGAAGAGAATCGGAGATCTGGAGAGACCTTTGTACTTCCTGACTTGGACCCTCGCCACGAGTCTTACGAAAGAAAATATCTGTTCGATGTAGTATACGCATACCATCCCCCGAATGTCAAGAATTACTACTTTCGAGATCACCGAAATCAATGTGTTTGTCTCATGGCCGATGCCAATACTCTCACAAGAACTTTTGAAAAATCGGGGGATGTCTTTCCTACGCCTCTTGACGACATATATCCGGTTGATTGGAATACAAACGTCGATGTCAATATTAAAGATTCCTTGAATCCTGACAAACAAAAGGTGTTGAATGACCTCCGCAATGCTTTCTGCTCGGCCGCCAAGTACGTCAATCGCACTCAAAAGCAGGTTCCTTGGATGATCTTTCATGACAAGAAAGTAGAATTCACGACTACTGATATCGCCATTGCGGCTCTCATCCCTCCTGCTACAAGAGAGTCGATAAAACAGATCGTCAGGAGAATTTCAAATTCGATTTTCACCGGTGCCAAATATGGTGGATCGTTTCGTCTTTATCTTCCTAGACGACATCGTGGACACGACCATAGGTGGCAGAGGACTTATCTTTCCAACGAAGAACGTAGTGATACCTTCGGCCTAATCAGAAAATTCCTTCACGAGAGATTGAAATTGCCAAACCAACCAACAGAGGAGCTTAAAGAGACATATAGAATGTTTGTGGTAAGTGCTGAATATTCTGCAGATAGATGTGTCGATTACTAACTTGTAACTAGGAATGTAATTTGTCATCCGAGACGAATGTACAGAGTCCTTATTTGCATAAGAAGCTTACACGATTTCGGAAGTTTCCTCAATTACCCCCGGAGATTCGGCAGATGATTTGGGAGTTTTGCTTTCCTATCAGAACGGAGCTTCTAGATCTTGTGGTAAAAATGATCGATGGAGGATGTAAAGATCAAAGAGTTGAGTTACCCAATACTTTACGAGTGTGTCGAGAAAGTCGATATATGACAAACCTTCGCTACAAGAGAATTCTTAAGCCGGTATTGTCACAGGGATCAAGAAGCACCTATGGCGACCAGATCTCTTACGACAATCGCAAAAAGAAGTGGTCTCGACCAAGAGAGGTTTGCATTGGCCCGCATGATACGTTAGCCATCTCAGAATTTGCTCCCCAAAGCAAGAACGGAGAGAATTTGAAATGGTTGGATAGTATGAACAAGAAGCTGCCCGGACTTCTAGAGGGTATTCGGCATTTGGAGGTTCGAGATGTTCACAAACTTGCTGGCGATCTCCCCGCACCCATTCCTTTTCCCGCCAACTCTTCGAGTTTTGTTACCATGGCTTTTACCAAAGGAATATTGGGCAAGTTTAAGAACCTCCAAACGCTCACGCTCACAAATGTCGAGCCTGGTGCGAGAGGAAGGCCCTACAATGATGAAGAAAAAGCGGTGTTGAAAGATATGATTTCTGATTATCTTAACAAAGCGAAAGGTGATGAAGCCAAGCTTTTGGCCAAAGTAAAGATCGAGCATAGAGACTATGTAGAGATGGAAGGCCGACAGGTGGAGAAAGACAACGGCAGGCAAAACCTTGAGGACGAATTCTTTTCAAAGATGATTACTCATATCGATGACAGGTATTGATAGCCACTGCAGGGCCTATCCCATAGAGTATATGAATGCGAGAAGAAAATGAAGGCTAATGGAGGCCAGCAAGAATGTACTCGGAACCAATTCAAGCAATTTTTTCATAGGCAAATTTATGGTAAAAACTGCGTACCAAAACTTCTCAATTTGAATTGATGAGAAAATAATGATGGTGAGGTAGAAAGTAGCATTGCCTAGTGTCTTGCTACCTTGAGCCCGACATCTCACAATCGGGGTAGACTGGTGTTATATTTCCAAGTCATAACCCAAATATCAGTTCTGCAGCCCCATACTCAATACCCAAAAATCTCCCTATATATCAAGAAATGCACTAGCTAGCTTATCCTCATTTCTTTTACCCAGCTATATATACTCGCAATGGCGATGAAAGAAGTTAAAGCACACTTTCCCTGTCTTTCAACTCCTCTTACTCACACCCTTAAGCCTCAAGAAATACACAGATCCTAGCCTGATATATATGCCCAAAAGCAAAGCCATTTATCCAAATCTTCTTCGGCACTTCCTTGGACGGTCAAGTGGCACTGTGTACCACCATAATCATCTTTCAACTCATAGCAGCGCAGCATCGATATTTCGTTCGAGGTATGAAGTAGCATGGTCGCCAGGCATAGCCAAATAGAATTAGCACCCATTGCATTGCTTCAAAGCCTCACCTTCTATAACGTAAGGCGACCAAAATCTCAAGCAAGCCATCAAACAGACACTCGATCAAACAAACCTTCTCCCAAACTGAAAGGCTGAAAGAGATCAGAAGTCCATCCATCTGCCAACTCAATTTATCCCATCCCATCCAACCCTATTGCATACCTAGCACATAAACCATACATGATGCGACACCAAAACAATAAATCTGACCATGTCAAAATCAGGTCTTGATTATTCACACATAGTACAAGTTGTAGTGTTTAATAGAGGAGAAAATGGGAAAGTAATCTCAATAACACAAAGATTAAAGGTCACTGTACCGGATAAACAAAACACCGTCACCGATATCAAATATCCGAGATCCGAAGAATATCCGGGTTGGGTCAAGTGAGTGATGTTACATGACCAAAATATCATCTATTCTATTCATCAATCCCCAAATCTTCAAATCTTCCATTAAACACATTTCCTCAATCTATAACCTAATACTACAATTTCATTGTTTCCCGAGCACGATTCCCGAGTTCTATATGAAAGATAGGCATGATATAATCTTGTATTATTGATGTTGCAGTACAAGGGGGAAGGGGAAGGGAGGGGGGAAGGAAGGTCATGGGGTTTCGTTTTGAGTTATATCAATAATAGTTTACTTGCCTACCCACAAAAGCACATATTTGCGACTTTGAGATGATGGATTAGCAATCTACGAGTCGCTTCGATTTGCTCTCTTAAACTCTCTGCCATTGACCTCCTGTCCTTCCATCCCAGGAAACCTTCAGGCTTTCAACTCAGGTCCCGCAGTACATATATTACCAATCAAAAACAAAAACAAAAGACATACACACACAGTATGAAGCACAACATATAATTGCATGAGATATTGTGAAATATCACAATGATTTCCATTTCCATTCCTCATATGAAAGTTCCAGCTCTACCGGGTATCTACCACCGTGTGAATTCTCGCATTCGTATGCCCATATACTCCAAAGTCATGCAAGTTCAGATCGTGTTCCTCGTGTCTGAACGCATTACTGAACGGAGGATCTGGAAGATCTTTTAGCTCTGACTGATTGTCACGTCCTCTTGTTCCATTCATAGCTTCTTTCTCCATCTCCGCTTGCCGTTTCCATGTAGATCATCCCTTTTTATTCCTCAGCGCCGCCCATTCCGCGATGACCCCTATGACAACATCGCAGCTCTCATAGTATATGATGCTCTACTTGTGCTTCCACGCCAGTAGCTTTCACGACCCCATCTGCATTTTGTGCCGGCATAGCTATTGGCTTTCTTTCTCTCCTCGAAGTCAAAGCTATCAGTTCCCTCAGCATCAATTCTCTCGTGTCTCTCGCCAGATCTTCAACATCCGCCGATGTAAGGTTTTTCGTTTCGATTGGTTTCAGGACTACATTTTCCACAGGGTTAGCTTCAACTCTCGAAATATCTCCCCAAATACCCCCCCCCCCCCCCAACGCCGCATCAAATCTCAACCCACCAAAGAAATCAATAGAGAAAACTTACCCTTAACTGGTATTCTTCCCGATCGAAACCTCCAACTCTGCACATGCAACACATCACTATAACAGGCCACCACAACCGGCACAACCGGTACCCCCGCCTGCACCGCCAAATGAAAAGCTCCCTTCTTAAAAGGCAAAAGTGTCGGTTCCTTTGCATAACTTCTTGTTCCCTCAGGAAACATATAAACATTCTGTCTCTCCTCTCTAATCTCCGTCACTGCCCCCGCCATTGCCTGTCGCGCATCCTTCGCATTAGCACGATCGATGAAAACCGTGCCACTCAAGCTCATAAACCAGCCTAAGAATGGCACATTCTTCAAACTCTTCTTCGCAGTCACCGAGCAGAATCGAGGAAAGATACAGCCGAGCATCAGCACGTCGAGTTCGGTTTGATGATTGCCGATAATGACTGCGGGGCGTGTCGTGCCTAGATAGTTATGGGGATCTTCGACAACGAAGGTCACGCCGGTGGTAAACCACATAATCCATTTGAAGGCGCGAGCGACAGCCCATTGCGATGTGCGATAGTTTCCTACCAAGCGCAGGATGATGGAGATGAAGACGCCGTAGCAGGCGCAAATGATGAGGGCGATGTAGCCGGTGAGTATGCGGGCGAAGAAACCGGCGATGGGAAGGATGGGGGAGAGCATGTAGAGGGATAGCGTGAGGACGATGTATATTATTGAGAGATTTGTAGCATAAGACAGAAGAGCGAACATTTTGAGGATTGTGTAGATGTTTATGTAGATGTAGATGTAGTAGAGGTAGCTGAGAGATTAACTTTGATTGGTATGGGTAGGTAAGTAGGTAGGTAGGTATAGCAAGCTTTACAAGCTATAATAAATTCTGCAATGATTGGTCCGTCGGTTACTCAAAACGCCCTCTCGAGGAGGAAAGTAGAGTGACATAAGACAACCAACCAAGGCATTTCGTACTACAGTAGAAATTGAGGGGGAAAAAAGGAGGGATCAGTGAAGTTTAAGTGAAGGGTAAGAAATGGTTGAGGATTAATTCTCATTGGTTTACATAATTCACATCCTATTCGTCCAATTATAGGGTTATCCTGGTTAAGGAATTACAAGGGTATTCTTCGGCCATCGGATGGGATAATCATTTCTTGGCATCATTCTTTGGACTCGAGTTCAATTATATATCATACGAGCTTTGACTTCGGCACCTCGATTCCTACGTCGCAGCTCGTCCTCCGGAGGCTTGTTAACTTGATAATCATAAATATTGAATGATATTTTGAATATCATATTTTCAGATTTTATTTTATCGATTAGTATGAGAAGTGTATTAATATTGAAGATTGAATGTGGTATTGCACGTGAATTTTCAAAAAAATGTTCGTTGTCGTGCATTGACCATATGCGAAATAAGAGTGTTTTATAATATGAAAGGTTAGATAGATAGATATCAAAATCATGTGAAGATTATATATTTTACCATAACTTCATTTCCCAATTAAGTCTTCTTTCACATGCTTGATATGGAAAATTCTCCTCTCTTCCCCATAACTATTGGAGTTTTAGCCCTCCAAGGTGCTTTCAATGAACATATACAACTTCTCCGCTCTGCCAGCCAAATCCTCGCCACCAAAACACAAGTTGCATCCCATCAAGCACATGACCTCGATATAAAATACAATTTTATAGAAGTACGAAATGAAATCGAACTTGATTCATGCGATGCACTCATTATACCTGGTGGTGAAAGTACCGCTATTTCACTCGTAGCTCAACGATCAGGTCTTCTGGAACCTTTGAGAGATTTCGTTAAGTGAGTCATCCACATGATCTTTTTTCCTCCTCCTCCTCCTCCTCCTCCTCTTTCGTCTCTCCCAATTCCCAAATCAAATCCTAACAACCCATTCAGACTCCACCGTCATCCCACTTGGGGAACGTGCGCCGGTCTAATCCTCCTCTCCGAATCCGCCAACCGCACTAAAGCCGGTGGCCAAGAATTAATCGGAGGTCTCGATGTGCGCGTCAATCGTAATCATTTCGGTCGACAAGTAGAATCCTTCCAAGCCGATCTAGACCTTCCATTTCTCTCATCTCTTAGCCTCCCCCCCTCCTCCTCTTCACCTTACTCACCAAACCCCCTCTCCACATCCCCCCAAAAACAAGAAGAAACACCCGCTCCCTTCCGCGCAATATTTATCCGCGCCCCCATCGTCGAGAAGCTCCTCCCCCATCTCCCCGGCCCCCAAATCTCCGAATCCCACCTCGACTCCACTGTCATTGCCCCCTCTCGCCCCGTAGCCTACGCCCCAGAATCCCCGCTCAACGCACCTGTAGAAATTCTAGCGACCCTCCCCGGTCGCACAGCCTCGATCCAAGATTCTTCGACGAAAGAAAAGCTCGATGCCGAAGCTGGCGATATAGTAGCAGTGCGCCAAGCAAATGTTTTCGGAACTTCTTTTCATCCCGAGTTGACGGGAGATGCGAGGATCCATGCGTGGTGGTTGGAGCAGGTTATTGAACATGTGGTAAAGAGACGACAGGGGGGATCATGATTGATTATTATTAGGACATGGCATTGTATCGGATCATGAGAGACGATTTCAAGAGATAGAGGTAGATTAAAACTTTATAGATTCATATATAAATGGGGGTAAGCCTCCAAATCCCGCTGCGCTCGAAACTTTGAAGATATACCCTACGGGCACCTCATATAAGGAAATTCCTTGTATCGTATAAGGAATTTTTCCTTATATAGGATACGGAGATCGGTCATTATTTGCAAGCACCTTTTGAAATACGTGTATGGAGATTCAAAGCATATATTGAGTTTTGAACCTAAGCTAGTCTTCTGATATCCCCTCCTGGGCCTCTCTCAAGTGACACCCCTTTCCGGGCTTCCGGAAACCCCCCTCCCCATTTCTCCCTCTCCCTCTCCCTCAGAGCTCTCTTCCCTCATCATCGTACCCTTGTCGTCGCTAACCCTTAATCGTTTATACAAACGAATGAAGCATTGAAACTATTCTGACTTAACCGAATATTGAAGTATGAAATCATTCAAGTCGACTTACTAATATTGAAGGTATATTCGAATTGACTTACCAGATAATAGAAATTTGAAATAATTTGATTTGATTTGAATGAAAGTTGTAAAGGAATAGAATATGTATGATTGAAGGATCTTGGTAGATATGAATGAATTTGAAATCACTGATTTAGGGGGAAAAAATTGAAGCTATATCTAATTACAACTAAATCATGAATTCAACTCTCAACACAAGATCTCAATGCATCTCAATGTACTTCAATACGTGAATTAGTGCAATAATTCCTTATATGAGGTGCCAGTGGGGATATTCTCCTTTCTAAATAGTCTGCTAGTCTGCCTTAACGGCAGCGGTGCCAGGAGGGTCAGTCGGCGAAGTGTTAGTCAAGTGATGATTTAAAGATTGGTTGATTTCTAAAAACGCAGGATGCTAGATAATATATGCTCGCGGCATTACAATACAAAAATACAAAAATACAAGGATATAAAACAACAAAAAGTCTCAAAGTACCCAAAATACCCAATATACAAAAATACAAATATGCCAAATGAACCGCCAGAATATTCTCGTAAACCCATACTCCTTGCACACGCTGTTGATCACATATCCGTGAATCTTATCCATCGCTCCCTCTTGTATATCCTTCCCGTATCCGTATCCGCCCACAAAACAATCCCAAACTCCTTTTTCCCATCGGCCGGCTCTCCTCTATGTTATATAATCAATCTTGATTCCCTTATAATAGACCAAGATCTGCGGCAGTGGCACGTCAATTATGGCGCCAGTAACACAATTATACCCCGGATACCAATCAATGTTAGGTCTAAGTGACGAAAGTAGGATGATCCAAAGTTATAGGCCAATCGATTTTCCCCAAAACATAGGATTCCAACAACAAGAGCTCGGTCGTAGCATTGTCCCAATGATTCCAGTCGTCGTCGTAGACACCATCTTCATATACAATGCTGGTAACGATTCCAAATTTCTCCAGAGATATCGCATCTGGGTGAGGAACTTTCGGTGCGTAAGTCCGGCGGGTAAGTGGTAGGAATTGCGGCCGAGATGGAGCCTCTTGAGCGTCTTCTTGTGCGCGCGAAGAAATTGTAGGAGAGTTTCGGCCGGAACTTGGAATTCGTAAAGGCACAGTGTCTCGAGCGCCGGCCATGTGCGTTTGAAAAATGTTTGGTTCCACTGCTTCAATAATGCTTCCCCTTTGATATAAGGTAAACATGACTCCTCCCCTTCAAAAAAATAGAAGTCCCATGCGAGATTGAGAGTCCGGAGATGCTTCATCGAGAAAATGAAGTTGATGTTCATCAGCGTGATATCGCGGCTCCAGGCGTCGAATTTGCGATCAGTGTGCGGTACATGGTGGTTGCAAAAATCGAGATGATCCGATTCCATCAGCCGATTGCGATGACAGAAACCAATCCCCAAAGTAAGAGATTGGAGCTGAGAGAGGGCTTTGGAGATCCCTGCCGAATGATCTATGATCTTTTTCTGATTGAGGTCTCAACTGCTCAATGATTGTAATGGAAACTGATCGATGTGAAGATTTTTGAGGGCAGTCGGCCATGATGGCAGACGAGAGATTATGTCGAGAAGCGCACCGAGCTTTAGTTCGGGTATGCCAGCCCACATTGAGACCTCATCAGTGTCTCTCTGTAGGCCATGCAACAAGCTGAGATAACTTAAGATTCTGTCTGGGGACGGCTTATTTTTATTATTGGGGCTGATTATGGAGATATAATCGAGCATTTTGAGAGGTAACAATAATAGATCGATTTGGAGCCCTCCATAGGTCCCAATACATTGACTTGAATAGGAGTCGCTAAGCTTCGTGACCTTCTTTTGAAACCAAGTTGCGAAAGCCTCTTTAGACAGAAGGTCCTTGAGGTTAGTGGGTGGAGCGTTGTCCAAGATCCATGTTCCTAAATCTGCCATATCTGCAGCTCCGATGTTGAACTCGATGTGGTGGATTGATTTATACATAGGGGTCCGGACCACCTTCGCCAGTCTTTCCATATCGTCCTTGAATGGGCTCATGGTAAACCCAGTATCGGTGAAAACGTATTCCATCGTAAGCTTTGCCCAACTTTTGCTCACCAACCTGGCATTCTTGATAGTCGACTTGTCGACATATTTAATGATATTGAGGCATATTTCGTTTGATATATTTCTACCGGGGAAGGCGACCTGCAGAGTTGATTTGGAGCTAGACATCTTTCTTCTTGATATGTAGGGTCCGAAGGGTGATGAAGGGATAGTGTAAGTCGAAGAAGGTATGAAATGAATTTAAGGTTGATTTCGATGTGATGGAATCCTCGTTATATGTTTGTATATGAATTGTAAGATGCAGTTCAATATGGATTCTGATTATGATTGAATTGATAAATGTACGATGAAGTAAGATGAAAGTATACTGAAGAGAAGAAATTCAGAACCGGAGGAAGAAATTTTCCAAATCCAAGACAGTTTGTGAATGAAACTAAATCATTTAGCCTGCTACTTACTGGCTTGAGTCTGCTTGAGTCTAGCTAACCCGATTCTGGTAGACTACCTACTAAAAGGAGAAAAGTTGGAAGAACCATCTGGCCTTGTTCATAGTATGAGCACTAAGATGAACTAGCGTACTGGTTTTTTACGACTACCGGTATTACACGGTCGAAAGGCAACTGAAAGTCATCAAACACAGACTCCATCCCCAGCACCTAAAGTAATATCCACCACCGTTTTATCAAAATCAAAAATATCACCTACGGAATGACAATTCAGATTTTCCACTATAAATTTATATCCCGCCATTCCAATTGCTTGATATCCCTTCTCGACCTCGACTTCAATTTACCCCAACCATCTCTCCTAACCCACCCCTTCCACTCATCCAATCGTCTCCAATGAGGATAATCCATGTTTATCATCGGCCATACCCATTTCCCCAAAACAAACATCTCGAATAACTTGGCATCAGATAAACTATCCCCATCTAGTATTACGGGCTCCCAATCCTGATCATAGATCTGCTGATCACTAGCACTTACTAGTAACTGAAATCTCTGCAACGTCAACGAGTCTCGTAATTTGAATAGAATAGATTTCCAGGATACGCAACCTTTAGATCTATTTTGAGGAACGAGAAAGAAATCATGCCCAAGGAATAAAGATTTAAGGGTTGATTTATGACGGAATATGAATGAGTAGAACGCTGTATCGAAACTTTTTGCCTTCGAAAGACCCAAGTTTTCCAGATGTGGAAATGTATTAGAATAAAAATCAACTTGATTCATCAATTCCATTGAATCATTGGGAAATCGAAAGGACATGTTCAAAGTGATATTCAAAGACCGAAGAAATTTCATGGATCCTATGAACATATTCATAGATTTAGCAAGTACATGTGTATGTTCGTAGGTTGTCGCATTATTGCTGATGGAATTGATACCAATGCGAAGGTCCTGGACTTTAGATGTAAGAATTTGCATATCATGAAGGAAATGAGTATGTATTCCAAAAGATCGCTCAGTCGTGTCTTCATCATCATATATATCGTGACCAACAAAAAGATCAACAGGAAAAGAATCCAATGCTAGTTTTTGAAGAGGTTGTTGAAGTTGTCGTGTTGCGAGCAATATACTAAGATGTCGGATGCCGGATCTTGTTGGAAATGTGGTATCATAAGAGTCGTAAAGAGCATCTGGCTCACGATTCCATCTTCGAATCAACTGCTTCCATGCCAATGTAAAATTGATCTCAGATTCAAGAAATGGACATTCTGTAGCCGTGGCAGTAACAGACTTGACGGCAGGGAGTTGTGAAAGAGAATGGAAAAGCATGTCTGAACAACCTGTTCCAACAAGGTACTGACTCTTTTCTCACTCTCGAACATGCTCTCAATTTTAGTATACTTGTTCACGTTTTGAACTTCATGATCGAATTCCAGCATGTCGAGATCCCCAACATATATTTTTACATGTTTGATTACTTTCGCTAGCCATGGTAGACTGGCAATTGATCGTAATCGTGTCATATCATCGAGGTGTGGTCGAATGGAGAACACGCCTTTTTCGATAGACTGTCCAGTGCAGACATTGAAAATTCCAATGACGCATACGCCGGCCCAGGCTCTCGATGTGAGACGGAGGCTAGTGACATCGTGTGCGGAAAGAAAACCAATAATTCGGGACTTTAGTTCGGTGGGCAGATCGGAGATCAAATGAGGAGAATTGAAGTGTAATATATCTGCAGATGAAATTTGTGAGACTACCATTGTCGATATGTTTGATGATCAAAGGAGAAGAAAGTTATTGGCAAGGGAATAGCTTTGTGGGTATTGAGCAAACAATTTCTCATGCGTCCACGCAGTATATGAGCGATTGACTGATAAGCCATTACACGAGGCGTTAGCTAGATGCCAACAAAGTTACCAACATTGTCGAACAGAACGGCCGGTGAGGTCAAAGTCGTCCTGAGGTCATACACAGAAAAAGGCGCCAGAAACGCCCCCACTGCGCGGCTACAGCTCCAGAGAATGGACCTCTTTCCAGCTAGAATCCTTGACATTCCTATCATCAAAGACCTTACCAAGGGTTTGACGCGAATCAATGGTTGCCATCATCGACGGTAAGGTCCATAAATACGATGAATTCATATACTGATCCTATGCCCAATGTTCGTTGGATTCACCACTTGGTGCAATGGCCAAGTAATCGGCCACACCAACTCTGCGGCGACCCTTTGATTATCCCCATCCTGGAATACCCTTCTACTCAAACCGTACGTGCATTAACAATCGCGAATTAGTGATATTGGCCATCGTTTCGAATGATTTGAGTTTTTGGAACGGCCATCAGAACAAATGTGAAGTCAGTGTGAAGTTACCATTCGCAGCGGCTGCGACATGACAATGAAACAACTTCGAGGAAAGGAGCAGTGTCGAGAATAAGATGGAATGACTGAGGAATTGTGAAGGTTACGACAAAAGAACGCTGTCTCATCAGCTCACAACACATGTCAGCTTGTCGCCGGCTATCCCGAAAAACCTCAAGATCGGCCGGAAAATCCAATTCTCCGAGCCAATTGAACCACGCCGACAACATCAAGTCAACAAACGCCTACCGAATTGGAATCTGACACTCCCGGAAATAGCAGTCAAATATGGCTCTTATTCCCATTCGATGAAATAAGACACGAATAATCAAGAGATTCCCAAAGGGGTCGAGTTGCCGAAACAAGTCTTCAAAATTACTCGCAAGGGGAACACAAATCCAATAAAACGGCATGAGCACAGTCATCATTTTGTCATTCTTTTATCATCACGTTTATTAATCTCAACGGTATGATAACTATCTTTTGTTTCTGGAGTCGGCGATGAGTTAGTTGTTGGTTCATTCCTGGTCAAGCGTCCTGCCGCTCGGACTAGTGTCATGTATCACCAAACTCAAACTCAACCTCAACCCCCAACTTTGATCTATATTAAAACGACAACCTTATCACGCATCACGATTTATTCATATCATATTAATCACACGGATAATTAAATTACCAAGCATAATATAATGCCGATCATATATGCTGCCGCGACCGTCTATGTTAATCCCTCTGGCGAGACACCAGTCCTTAATCTCGAGCAGGTATGGAAGGGATTGGAGCTAAAGGCTCGGTATGTAGCATATCTTCTTGTTCTTTTACCTTGTGTGATATCCAATTAATCATGAGATACGTCTTTAGAAGCAAGGGTAGTATCAGCAAAATAGAGAATATGGATTTGACTGACATTCCTCCCTAGCAAACCACAACTTTTTCTCCCGGTGATAGATACTTGCAAAGTTCTCTCCGATGAGAACGAAACAGTTGTTCGCGAGGTCAAATTCAAAGCGGGTTCGTTCCCTTCTCCACCTCTTTCTCTCTCCTTCAACTGTTCCTTCTTCTTTCCCGTTACCCCATTACCCCGCAATCACTCAACTCCCACTGACCTTTCCAGGTGGTCCCTCTGATAAACCCGTTATCGAAACAATAACTCACTATCCCCCAATCAACCCCGAAGCCAAATCCGGCCTCGAAACCTTTCAGATCAAAGACACGAATAGCAAAGTCTTGAACATTGTCAGTGAAGGGCCAGAAGGGGAACTCATGTTGACCTTTACATTCGAATGGGAACACAAGGAAATTGAGAAGGGAAGTGAAGAAGAAAGGGTGAAGCAGAAAGCGTATCAGGGGATGGCATCGAAAGGGGCGACGGGTACGGTTAAGGCTATTCGAGAGATGGTGAAGAAGGGTGAGTTGTGAATGGAGTTGAATTAGAGGAGAGATGGGAGGGAATTGAAGACGGTTTTGGAAATGGATGTGTGACAAGGCTTCCTTCGATTTCACATTCGTTCCATATTATTTTCAGCATATTGGATGGATATATGTTCTTGGAAGTATCATGACTATTGTATGTACCTTCATCGCAACTGTGATTGATTAATTATACCGAGATCAGATCAGATAAGATAATCTTTAGCAAACGAAGCAATGGACAATGGGGAATTGATTGGTTAACGCGCTTGCCCGCGACCAAGAAAATTTAAAGATCACGTGCATACGCGATATCTCTCGCGAATTCAGCATCCCTCGATTCCTTTGCTTCTTATCAAGTATCTTCTGCTTATCGTACTTATCGTAACAAAGTAATTATTGTGCCTTGCCTCGTCTTTCTATATCCGGAATCTTAAGTTTCCAACTACGAACCTTCGACATATTCTAAGTAGTGCACGCTTTTCCAGAAGAAGTGCTTAGAAGCTCAATGTAAGTACTGGCTGTATAGAAGTATTTTTTCAAATTAATACAGCTTCTAACTATCCATCTTCAATTCAGTCTTGCAATCACAAATATCTCTCCAATCAACAAACCACAAACAAACAAAATGTCCTTACCATCTCGCGAGCCCGAAACTCCACCCCCTACCTCAAAAGAAAACAAGGCCGATGCCAGCGCAAGCAAAGGCGCCGATACCGACAAGCCCAAGACAGTCTCCATCAAAGTAGTGGATGAAGCCCGCAACGAAATCACATTCAAAATCAAGCGCACCAAACCTCTGGAAAAGGTCATACAGGCGTATTGTGCTGCGAAAAAAAATCATGACACACAGAGTGTAAGGTTCTTATTTGAGGGCATCAGGATTAAGGAGCACGATACTGCGGATAGTTTGGAGATGCATAATGAGGATTCCATTGGTGTTTTTTTGTTTCAGCAAGGAGGCGCGGATTGATGATGGGTGTAATTGAGTATTGAGGGGTAAGTGGGTTCTTTGAAGTGGGATGCGAGATGGAGTGCTAATGTGATGTTTTGTTAGAGGATTTTCTGATAGTTTGAGGGTTTCACTGTGGTTTCTAGGGAGTTCGAGACGCAGGATTTACGGCGCAAAAATACGGTTAGAAGATACACTACCAAAGTATGCGTGTTTATTTATTCTGATGGATCTCTGTGGTTATTTTCATGGCTACTTTAAAAAAAGTCTGAGACAAATGGGTCACAATCTTCACATAGGGTTGCAGACGCATATAGTGTGTACTTTTATTGATACCCAGGTAGCTCAACTACAAGTTGGTATACCAAATATCTATTTCCCATGCATGCGGATGATCTCCAATGCATATCCCAGGCTGCAAACATGGGCACAAGGTCCTCAAGTTCCAATACAACGCATACATCGAAGGTGCTCACCTCCTCCACCTACGTAGGAATCATATCAGTGTCCGAATGTTTTTATGCAGGTAAAGAACTTACTGTGCATCTCTGTAGCCGTACTGACGACCTTTTGGCAATTCCCGCACTTTGTGGGCTTTAGTTCTGGTGCATCTTTCCATTCATCTTCCTTAAAATTATATGAACCTATCCGAAAGTAAGTTCCACGAATTAGCATTTCCGATATATCCGAGCTACTCACTAGTGCCTTGAGTAATCATTGTGTCCTGATTAAATGTGACCCCTCCAACACACTTCTCACACTTCTTCCAATATTTCCCCACATGCTCTTCATTATGATGAAATGCACACAAAGTATAACGGCGATGATTGCGATTGCAAGAGATGTTAGAATAGCTAAATGCTTGATAATCCCCATCATCATTGCAGATTGCTCGATCGCAGCACTCGGTACGAGTCAAGTTATCTGTCTTACCGCAAAGACCGCAATATGTGTCAGTGGAAGGTGAAGAGGGGTTCTTGTAGATCTTGCAAAGGCGTTGTGCAAAGGCCAGGCCTAAAGAGAGTATTAGCGAGGAATGAGGGGGTGGATGTGGTGAGAAGAATTGGTGAGTGAATATACGTAACTTGTTTCTGATGTGCAGGCGAACAATACCATACTTGTTGGCACCCAGCACACTTTGATCGGGCTGTAAAACCGCAGATTACACAGTGATGGAACTTTTGAGGGGTTTCTAATGTGGAAGAGCTTGCGGTTGCGGGAGTGGGTTCGGTCATCTTGATATGACTTTGTTGAAGAGGTCAAGGAAAGGAGTTGTAAATTAAGAAACACACGAATTCGAGCGAAGAACGTTTGAAGTAGAGAATATCTAAGACTTTTGTAGACCTGCGGTGAAAAAAAGGGAAAGAAAAGCAAACAGGTGCAACGCGTGCGGGGTACGGTATGCAGCCAGACGCGTCATTGATGCCAAGTCACGTGTAATATTTCAACTATCTTGATTTATCATCTCTACCTAGCTATCGTCACGGCATTTTGCTACTTTTCCATCTCATCCCATTCATTCCCACATCAAAAATCGAATATCGAGCATTGAAGATCAAGACATCATCAATACCATTTACTCTGTGAAAGCAAATCAGGTCCTCTATTCGTATCTAAATATAGACATCTTCCTACTGGTTCTCAATATTCCTTTCAATATTCCTACTGTCCAGCTCAATGCTTATGCCTACCTTGGGATGTAGGCGACGGCAACGACCAATTGTCGATCAATCTTCTACACTTGTTCCTGGAGAAAGATACTTGCGCAATTGAGTTTCTCATATGAATTCCCCTGCAAATCACTTGTGTCACCAAGGCTGAAGAATGTCGCAAGTGTTGGGGTCCGAATCATCCCGTCAGTACCAAACAATTGAGTAACTTGCCGAAATTTATGTATCAGCAAAGTGGGCAGATAATTGATTTGAATTATTTCAGCTATCTTATAACATAACAAGGTGCCGCTTTTGGCCCAACCTATTCGACGTCGATGCAGTCGTAGGATGAATCGGACCGTGGTCTGAATATAGCTCTTACTCCACACGATGTCTAAGATCTAGATGTTTTCACCAACGAGTTTATCTTCCTTCAATAAGCTGTACAAGGGCAACTGGGAGCTATTTTCGATTGCTGGTGCCTGATCTGAGATCATCAATAATTCGGGTCCCTTGGTCATCCTGAGTGCACTCAACAGCGAATGGTTTACTCACACAGCCTTGAGATATATCAGACAATGTTACAGCTAAAGCAATCGAGGTCTTAATTCGTACCTTATTTGATGAATGGCTGGCCGTTGCTAATTCCACATGCTTGCGGGGTTGTTTGTGGAGAAGCGAGGAGACTTGACCATTTCCTTCTACAAGGGCCAGAAGCCTCAGAGTTCATTAAAAGTGTTAGCGAGAAGCTTTTGGTTGAGAGAAGATGTTTGATTTAAGGCTGGAGAGAACTGGAACGGCAAGTGCCTAAAATCTCTCCTTACTTTTGCGCCTTTCTGATAAAGAATTTCGACGAAAATGCGAAGAAGAAAGGCTCTGAAAGTACCATTGGTCATTTCTATCATTTTTGTTTCTGTTGCATCGCGGAATAACAGTGGCATACCTCAAATCTGGGTATTTCCCGGCATTAGTTTATGATACTATACCCATTTTAAGCAAAATGATTGATTGCATGGACGCCAAATTCCCAAATGATGCAGAACAGGATGTTCGGTAATTTTAAACCAATCGTTGTAGCTGAAACAATATTCAATGGTCGGCATTTTATGCCAAGAACGAGGTTCAAAGATAAAAATATCCTGCTTATGTTTATGCCAAGATGCTGAAACTTGTTCAGAGCATTAAAAAAGAAATCTCAATATTTCCATAGGTCGTCAGGAGAGAAAGTAAGCCACTTCATTCTCATTCGCTCACTCAACGAAGCTCTCAATCCTTCACGTATTGCGACGACACCTCACGTGGCTTACAAGCATTACCATGCCTTCCTTACACCGACCCTAACCAAGTCTGTCATATCACTGACACTGTACATTTTAATGTACTGAATGTACCTTCAGCCCTATTAAATGGCTCTACATTTCGTAGGACATTAAAAAGTCGATTTCCCACGATAGAAAGGTAAGCCAAAGGCATGTAACAGCAAAGATTAAGCGAAGAAATGCAGAAAATAGATGAAGCATCAAGAAGAACTGCGAGATCGAGGACTCCGACGGCTTGTCTACAGTGCCAGAAAAGAAAACAGAAATGCAGTAGGGAACAGCCGTGTAGACACTGTTCGAGGAGATATCCACCGGTGGAATGTATTTATACCTTTGAAGGGTAAGTTTTCTGTCATTTTTTACGTGAAATCTACTGATACGGTACTGCTTGAAGGAGGCACAGAATGGTACCACTTTCCTCGAATAGATTATCTGTACCCGATGACACACCGACATCATTCCACACAGAGCCGAAAACCTCCCTCGGTCGACATTCTTCCATACCTTCCCCACGAGATTTCTCTAGAACAGCACAAAATCAGGCATTTCACCAAGAGTTGGGGCCGAATTCACAGGAGAGTATGGGCTATATGACAAATTTCGCTCCCATGAGTTCCGAACCTTTCAGATCCAAATCTCTGTACCAGGCAGTCTCGAGTTCTGCCATACCCTCTCGTGGTACCGGGTCATTTGCCGAGCCAGAAATTGACTCAAACGAATTGGATTTCTCGCCTTTGCCACAAGTTCTCGCGAACACACATAACGGAACCTCAAGCTATGATTATCTGAACGTCCCAAGTTCAGAGGGGGGAAGCTGGAATCAAATTTCCAATCCAACCCCAAAGTCGGGAATAGTCAACTTCCAACATTTCGATCAATCATATATTGTTCCCGTTCCGATACAAACTGAAAATTTACAGTCATTCGATGTCAGTAGATATCCAACATTTCATCCAACTGTTGGGAACAATGGGATGTCAAATTTCGAAGATACACCAGATATATTGTTTCCCCCAGAGATACCGGACGATCAAAGTCGAAATCAAAATTATGGTGTGGCGGATGAATATGCTGGGTCCTTCTATTAGGCGTTAAAAGTCGAAAAATGGAGGCTTGTCACTCTCTGGATAATCCTACCCTCTCTGGTTTTCACCTCGCGATACACGAACCTTTACTTCGACTCGGATATATTAAAAGCGACTGAAATATTGGGATGGGTGTTTCTAGGATCGAATCGTTAGTCTTTACTCGATATCGTTCTTCATTCACACCTAAGGGTTTCAATACTGAGATCTGACCTGGATTTTAATTGTCACTGACAGTCATGGATTCTGTAATACGTTCATTATTGGCAGTCTTTATATCGTGCATGACGGTGTAATACAGATCTTCAGACTTCCGCGTGTACATCTCATCATCTACCCATGACGCTAGTTTCCTTCCCTAGACTGTTCCTCGACCCACATTTAGATGGATGGATGGACGAGAAGGATATACTGGGACAAATGAAGTAGTATCAATAAATATTTACCATTTTATCCCATATTACTCATAGACTCGGAAGGGCAACCACTAGATTTCTCTTTTTTCTTTTTCGGAGTGGCCATTAAGAGCGGTAGATTAGGATTAGGATGGAAGGAAACTGGGAAATGGATGGGATGGGATAGATTTCTGGAAATTCTTTGTATTATACTATGATTCTATGATTCTAGTAAAATAAATAGACATTCCTCTTCTTGATATTTCTTCCCCTCAAGCTCCAGAATGAATGATTGTACAGTTTTCTTTACGCCCAAAATTCACTTGTGTTATATCATCTCATCTCATCTCATCTCCTCCTCATCTCCTCCAAGTCTAAATTTATTCCTATTCCCAGCTCACTGCACTTTTCCCCGTTGAATGTCAGTGTCAGTGTCAATATTAGTATCAAATGTCATCATCTTCTCATCTTATCCCCTCAGTATTCTCTTCACTTATCTCCTCAGCGTCCCCTCATCTAACAATTTACTACAATTCTCTAATCCTCGAATCATTATATCCCAAACCCATGCCAAACCTATCCACTCTAAAGCCCCAAAATCAGCTTTTTTCTTCAGATGCAAAACTACCTCACCTATCTACCTACCTACGAATAGAAATAGAACCTATAATATGAGAAGATGAATACCGGTACCATGATTAAAGAGTAAATTCGAAGATGTGATTAGGAGATTAAAGGATTATATGTTGTGAGTGTATGAAGTTTGAAGTGAAGTAAGATGAAGTGAAGACAGCAAGTAAATATCAGATGAGATAGGTATATAAAGTTTCCAGATATTTCATTATAAGGATGAGGATAAGGTCAAAATTATTTTGATCTCTTCATGAATAGGAATATCATCCTTATGCTCTTCCTCCTCCTCATCTCAATCTCAAAAAGTGAATGAAGCTTTCCATTTTGGTGTAAAGACTGTATTTCAGCAGCTATCTTGAGATCTATACTTTTTGAGATATGCAACAAAACTTTCTAGGAAATGAATGGATGAAGTATCTGATAGGTTGGGCCGGGCTGGTATGGGAGTGAAGTATGAAGAATAGTTTGAGTGAAGTGTAAGAGATAGAAGTGAAAAGGATAAGAAGAGTCTGGTTTATTATATTTTTAATTTCTTTATAAAAGGAGATCTTATAATCATTACGAGTATCTCAATCTCAAAAAGTGAAGCTTTTTATTTTGGTGTAAAGACTGCATTTCAGCAATTATCTTGAGATCTGTACTTTTTGAGATATGCAACAAAACTTTCCCTTAGAACTGTATAATGTATCTGATAGGCTACAATGGAAGCTGGGAGTGAAGTATAAAGAAGAAAATAGAAGGGTAGGGGACAAGGTCAGTCCTGACTGAATCTTGATATCTTGATCTTACTAGTGATTCAGTTTTAATCTCCTCATCTATATGATTTTCACCTTGCTGCTTCTTTTCCTTATTAGGATCTCAAATATGAATGAAGCTTTTCATTTTGGTGAGAAATCGAAATTTGGTAAGGGCCCGTTTGGCTCGTGCCTCGCATAGAATTTAGATGAATGCACATTATAAAATTTTCGCATTCTATTATGAAAAAAGTGAATTTACCAAGTGATTGGCTCAATTTAAAAAGTATAGACCCCAAAATAACTTCATTCTATTTATTATAATAAAAACTGCCGTTTTATATAATATTAACAACCCTATACCCTTATTGTAATTATATCTAGAGTTCTTTCAACACCTAATTTTATCAGAAAACCTTGTATATCTAACATTAAATAATTTGAAAAAAAGATCAATTTATTAGTTATACAATTAAATGAAATTAAGAGAGTAGGACAAATATCTGAAAATGGATTTAAATCTATTATTTGGTTCTCTATTGTTAACTTTTATATTGATCCTATAAAGACTAACAAACCTTATATTATAGAATCCAAATGGGCATATATAAAAAAGGATTATAAAGATATCAAGTTTTTAAATAAACTCTCTAGTTTTGGCTGGGATGATAACCAAGCTAAAGTTATAGCAAAAGACTTTGTTTAAAAGGAATTACAAAAGGTATATTTATTAGTCTTTCAAGTTTCAAATATTAATTTGAAAATAAAGCTATCCTGACAAGATCAAATAGCGTATCATTTCATTCCCTTGGTTTAACGATATGCTTGAGATCCTTGGAGAGACTCTAGTTTCTGGTAAACATGGATTTTATAGTAATATTAGCCAAAAGAATAATATTACTGATACAATAATAAGTAACAATAAAACTATTATTCCTATTATTCAAATTGTTATTCCCAATATTTAATAAGATAATATATTCAATAAAATTGCTAATAAAATATAAGTTCAAAAATGCTATTACAAATCCAAAAAGATTATTAATAAAAATAAAATAAAAAAGAAGAAAAAAAAGATATCGGGTT